TCTCGACCTGGCCACCTACGCGTCGCCAGCGCCTTTCCCGATTTCTTATAGGGAATTGGAGTCTCCCCCATCTCATCGACAAGCCGTGATCAACGCAATGGTATTCATTCACGAGTCGATGAAGATCACGACAACCAAACTGGCTAAGCGTCAAGGAAAGTACAACCATGTGACCCCGAGACATTTCCTCGACTTGTAAGTCAACATCGTTTGCAGCAAGTGGTATCAGCTGACAGAATACCTAGCATCAATCATTATGTTCGTCTCTTTGTCGAGAAGAAAGAGGAGCTCGAGGAGCAGCAACGCCATTTGAACGTGGGGCTCGACAAGCTACGTGAAACAGTCACGCAAGTCGAAGAACTTCGCCATAGTCTTGCTGCTAAGAGCACTCAGCTGGAAGCCAAGAACGTTGAAGCCAACCACAAACTGCGCCAGATGGTCAAAGATCAACAGGAGGCTGAAGCTAAAAAGGCGGCTTCCATCGAGATCCAGGCCGCTCTTGTGCAACAAGACGAGTTCATCCGTCAGAGGTCGAATATCGTCAAGGAAGATCTCGCCCAGGCCGAGCCTGCTGTTCTCGAAGCTTTGGCAGCTGTCGGCAACATCAAAAAGCAGCACTTGTCCGAAGTCAGGTCGATGGCCAATCCACCGGAGGCCGTCAAGCTTGCCATGGAGTCGGCCTGTACCGTGCTTGGACATCATATTGACAACTGGAGGGCTGTCCAGACCCTTATTCGCAAGGACGACTTCATCTCAAGCATTCAAAACTTTGACACCAAGAAAATGTCAAAGAATCTGCGCGATCGTATGATCCGAGACTATATCGACAAGCCTGCCTTCAACTATGAAACTGTCAACCGTGCCAGTCGAGCTTGTGGTCCTCTGGTCCAGTGGGTCATTGCTCAAGTCAGGTTTTCCGAAATCTTGGACAAGGTGGCACCTCTTCGTCAAGAGGTGGCATCGTTGGAAAAGCAAGCGGAGGCGACCAAGCAGCAGGCCCAAGTCGCTATGGACACTGTGACCGAACTGGAAGCCAGTATTGCTCAGTACACGGACGAGTATGCGTCGCTCATCAGCGAGACCCAATCTATCAAGAGTGAAATGGACCGCGTGCAAAGCAAGGTGGACAGGAGTATGACGCTCCTGCAGAGTTTGTCCTCGGAGCAAGAGAGATGGGATGCTGGAAGCAAAACCTTCGAGACGGAGATGGGGACTATTGTGGGAGACGTCATGATCTCGGCAGCATTCCTTGCGTACAGTGGTTTCTTCGATCAGCAATATCGAGAGATCATGAGAAGAGAGTGGATGGAGCACCTCGCGGAAGCAAGTATCAAGTACAAGCTTGACCTGGCTCTCTCCGAGTTCCTCTCTACCGCGGATGAGCGACTGGGTTGGCAAGCAAATGCCCTTCCTGCAGACAATCTTTGCATCGAGAACGCAGTCATGCTCAATAGGTTCAACCGTTACCCCCTGATTGTTGACCCAACTGGTCAAGCTACAGCCTTCCTCCAGAACGAATATAGCGACCGCAAGATCACAGTCACGAGCTTCCTCGACGAGTCATTCTTGAAGAAGCTGGAGAGTGCTTTACGATTTGGCAATCCTCTCCTGATCCAAGATGTCGAAAACTTGGACCCTATCCTCAACTCTGTCCTCAATCGCGAACTTCGCCGCACAGGCGGTCGAGTTTTGATCCGCATCGGGAACCAAGATATCGACTTCTCCCCTGCCTTTACGATGTTCTTGTCTACGCGAGACCCATCGGTAGAATTTTCCCCCGATATCTGCAGTCGTGTGACATTCGTCAACTTTACGATGACTCGAAGCAGTCTACAGACACAGGCCCTGGACAAGGTTCTGAAGGCAGAGCGTCCGGAGATTGACCAAAAACGTACCGACTTGATGAAGATCCAAGGAGAATTCAGGGTCCGACTGAATCACCTTGAGCGGTCTCTTCTGCAAGCTCTCAACGAGTCTTCCGGCAGCATTTTAGACGACGACAAAGTGATAGAGACTTTGGAGATATTGAAAAAGGAGGCGGCCGAGATCACTGGCAAAGTGAAGGATACTGAAGTAGTCATGAGGGAAGTGGAGGCCGTCACAGCTGAGTACCTGCCGCTTGCGCAAGCCTGCAGTGGCATCTTCTTCACACTTGAACAGCTAGCCTCCATCAACCACTTCTACCAGTTTTCACTCGATTACTTCCTCGAAATATTCGACTACGTCCTTCTCCAAAACCCTCGTCTCAAGGGCATAGTTGATCTAGGAGGCCGAAAAGATATACTCCTTCAGGATATCTTCTTGACATCTTTCCAGCGAGCCTATCGATCCCTTCTACACACCGATTATCTTGTCCTGTCCGTGATGTTGGCCAAATTGAGGATGAGAGGAGAAGACGGAGCGCGTGTCAATGAGGAGTTGGATGTCTTGCTCGAGATTCCCTCTGGGGGTGTGGCGCAAGGGTTGGTTCTCTCGGCTGAGCAGAAGCGGGTGATGGATGGTGGGATCGGTGTCGAAGTTAGCAAGGTGAGATGCCTTAGTATCCAATTGATTTCACAAACTGACATTCAACAAGGCCTTGGAGCTTGACTTTGCCGAGAATAAGGGTCGTTGGGAGGCTTTCATGCAAGCGCAACAGCCCGAAAAATCAGTGCCTTGGCCTTGGGCTCAATCTGACAGTACGTGTGAATATAATGACAACGATACATAGCTGACATCTCCAAGCTCTTCTCACTGCCGCCAGACATATGATTGTCATCAAGATTCTTCGACCTGACCGATTGCTCCAAGCTGTATCTATCTTCACAGATCTCGCATTCGGACTCGATCTCGCTACTCAAGCGGAGTACAACTTGCAGACTGTGATTACGGAGCAAGTCGGCCCTACAAACCCAATCGCTCTGGCCTCCGTTCCAGGCTATGACGCCAGTTATCGAGTCGACAACCTTTGCCGTGACATGGGAACCAGCTGCTCTTCGATAGCCATGGGTTCCGGGGAAGGCTTTGGTTTGGCGGATAGGGCTATTGCGGAGGCTGCTAGGGTTGGTACTTGGGTCTTGTTGAAGAATGTTCATCTTGCGCCTGGATGGCTGGCCCAGTTGGAAAAGAGACTGCACAGCCTTTCTCCCAACCGCAACTTCAGGCTCTTCTTGACCATGGAGACCAATCCCGTGATCCCTGTCAACATCCTTCGACAGTCTCGAATCATCATGAATGAGCCTCCTCCCGGTGTGCGTGCCAACCTTTTGGATACCCTTCGCGGCGTGCCTGAAGCGCTGCTGTCTTCAGGCCCTGCTGAGAAGCCCCGTCTATTCTTCCTTCTCGCTTGGTTCCACTCAGTGGTGCAAGAGCGTCTCCGCTACCTTCCTTTGGGATGGAGTAAGAGTTACGAGTTCAATGACTCTGACTTTGATGCGGCTCTCAATACCATCAACACGTGGATTGCTTCTCTGGCTAAAGGCAAGGCCAATGTCGACCCTGCGCAGATACCGTGGGTGGCGATCAGGACGCTAGTCAAACAAGCTGTTTATGGAGGTCGCGTTGACTCGGACTACGATCAGCGAGTGGTGGATGCTTTCGTGGATCAAGTCTTTACTTCCCGCGCGTACGAACCGGATTTCAAACTGGTTCAAGGTGCAGATAACCAGGAAGGACTGGCGGTGCCCGAAGGGACACAGATGTCGCAGTTCGTCACTTGGGCCCAGGGCCTGCCCGAAAGGGAACCTCCCGTCTGGTTGGGTCTGCCGTCCACTGCTGAGGGTGTGGTCGCTGCTGCTGAAGGTGAGTTGATCGTTGTTTCTCCGATGTATTCTTGTGCTGACACGTGCTTTAGGTGATTCTCTTATGGTAAAGCTGAGGAAGATGAGGACCACGGAGGACGACGATGACGACGGACCTGTCTCTGGTGGTTCCACTGGACGGCCAGCATGGATGACGGCTCTCAAGGGGCACGCTGAGCAGTGGTTATCTACGCTGCCGAAGGTGCGTTTCGCCCGTGTCTCTCGATATTACGCGCTCATGTTGTAATCACAGGCGCTTTCTACATCTGACAAACCATCGCCCACACGATCACCCCTTTCTCGATTCTTCATCCGAGAAACCTCCACTGGGTCCAGCCTTCTAAGCCGTATCCGACGTGACCTTTCCGAGCTCATACAAGTATGCCTCGGCGATCTCAAGCAGACCAACGAACTCCGCGCCCTCATGTCCGATCTCAACAGGGGCACTATTCCCTCCCACTGGCGTAAATTCAAGATTCCTCGCGGCACTGCTGTCAGTGAATACGTCAACAATCTGTCAGAGAGGTTAGCTCAGCTGGAGAAACTCTCAGCCGGAGCGGTCGATGCAGAGAAGGGCGTGTGGCTGGGTGGGTTGTTCCAGCCGGAAGCTTACATCACCGCGACGAGACAAGCTGTGGCGCATGAGAGAGGATGGTCCTTGGAGCAGCTGGTGTTGGGCATAAGCATTGCGAATACCGGCGAAGCAGATGCGTTTACTGTGCGAGGTAAGTTGGGTGTTATCTCTACGTGTATTGTCAGCTGACATGAATAAAGGTCTAACCCTGCAAGGCGCTACCTGGACTTCTACTCGCCTGGCGTTGAACGACGGACAAGCTGTACCCCTCGAGCCTTCACAGATAACCTGGAAGTGTCACGACGAGGTCTCAAAGGTCGAGACAATGTCCGTTGTCAATGTCCCCGTCTATCTCAACAACGATAGGAGTGATGTTCTTTTCAGTGTCGATTTGGAGACAGAGGAGGGCCGGGATACCCTAGCCCAGAGGGGCGTATGTCTGACTGTTGCTTGGGGGAGAAGTAGTGATCCTTTTGGCTTGGCCTGAATGTGATACGAACCTAATAACGATGGATTATGATGTACATACGCAAAGTAGTTAGCAATGTATAGGCTGTTACATGAAATGAAAGATCCGCAAGGACGCCTTTACCGAGACGTCTAAAGGCAACGGTGTATATTACATCCACAAAGTAACGAGGACTCTACTAATCGTCATCCTCGTCAGAGTCCATAACGACTCTTCTTGCGGACGCTCTGGGAGCCCTTACTTCATCATCGTCCTCGTCATCGCCAGCCTCTTCGAAGATTGGCATGCCACTCTCCGAACTGTGCACCACGGGTCGCATGGAACGACCTTCGTGATCCTCATCAGATCCACTGTCACCCAGCTCCTCATCACTCTCCATCGCCATCCGCCGCATGTCGGCCAGCGTTTCCTTTCTTCTGTTCATCGCAGCTATCTCCTCCTCCGTGACGATTCTCGTCGTCGCTCCATGCTCCCCTCTATCGCTTTCCGGCTCAACGTCGTCGTTCATTGGCGTCGAGCTGGGTAGCGGCAGGCCCTCATCTTCAGAGTCCACTATCTCTAGACTCTTGCCCTTCTTGCCCTTGCCCTTTCCCGCACCGCGTTTCCTCTTCACGCCTCGGTCAAGCATACTATGCCCACCGTTAGCGGCGAGGGCATCCATCTCGGCTCTCAACTTCGCCTCATTCTCAAAGAACCTCCTAGTCGCTTCTTCGTCTTCGTCATCCGAGTCTTCAATGAACGCTGCAGACTTGAATGTCTGCGTCTCCGCAGCCTTCTTTGCCTTCTTCCTGCGCGCATTGTTCTTCGGGCGAGAATCGCGCGTTGATTCGCGGACTTCACCAGTTTCGGAGTCGTAAGACTGGACAGACGGGGAACGTCGGCGGCGACGAGGTGCACGAGGTTTGCGACGAAGAAGCTTTTTGGGATCTTCGTCGAGGCTCGGTGGGTCTTCCATATACTGCTTGAGAGCCCCAATACTCGCCTCCAAGTTTGAAGGTACGACGTCTTCGGGGATATGCCAAGCATAGTTGGATTTCTTGACGGCAGCAGCGAGCTGTTCCGGAGAGATATCTTCTTCGAAATCAAGCTCCGTGGGAGGGGGAGGAATGTCGAAGGAGAGAAGTTTGAGCATGAGCCGGAAGTGCTGATTCTTTTGGATAGCCGCCGTCTGCTCGTCATCCTCTGGTTGAAGATCTGCTCGGTGTCAGTGGCGGACAATCAATATTCGGGGACACTTACCATACTGCACAAACTTGCTCTTTGCCTCCTCACTAGGCCCACCAAAGTTTCTAGCCCGAACATTCCCATCCTCGTCTTCGTCAACGTCCATGCCACCATCTGTGGCCAAGACAATCTCCTGCCTAGCCGCGAGCACCTCTTCAAGGACGCCGATAATCCACTTGATGAGATATCCTTGGCCGGCTTCGTGCAGGATCGCGAATACGACAGACATCTGTTTTGACCATGAGAGGTTGTGTTTCTTGACGAACGCCAATTCAGCGGGACCCATCTGTAAATATCTGTCAGTGTTGAATTCTCAAACATCTCATCAAGAACGCACCTTTTCCTTGATTCTACTCTTCTGACCACCCATCCCATCATCATCACTCTCCCCACCACCGCCCCTCCATTTGCCTCGCGCTTTCGTACTCAGGACTTCGATGATTATGTACGGATCCTTCTCCACATGCTTGAAGAATTTGCGAAGGATGAAAGTGATGAGTGTTGTGAGATCTCGAGAGGCAGGGGCATCGGGGAGGGCGTGTTTGTTTTCCAATATACGTTGGAAGAGGATCATCGTGGTCACCTGCGCATTTGTCAGTCAATCCTTGTTGCTACCTCGCGTACGCACTTTGTAGAAGAGGCCCTCGGCGTGGGTTTTGACGACTTGACGGTGCATCAGTCCGACCACCCGCTTAACCTGTTCGGCAGAATCGAATTCGAGGAAGCGTTCGAGGTACACCAGCAGAGTATTGACAATAGCTTCAGTTGCAAACCTCTGCAATGACCGTCAGCTCTACCCACCAGAATTGAGGCCGGGACAAACCTTTTCGAACCCCTGGAAAGTAAACGCATGTTCCTCGTAAGTCGGTGCATCCTGATCCGGCCCCTGATCCGCCTCTTCCTCATTCCCATACTCTTCCGGGATATTTCTCCTCCTCACTTCCTCGCTGTCATTCGGATCCACCTGTTGCTCTTTACGCTTGCGATGGGTGTTTTTGCGTTTGCGGATAAACATGAAGGATTTGGTTTTGGAGTAGCGCTCGAGCATGCGGAGGAGGACGTAGGCAAAGTGGATGATGGAGTCGAGGTACCTGTGAGATGATCAGACTCCGTCTCGGATCAGAGAGCGGAAAAGCTTACGCGATGGATTGATTCTTGTATTCTCGAACCACAGAGAGGGCAGAGTCCAAAATGTCGTAGTTATAATACAGCTGATGCTGCATGATCTCGGCAACTTCCACATCCTCTTCGTCGGGCGATGTAGCCATATCGTCAATAAGCAGAAGCTATCATCATGTCAGTCACGCCTTCAACAACTCTTGACATGACTCACAATCTGCGTAAAACAGTCTATACACGCTTGCAACTCTGTCCAAGCCTTGGGCTTATCGTCCCAACTAATCCTCAACCTCGCAAACAACCACTTGACAGAGTCCATCTCTGCCATCTGCGCTACCAACCCCAATGGCAGCTCGTCCCTTTCACGCGAGCCGCCCTTGTCGTACAGCTTGTTGCGGAGGAGAAGGAGGTATTCGATAAAGAAGCGGGTGAGGTAGAAGACGCGGATGTTGTCGGAGGGACGGATTTTGGTACGTTCCATGCGAATGTCGCGAAGAATGTATTCGAAGAAGGCTGAATATGGTGTCAATTTCACGTCCTGCGTGGGGTGGATGACTCACTGTTGAAAGCAGTTTCTAAGAAAGCTCGACAAAAGTTTTGCAGAACGATCATGGCTTCCACACTCAAGGTGATGTATTGAGTCAATTCATCCTACGACGGTCAGATACCAGACACTAACTACGTATTGATTTGAGACTCACCATTTTCTTTGGGGGTGCTTTCTTTCCCTTCTTGACAGCATCCAAGATCTTTCCGGCGTCTTGGACGACGGCATTCTGCTTGTGGAGCACCACGCGTTGCTCAGCCTGAACGGGGTCAGCTATATGGCCAAAATCATGTCAAGGGACTCACAGTCTTGACCGTGATAGTAGTGCCAAACCTCGAGTGCCGTGTATACCCAGATTTCGAACTCATAGCCTTCTGCTTCTTCTCCCCATCAAGCAGCTTTGCCAGATTGTCCAGTGGTACCCTCTTCTGGTCTTGCCCCAGTTCTTGCACTTTGACACCTCTAAAGATGAGATGCAGGATGTCGAGGACGATGACATTAAAGGCGTTGAGATCACTCTTGTCGGAGCAGGAGGCGAGAGTGAGGAAGAGTTGGAGATATGTGAGAGAATCGAGTTGACAGATCAGATCAGACTGTTATCATGGTCAGTGATAGTCGCTATGTATGGGATCCGTGCGCTCACTTGAAGTTGGGCCATTTCTGCTTTGGTACCGGTCGCAGTACCTTCCGCAGAAGCATCCTTCACAGCTAGAAGGTTTCGTACGACATGTAGACCTAGAGAGATGATTCGCGTGTCCTTCTCATCTCTGCTCTTGTATCAGCTTGTGAACCTGATCATGCGCGGGCAGCTCACTTTCGAGGTTTTGCAAGACACGGGACCATGAGCGCTAACAGAGCTCTAAGCGGGCGATCGCTCTTAAGAAACAATGCCTTGTACTCCATCTGTGCGCGGAGCAAAGACGCGTAGTCTGTGATGATGGGCCCTTCCTCTTCAATCTCCTTTAGTTCTTGCGCAACGTCGATAGGCCATGTCAGAGCAGCAATCAAGTCACCTACGAATTGTCAGAAAAAAAAAAAAAAAAACAGCATCAGGAGTAGAACTCACAAGCAACAAGCGACACTTTCCGCCCCCACTCTCCTCTGTCTGCACATTCCACCAAGATAGCCACCAACTCCTTCATTAACCCCGCCTGAGCCATACACCTCGCCACCGTCCGTTCATCATCTTCGTCATCCTTTCTCCATAGCTTCTTGAGATCCTTGAGCACGCCCAGGACACTATCACCAGGCCTGTAAATGGTATCAAAGTGGCCGCTTCCTGGGGGAGACTCGATATCTTCGTAACCACCGAGAGCGTTGACGAGGGTCTGAACGGCATTGTAGAAGAGGTCGTACTTGTGCTCTGGGGCGTCCAGGAAGGGCGGGGGGGAGGGGGGGCGGTTGTCGTCCATGGGTGCTCGGGAGGTGGAGAGAAAGTTGTTGGAAAGTTGACAAGTCTCTTTCATGTCTCTACGCGTCAAAACATCAGCAACGCGCCTTGGAGTAATTACGAGCTGCGTATTGATATTACGCGTTTCTATCATTCTATGCAGCAGCTTTGGATGGTATCGCTGCATAGCGAGGGGTATGTCTACCTGGGCCAAAAGATCCTTCTGAGCAGCCATATCAGGTGTATCCCTTGCCAAAGATGTATCCATGCATACAAGCCAGCAATATATCCCATAGCCCGCTACCCAATTATTAACCCTTGCTTAATTTGGTCCTCGGCCCGCCGGTGGCCATCGTTCGTCTCTGATACAAGCATCTCTTACTTTTTGACTTCCTGCAGACAGATATATAGATATATTGCGCTCTCTTTCCATCTCGCCATGGCTGAGAACATCCTCGGCCTCCTCCTCGTCACCTCCTCCTCCCGCGGCCGCCACGTCTTCCGCTATCCTCCCGACCCCGCCTCCCCAAACGTCCGCCTCGCCCAGCCCATCTACCCCTCCGCCACATTCACAGCCACCGACGCCGACGTTGATTACAAACACCGGCGTGCCGGGGGTGTCGGCTCCAGCAGGCGGAGAGGCTTTGACGACCGCTCCTCGAACGCTTCCATCCGGCGCTCCTTGTTTGGCCCCTCGACCCGGGGCAGCAGCAAGGCGAGCAAGAATGTCAAGAAAGACAAGAAGAAGGGGGATGATATCAGGCAACGATATATGAACCCGCTGGCAGAGGGGAACGATTCAAAGTACGAGGAAGAGTCTGATCAGGGGGAAGATTCAGACAGCTCGTCTTCGGAAAGTGATTTTGAGCCCATGTGGAAAGCTGGGTCTGGCGGACCTCAAGAAACATCGAGTACGACTGGCAAGACGCCGCATCGCCAGGCAAGCGGAGACGATGACCACAAGGCTCACGGCGGCTTGCGGTCCCTCGATCATTCCACTCTGCTGGGCCCGTCTCGTAGAGGCTCGTCCAGTACGACTACGCCAACCGTCGTCGGCATTGACAACGGCGATAAGGATGCTCAGAAGAAGGCTATCGAGTCTCAATACAACTATGCCCTTGGATGGCCTCTTGAAGTCCTCGCAGATATGCTCACTCCGCCCAGAGCTGCCTGCAATCGGCGGTTCGAGCTCTGCGTGGGTAATGTCGTATTTCTAGGCCATCCAGTATGTGCTGGACCGGATGGGAAATGGGAAATACCCCCTGACGATGATGAGCTTGAGGAAAGAGTACCGTCGAGAGGTAGACGGATGAAGGACCAGCCGGTCGCGCTGACGAGCCTCGACACCGTCGTAGAAGGTAACGAAGCCTACACCTCTACCATCGCACCCGGCGACGCAGACCCCAAGCGAAAGCCTACCGAAGAGGATGTCCCGAATCTTGTCATGTTCCATCTGGTCATCATCATTGACAAGCCTGATCCCAGACCTGGAACAGAATCGCATGATGAACATCATACACATACTCTGGGAGTTTACGATGAGATATACCGCGAAATTGCGTTCAAGTGGACGGCGGCGGCGTATAGATTGCAGTGTGAGAGTAATCTGGTAGCGAAAGAGGCGTGGATGATTGTCAAGTATAAGGAAAAGTGTTTGGCTGACGGTATGTTACGATTCCATTGTACAGTAGAACGACTGCTCATAGTGCGTAGGCGTCGGTATCACAGAATGCTGCCGCTGGACAGCCGCTCACTGCCACATCGACCGAACCCTCAACTACCTATACCTACGCCTCCACCAACTCCGCACCCATCCCACCAACGGCCTCCACTCCTATCTCCCCATAACCATCACCAACCGCCTCTCCTACCTCCTCATCGAAACCATCCTCTCCCCCCGCCCGGCCAACAGCGATGAAGCCTGGGCACACTGGGGTGAGCTGTCCGGGATGCTCTCGGACGAAGGCGGGAGTGACGATGAAGAGTCTAGTGATGGGGAGGAAGAGTGGGACGGGGTAGTGGGAGGGAGGGCGCCAGAGCTGAATGTGAAGCCGTGGCAGACTTTGCTTTTGATTGATGATGGGAATGTTGCGAGGCAGGATGCGGTCCATTTTGGAATCATCGGGCTGCCGGCCGAGTCTGTAGAGATTTGGGTGGATGGACGCAAGTCTCCCGGCAAGAAGGCATTGGCTGCAGAGGTAGAGAGGTATGAGGACGAGGCAGAGTTGCTCCAGTCGCTCGTTGCTGCCTGTGACGTGACAAAACCGTACGTCTCTCGCTTCTCAAGTGACTTGTCTGACTCGTCTGCAGACTTTACGAGATTGCCCATTTGCTCCGGTACGACCTTGAAGGCATCGTCATCCCCCTCGCTCGCGACCTCGTACAAAACAAACGCGCCATGCTCATCGACGTCGTTAACCCCCGCCTACGTACTGTCGTCATGCCCACCACCATCGACGAACACGGTACCTCCTTCGACCAATACTCTGCACGCTTTACCCGCGAGTTCCCAGATCTACCCCGTTTTGCCAGGCTTATATCGGCTCTGTCGCTCGAGCCTGTTCCTTTCAGAAAAGTCATTCCAGGTCCAGGAGAGCCGAGTCACGCGACAAGGCAGAAATACATGTCGGCGCTGCTTTGGATGCTCAAGCAAGACTTGGTCGTGCAGGTGCATACCAGAGCTCGGGTGTTTGCCAAGAAGGAAGTCATGGCAGAAGCTTGGAAAAAACTGTGGTATAGACGCAGGAACAGGTGGCTGAATATCCAGAAAAACAGAAAGGAGAAGGAGACCCAGGGCCCACAATCTCCCTCTGGATCAGACTTGATGACTCCAAAAGCTTCAGAGAGCTATCCCAACCCCATCGACGCACTCATCAGCACCACACCCCAGAACAAAACCTCTGTCCCTCCCCCCCCTAAGCATTCCGCGCCAAAAGGGCGGGAATACCACCATTCTTTCCTGTCATACGACCCTGCGCTCGAGATGGACAGCGATGAAGAGTTTGATGGTGTCAGGAATAAACAACAGTTCTCGGAAGAGGTGGAACATCCTAGCAAGAATGAGATACCGAGCTTTGAGTCGAGTTTCATTTTCAAGCCTGCTAGGGCGCAGAAGGATGAGGCGCGGTGGTTGAGGGTGATTCGGGGACGGGCGGATGAGGTGTGGGCGAGCAAGTTTGATTTGTAAGCTGGTTCATAACGTTTGGTCGGCGTAAGCTGACAGTCTTTCTAGGTGCGTACAGTACTTTGATGGCGTGACGACGTTTGAGGAGATTACATATCGGACGGGGCTGCAGAGAAAAGAGTTGGAGAAGATCTTGCAGTTGTACAGTGGAGATGTAAGTGTGGCTTTTGTCGTCGATATTGCAGTGCTGATCAAACCCGCAGGTCGTCACGTTTGTACATCCATAGAATGCGCTCGAGATGTCAGCAGCAAGTACTCCTGCAATACGCACTCGGTGTATACATGTACAACATACTCCACTCTCAAAAGTCCATGCTAGACCTATCGCCGGACCCCTTCCCCCAGATCAGGCGTACTAACCACCGTACCTCCTATAGGCAGCCCCTGCAGCCCCACAGTCGTACTTTTCCCCGATCCTTGCTCCTTTGGATCTTCAACTGAACTCTCCGATAGAGCAGGCGTAGAGCTCTCCAGTCCTGAACGGCGTGTAGGTGCAGTAGAAGAAGGACGAGAGAGTTGGGGTGTGGAGCCGCGCGAGGGTGGGGGGGCGATTTCGGTTTTGAGGACTCGGGTAGCCTTCTTTTTGGGTTTGGGAGCTGTATAGATGTGAGAATGGTGGTAAAGACGAGAAGAGGCAGGGTGCGTACCGTTGGGATTTTGGGACATGTAGAAACGCCGTAAGAGCATGATAGCTTCTTCTCTGTAAAAGCCTCCCTCTGCCACATACGCAGGGTGAGAATCCAATCTAGGTCTACTTACATCAGTCTGGAGATATCCCTGAGGCAATCCGTAGACGTACGAGCTGTTCACTCCAATGACACTCCCACACCCTCCGAATCTATCATTCCCACACCCATACACCACTCTTCCTATGCCCACTTGACGAAGGGCTGATGCACACATGACACAAGGTTCTACGGTAACGTAGAGAGTGATGGACGATAAAGGAGCGGGGTTGTTGGGGAGGAGGTGGTCGATGGCCTCGAGTTCAGCGTGCAGGGTGGCCTGAGTTGTAGTCAGCATTGCTTGGGACATGGGTGAATGTTCAGTGGTCTTACATTCCTCCATTCATTGGTTCTGTTCCGCGCTCGAGCGATAGCCTGTCCATCCTTGACAAAGACACAGCCAACAGGGACTTCGTCGTTTGACAGAGCTTCTTCTGCCTATCGAAATAGCTGGTCAGCTCGAGCTCTAACCTTGGAGCCAGGGTGACATGCCATATTGAGAGCTTCCCTCATCCAAGCCATGTCTACAGCATTTTGCTCCTCTGGTGGGATATAGGTCTGAGGCCGACGGGGTTAGACTTGCAAGTCACCGAGATGGGTTCCACTTACCGCCATTGTTGCTGTTGCAGGGCTCTGTTGAATGTAAGAAGAAAAGGGGTTTATGAATAATCTACCCTGTGGTGGTCCCCTGATTATCGCGAGTTGGACGCTTCAATTCGAGCTGCAAGTTGAGCGAATCCCCATGGCCTTCCGAATCCAATCCGAATCAAAAGTCGGAAATCAACAAATGCTCTTACGTAACGGTTATCAGGCACGCACTTGTCGAAGTGAGACAACGATGTGAAGCTATGCTACGACGATGTCTCCCTTGCGATCGCTCTGCGCATAATTTTTTCATATCTGAAGTAAGCCTCTACTGGTACTCAGCAGTTTTCTACAATGATGCGAATATACAGTTCGAAGGGCATTCATGGGTGAGCCCAAGGAGATCCACAATCGTCGTATGCGGTCGTTTTACATGCAGAAGTTGCGTCGCCTTGATAGGTATGTCGTCACCTACATCTCCTAGCTTCCCATGGCTCGTATGCATATGCAACATACTCAGGTCAGTGCTTGACTGAGAGCGCTGTTCTACAGGACGGACATCGCCGCTTGCGCTTGGGGTGCCACGCCGAAACCGCCGAAACGCCGGCGCACCAAATTCCCTCTTTACTGTTTTTTGCGGCATTCGACCTTTTTCCTCACCCATCAACACTCGTCAAAATGGTGAGCGCCTCCTTCGGCAGCACCCAGGAATATTTATTGACTCCTCCAGGCTCCCAAGAAGGTCCGTGCCCCCCAGGAAGCCGCCGTCTCTCTCGGTCCCCAGGTCGCTGAGGGTGAGAACGTCTTCGGCGTTGCTCACATCTTCGCTTCGTACGTCAACCCATTGCAACGGGAGAAGGATGGAAGCTGATTGTGCAACAGCTTCAACGACACTTTCGTCCACGTCACCGACTTGACCGGCAAGGAGACCATCTCCCGTGTCACTGGTGGTATGAAGGTCAAGGCCGACCGTGACGAGTCTTCTGTATGTCGAAAATTCAAAATGTCGCCAACCGCCCGCTGACTCTTCTCCAGCCTTACGCCGCCATGTTGGCCGCCCAGGACGTCGCCGTCAAGTGCAAGGAGGTCGGCATCACTGCCCTCCACGTCAAGCTCCGTGCCACTGGTGGTACCGGCACCAAGCAGCCCGGTCCCGGTGGACAGGCTGCCCTCCGTGCCCTCGCCCGTGCTGGTATGAAGATCGGCCGTATCGAGGACGTCACCCCTACCCCCTCCGACTCTACCAGGAGAAAGGGTGGTAGGCGTGGTAGGAGGCTGTAAGCTACCTTTTTGGTGGTTATGCAACTCTCTGCGCTTTTAACAAGGTCGCCGCAGAGCACGCGGTTGTGGTACTTGCGGATGCTATCGTAGACGTGATGACATGATCCCGTGGCTCGCTGCGTTACAAGTTTTGGTCCTGTTGCAAGCTACATTCAGAACATGAACGTGATCATGCTGACTGCAGACATCGCCAACTGAGATCAGTCGAAACGAAATACATCATGCCTTGCGGCGAAACAATCAACATGGCAACAAACCTGGAGTATATATCGCGTAACTAATAATATCATCAAACTATGGAGATGCTCATCTAAAATCGGTAGTCCTCATATGTTTCCTCTGTGACACATTAGCACGACCGCGCAAGCTTGGTACGGACCGACTCACCCTTATCATCATCTCCCCTCTCTTCCTCTTCCTCATCGTAATATTCCTCCTCCTTGTCATCATCCATCGTCTGCAATCCCGCCGTCGACTGCCTATCTCTGAAGAGAGTCCCCGGCTTCACGTTCAAAGTACGACAGATATCGTAATTGAGACGGCGAGACATGGGCTTCTGGGCGACAACGCTGGCGATGGCCTCTTGGTAGTTTTTGTGTGGACCTTTATGAGGAGCGGCGCGTTTGCGTTTTTGCTGGATCTACTATTAGCTTGGGTGAAGAGTGGAGGCGTAAAGACGTACACGAGGCTTGGATGGATCGATGCCCTTGGCTTTATTGATTGCAGCCTTTCTCTCTTGCTTCTCTGTCAAAGTGTCAGCTCTGTTCAACAGGACAAGGGGATCAACAGACCCTTCTCCTCCTCCAACCATTTGCCGTTGGAACTCAACCACATCCTCGCCCTCGCCTGCTTTGTATCCTCATCCAGCTCGAACCAACCTTCCAACTCTTCATCATCCAAATCGGCAAGCTCCCTATCCTCTTCCACGACCTTGGACCCCTTCTCGCGTAACCATCGCGCCCGCTTGACAGCTTCCATCTCTTGGTGAATCTCTTTCGGGTCGCGCGCGCCAAACCACATTTTGATGCGGTCGTGCATCTTGTTTTGGTAGAGGTCCTTTTCGCCGGCAAAATACTTTCGCTCGAAAAAGTTGAGGACAGCAATCTCGTCGTCCCAGTCGGTAAACTCCGTGTTCTTGGGATTTCCTTGGGAGACGGTGTTGAGCTGCGTCGAAGGTTCACCCTCGTCTTCGTCCTCTCCTTCTTCATCCTCTTTCTCCACATCCTCCGCCAAAGCCTCCAGCTCATCCATCCCTTCCTCGTCCTCTTCCACCCCGTCATCAACCCCCCTGACCTCCTTCATCAATGCCTTGCTTGCCCGTCGCCGTTCCTCGCGCGCAGAAGCAGGGTCGTCTCGCGCAGACTCGAGCTGGGACACATAGTCGGAAGGAGCGAGGGGGTCGAGCTGGTCGTCTTCGTCGTCGACCGAGCTGGTGGTCTCGAACGCTGCAGAGGCTTGAAGAGCATCCGCCTCGTCCACTTCTCGGCCCTTGCCCTTTTCCAGCTTTGCGCGCTTATTCGGGCCGTCTTCATCATTTTCATCCCCGTTCTCCGTCTCCTCGTCTTCATCATAGACGATACCCATCATCAGATGTTTCTTCAGCTCCTTCTCCCTCTTCCTCGCTTGTTGCTTGACGACAGGGGGTTTTTCTTCTGTCGACACCGCGTCCAACTGCGCGTCACTCAACGCCCGCCATTCGCCCACAGTCTTCTTCGCCATGTCGGTTTCCGCAAATTCCAACAACCTCTTCTTGATGGTGTTGGGATGTACCTTGACGACTTGGGCGACTTCATCCGGCGTACGCAGAAAGTTGCTCATACGGCCCGCAATGATGATGCAAGCACCGCAAACACCAGCTGGTCTTCTACCCTGAGTCATCCAGTCTGCTCTGAATCGCCTGACGAGCCGGCTGGCATCCGCCGCGACAGTGTTGACGAGAGGGCCAAAGTTGAGGCGGTGCGCGAAACGGAGGTTGTAGATGGCAGGGTCGACTTCGGGCATGGGATCGGTAAAGTTGAGGGTCGAGCGGAGTTTAAGATATGTGGCGCCTAGTTCGAATACATTGATCTGTGCAACCTTTCAGCGAAGGGCCGAGTTCATAGCGCGGAAGACTTACAGCGAGGTGTTCACTGAAATCGATGAGCATACGAGCGTCGCGTTTCAGACGGCATTGCAGGTAGAGACAGCTGGCGACGATGTAACTCGTCTTTCGTCCGCGGTTGAACTTGTTGTCCACGGCGAGAGAGAAGAACCGCTTGGCGCCTATGCTGATACCCGATCCGAGGTACATCTTGCGAGCGACTTCATCGATCTTTGCGGAGCCTGGCCATGACGTTAGATGGATCGCATGCAATGTGTGATATGCTCACCGTTGGCTTTGATGTTTTCTGTATTTTGCTGCCCACCCCGGCCTCCTCGAGTACCAGCAACACCAGTCGCGTAATTAGACACAAACGTTCCCTGTACAGAGATACGTCCACCAGAACCCTCAGCAAAGCCAACCTCAGACACGAGGATACCCTCTTCAATGATCTGCCCACATGACATACACCTGGAGAAGATCAGTCGCCTGTACAGATGCCCAGCGCGTAAGACTTACACAACGTTACCGGCACTCTGATCTGTGACCAGCTCGCCGTGGGGTCCACACTGGGGACATTGTTTGACAGAGGACATGCTGGTGGGTCACTCGTCGGGCGGGTTGGAAAATAAAGACGGGCGTGGTTTATAAGAAGAAAGGCAAAATGATTGCGGATGGATGAGGGTTGAACGGAGGACCCCCGAGCGGCGAGAAAATTGTCGGAATGGAGGTAAAGCGGGTGGATGACGAGTAAGATGTGGGGCCGGGGACCGGTTGTTGTGGCAGTATGGATCCTCCGAGGATAGGCAGTGTTGACAGTTGGGCAGGTGGATGGGATATGGCAGTAGAGAAGGAGATGGAGTGGATGATGATAATCTTGCGTTGTTATCATTTTGTTGACGATAGATAAAGTCATGACGTGCACGCTTTTCCCCGACGCGTCCATCAAACTAAAAGTCTCCTCTCGACATTACTCGCTTCCATTATCACAACTATACTCCCACAATGTCCAGGTCATCCCACACCCAAGCTCTCCTTGGCCCAGAGCTCTACAAAAAGGTTCGCGAAACCAAGATCCTCGTCGTCGGTGCTGGCGGTATCGGCTGTGAACTCTGTGAGTGAGTCTCACGTCGCGCTCCAAGATCGGGCTGACCGCTGTATATTCAGTGAAGAACCTTGTGCTTGTCGGATTCGCCAATATCGAGATTGTATGTCGTATCACTACCCTTCAAGCTAGGCGGGCTGACGAGTATGAAGATTGATCTCGACACCATCGACCTTTCCAACCTCAATCGTCAATTCCTCTTCCGAAAGCCAGACATCTCCAAGTCCAAGTCTCTCGTCGCTGCCGCTTCCGCCCGGCACTTTAACCCCAACTCTGGCATCAAAATCAATGCCCGACATGGCAATGTTAAAGACAGTGAGAATGATCTGGAATGGATTGCCGGCTTTGGATTGGTCATGAACGCTCTGGATAACATGGGTGAGTCTTGAGACGATTCAAGAGCCTAACTGACTCTTTGGTAGACGCTCGTCGACATGTGAACCGTCTGTGTCAAGCCGCCAATGTGCCCTTGATCGAGTCTGGTACTGCCGGCTACCTTGGACAAGTCACTCCTTTCATCAAGGACACTACGGAGTGCTTTGACTGTGTCCCCAAGCCTACTCCCAAGGCTTTCCCTGTCTGTACTATCCGATCCACTCCCAGTGAACCCATCCACTGCATCGTCTGGGGAAAGACATACCTCTTTGGGTGAGTTGCCGTCGTCGCCAAGTCCTGCTTGAGCTGACTGTACTAGGAAATTATTCGGCGAGGATGATGAAGATATGGACACAGAAGAGCTGGATAAGGCCAAGGCTGGTGGCGAGAATGGTGAGTTCCTCTAAAGTCCTTGTAGACATAGCTCACCATAGGACAGCCGAAGAAATTGAAAACCTCAAGAAGGAAGCAGCCGCCTTCAGACAGGTCCGCAAAAACCTCAGCGCTGAAGGTGGTCCCCTGTCAGTCTTCCACAAAGTCTTCAAAGAAGACATCCAACGTCTTTTGGCTATGGAGGACATGTGGAAAAAGGAGGGCCGAGTCAAGCCTGTGCCTCTCGACTATGACACCATCATGGACGGTTCTTTTACCGTTCCTCCATTGCGCGTGGCTCCTGCCGCCCAACCTGCCAACGGCGATAAGAGCAGCGGAAAGGCTAAGCCAGCTGCTTTGTTGAGAGATCAGAAGGAGTTGAGCCTAAAGGAGAATTTGGAGCTGTTCTTGGACAGCTGCAAGAGGCTTTCGGCGCGGGCTGTCGCTTTCCCTGACACTCCTCTGTCTTTCGACAAGGACGACGATGACACTCTTGACTTTGTGCTGGCTACAGCCAACCTTCGAGCTACGGCTTATGGTATCCCCAACAAGACTCGGTTCGACGTCAAGGGTGCGTATAGCTCCATCATGTTGACAATGACTGACACACTATACAGAAATGGCCGGAAATATCATCCCCGCCATTGCCACCACCAATGCCATCATTGCCGGTCTCATCGTCATGCAATCCCTCAACCTCCTCAACCGCATCCATTCCTCTCCCAACGGCGCTTCATCCTCCGCCCCCGACGTTCCTCTTCGAAACGTCTTCCTCCGAAGTGAGCCCTCCAAACCCCTCGGCGCCTTCATTCCCCAACACGCCGACCCATCTTGTTCCGTCTGCCGAGATGTCTACGTCCCCTTCAAGGTGGATCTTGCCAAGTGCACTCTGGGCAACTTTGTGGAGGATGTCGTAATGGGATGGCTGAATGGAACCGAATTTGAGAAGAAGGAAGACGATGAGGAGGTCGAATGGACAGTGTTCGAGGCAGGGAGGTTGTTGGCGGACCCAGACTTTGAGGATAACCATGAGAGGACGTTGGAGGACCTTGATGTGAAGCGAGGCAAGATTCTGACGGTCCGAGATGAGGATGCCAAGTACAGGCCGATACACTTTTGTGTCTGCGAGCCGTAAGTCACCCACTGGCCGAAATCAACATTGCTGACGTCTCATAGCGCTGCCAATGCCACAACTCCCTTCACTCTACCCTGTGCCAAGCCCACTGTCCCTCTCGCATACGTTCAGCCCGAGGCCGTACGCGACTCTTCGGAAGAGCCCGAGATCATCGAAAGTGTACCTCCTCAGACCGAGCCCAAGGATCTGCCGAGCACCACTGCTGGTGTCAAGAGGCCGGCGCCGGACGATGATCAGGGTGATGAGGCGAAGAAGAGGAAGATCACTGTCGTGGACGATGATGACGACTTTGAAATCCTTTGACCGGGTCTGGTCTAGACCATGTCAGATGTGTAGTAGTATATGACATGGATATGATTATCCTCAAGAGTATAGGAGTACATGATGGGCGTATGCAGCCGAGCAGCTGGTACACCTATGCAGTCGCATTCCTCCCCATAACCCTCTTCTTCGTCTTCATCGTCGTCATCGAAAACGCCTTCCTCATCAGACAAGATATCCTCATCATCACTCCCAAATTCATTCCTCACTTTGCCCTTCCAAAAGCTGAGGTTCTTCTTCAGCTGATCTGTTTCTTCTTTCCACTCGACCCTCTCGCGTTCCACTTTCTTCTCCAGCTCCTCAAATCTTGTTTGAATCGTCTGCCGGATTTGAGACGCATTCTCTAAGGTAGCCTCGGACTGGATATACAGTCTGTGGTACTTTTCCACCAAGGCTACGAGCTCTTCCTTGTCTTGCGATGCAAGGTCTTCTTCGAGCTCTACCTTGGCGCGCTTGAAGACCGATGAGCCGGCAGAGACAGCAGGGGTCTCGGCAGGCCGTTTTGCGGGCGCTCGTGCAGTTGCGGGCCCGCCGGCGACGACTTCTGATGCAGGGGCAGTTGGGGTTGTAGTCCTACGGACGGGATGAGCTACAGTATTCTTTGCGGAAACGGACTCCGGACTGACGCGTTCGAAGGCATGACAGCAGAGCTTGATGGCAGCAGTTGACTGAAGTGGAAGAGATCTGGTGTTCGGCAATTAAGCGTTCGGGCGCACTGAAGGAGGATCTGTGTGCTTGTGGATATAAATGCGGGCAAGAGGATGGTGATGAGCAATACCTGAGAAGAAAGCTTCAGATGCATACGGCATGCAGTGACAAGACGCCATCCTGAGTGCCGGTTGTGTATCACCGATACCAGCAACTGCCTCCACCTGCGCTCTCTGCCTGAAAAATTGGGTCGCCACTGCCTAGCTACGCAAAAAAATATGTGCATATCAGCATGTCGTTTCCGTAAGTGTCAAGTAGGGTTTGATTGCCGAAAGAGGAAGGACAAAAAAGTAAAAAAGATGGTCTCGTCCCGGGATTGAACCGAGGACCACCCCCAAAGCGACTCGAAAATCACCCTAAGAGGGCATGCTACCACTGCACCAACGAAACGGCTATGCCACCGAAGACCGATTGTTGAAAACTACAACCTGGTAAAGGGTCAGTACTTGAGCTATTTGTTATGCCAATGAATGCTTCCTCTAACAATGTAGCGATTAAAGGCCCTGAAGCAGACTGTTTATATAAATGGCTCTCAGTACTGGTTCTGGATTTCTTGAATCAAACAAGATATTGCAGAAGAGATTCATGGAACCCCGCGGTCATGCTGACGTGACGTGGTCTCCGTCGCTCGCGCTGTAACCATGACTTGTATATTCAAGACGTTGATGTCATTCAGTATATACTTTGTATACGCAATGGTCCGTAAAACCCGTCCAGATAGAAGTAGAAATAAAGAATAAAATAAACAAAGTCGTAATCATAAGATTCAAAACCCAGATGAGCGAAAAAGATATACCAATGTCCCACAAGTCCCACAAAGTTCGGAATCGTCCCTTCTTGTCTTTCTTATATTGTTCAGCTTCCAGTACACACAGCTGTAGGAACGCTTGCAGCTGTCGCGTCATACGCACTAAGGACCACCGTCAGCAACTGATCTCTCTTTTTAGCAAGTCAAAGTCACTCACTCGGGATAATCACACCCCTTCACTCGCACCCACGCCCCAGTGGTATCAGCTGCATTCACCCATCCACCGCCAAGCGTCACATTCGCAGGATGCGTCGCCGTCGCCAACACATTCCTCGTGCCTGTCTGCGTCAGTGTCGGGAAGAGCGAGATTTGAACGGCAGAGTATGAAGGCGAGGGACCGAGAGCAGTCGGGGGCCAGGCGGAGTGAGAGGCGAGTTCAACAGCGGCGATGGTGGGCGTGGCAGTAGAGGCGAAACTGCCGATAGCGGATGATGGGTAAGTTCCCTCGAACTGCGTCCCATCAGTCTCTGCCTCCTCCCATAGTCAAGGTACTCACCTGATTACCGCCAATGCCAACCCCCTGACAATACCCTCCAGCAACCCTGGGATCCTTCGGAATCCACCCCTGCTCCAATCCAAGCTTGTAATGCCACATTGGACTCGTCGCGTATCCCTTCTCGGTACTGTTTCCAATCTTCCACGTCCAGAAAAAGTGGTTCTGGAGCGCATCCATGTTGGCCATGGTGTATTCCTTGACACTTTCCTTGGTAGCGTCGGACCAGTTGAACCATTCTTCCCAGAAAGTGCAGCTGCCGGTACCGGTGGATTCGTACTGGGGTGTGGAGTCGACGCCGTCGAGCCAGTGGCCGCTGTGCAGGGTCAACACTGAAAAGTTGAGACCGGGAGAAAGACTCACCAGTCGTTGATGGCGTTGGACCATTCTCCGCCGATGGTGATACCGAACTGCGTAGAAGAGTCGTTGGTACCACCACCCCAGCTACAAACAGTCTTGGCTTGGACAGTGTGGTTGTCAGTAGTCTGGGTGGCGAAGGCGAGGTAGGGATGTTGGTCGAGGCCGCTGACAGATCTCCTCAGTCTGGGATCCTGGTATTATGAGCCGTTTACTCACAGTCGATCAGCACCAGACAAGAATCCTGACCAGGCGGCAACACCACGGAAGCCTTCATGAATGAGGATAATGGGACCGTTTCCAGCACCATAGCCGGTGATACCCCTGATAAGCTCGTATGCTTGGTAGTAGCTGCGCACTGTCAGGTTGCGGACTTTGTTGGATGAGTAGGGACTTACTAGGCAGCCAGCACGTCTTGCCCAACCACGTATCCTTGGACCTCATTCACAAGTCCAATCCTAGCGAACATCAGCATCATGTATCATATTTACCATCTTGAACTCACATAGTCACAACCTCCTTGATACCATCCTGCGAGATATACTCTGTGATAGATCGCACAGTCTCAAGCGATCGCTGAGCATTGGCGATACCCATAACACCGTACAAGAAGTTGACAGAACCGCCTTTACCAGAGTGGTTCCAACCATTCTGAGAACCAGGGAGAGAGTGAAAGTCGACCAAGATACGGAGTCCGTACTTTCGGGCCCAGCCGATGGCTTTGACAAAGTAGCTACGCATTAATTTAGCATGTGGCGAGGCGAAGGGATGGGCGAGGCTTACGTCCAGGACACTTTGGGAAGGTATGGTTCGCCATCGATAGTCTCTACAGCCCAATAGCCAAGCGCGATGCTGATCAAAGTCAGCCTCGATAATGTTTGGTGCAGAGGGGGCGCTCACCGGACATAGTTGAGACCAGCACCAGCGATCAAAGCAAAGTCTTCCTCGGTGATGAAAGTTTTGTAGTGCTCTTCCATCTCGGTGGCCAGATTATCACCCATACTATGCCACACATCAGTATCAGGGCATATAGAAGGATACGGACACTTACGCCTGGGAAAGAGTGTATTCGTCGATAGCTTTGGGGGTGGTGTTCTGGTATCGCTCGTAGAGGCCGGGGACAATGAAGGGCTCCGTGACCAGCCAGCCACCGAGGTTGACGCTGTAAATTTTGAGCACTCAGTCCGCAGAAGGTTGCAAGAGTTACTCACCCTCTAACCACGTGCTCGCCCCATTTCCAATCCTCTAAGAGGCTCGGACTGAAACTCTGAGCTTGACCAGAGACCTATCTTTTCGTCAGTCACATGCATCATCAAGAAGGAGTTACTCACAGAATATGGGTCGTACGGGTTCTGAGACCATGTGCCACCAAACTCATTGGTATAGGTGAACTCGTTGCCAAGATCAGAAGTTGCGGTAGATCCATCGCCACCAGATCCAGTCGTGATGTATGAGCTCCAAGTATCCTGCGAGCTGCTTCCATCTGAGCTACCGCTTCCACTGCTATCACTTCCGCTCCCAGAGCTGTCCGAAGAACCCGAAGATCCACCCGAAGAAGAATTGCTCGACTTGTTTTTCTGCGTCCCTACCACAGCCCCGACGACAACCGCCGCTACGATAACGAGCAAAAGCGGTACACCGAAAAAGAGGAGTCTGCGTTTGGTGGGATTGGTCGGGATGCAAGACCTTTCTCGCTTGACAGGCTTCTCTTGGCTGAATCCCATAGGCTCATATCCCAGAGCGCCGGTCGTCGGTTCGTGCGCGTACGGATTTGGCGTCGAGGCGCCGACGGGTGCACCAAATTTAGCAGACGGGTCGAAATGGCTACTGTCTGTCTCGAGGTAGCCATTGTCCCTGCTGGGCGGGATAGACGGGTCCAAGTGAGGAGGGGTGTAGGCCATGGTGGGGAGGAAGATGTCTCTGCTCTCTGAGCGGGGGACGCGTGATGTCCAGGGGGCTGCAGGGGCGCGTCTGCTAGGGGGCTGGGGGGTGTCAGCAGGGGATGGTCTATTATATAGCTGTATTGTGCGTGGAAGAGAAAGAGGCGTGGCGAGAGATCTCTTCTCGAGATTTTTGATCCGCAACACCTTCCGCAAGGCACGAGCCAAACAACAGTTGCAGTCGGAGGCACGCGAGTAACCTGAAGAGAGGTGACTTACCGCCGTCAGGTTGCGCATCTCAGAGCCCTCTTGGTACGCCCGCTGGGCCCGCTGCGGTCGCTCAACATAGTCGGACGGGCGAGGAGAGGCGCGAGGCGAGGAGAACTGGCTGCTGCTCGACGCGAACGGATCGTCCGCAGAGTAGGGGCCGTACGAGGGCGCCGTGAGCCTCGGGGAAAAGCTCCGGCGCTGGGAAACGAGGCGAGACATGCTTCGTCCTGTATCCTGGCGGACTGGAGTATTATAGAGCGTATAGGGAATGGAGAGGAGAAGAGATGCAAGATAGAAATGTCGAACTTTTCCCATGAGAGAACCAAACTCAACGTAACGTTCCTGTCCCGCGTTGTCTCCGTTGCTGGTCTTTTGAGTTTGGGACGCGATGTTGACCGTCCACAGATCCAAAGGCAGTATACTTGCTGCATCGCCATGACATTCAGTGAGATGCAGCGAGATCCTAGAGATACCTTGCATATTTCCAGTGACCAGTGATCAGTGACAAAATCATCACCACTGGTTACTACCGAGTGCCTGCTACCCGGGCCAGGGAAGACTGAAGCCGGGGTACGTACTTTATCATCCGCAGCAGCAAGCTCATGTTCGAGACGCGTCTTCGTTTGCATCGTCGTCTTTATCATCGCTGCAACCCGCTGCAACCATGTCGACGCCCATACCTGCTTTTGTCAAGCCCTCGCAGCTGTATCAAATAACAATAGCAGACTCACGAAGCAAAGGTAACGTCCGTTGAGCCCTGTAAGGGTCAAGGGCAAATTCTTATCCTGAATATGTCATGCTCAACTGCTTTTGTGATTTCCCGTACGTACAGTACCATCTCTATTACTCGTCTGGGTTTGACGAAAATGATGCACAAGTCCAAAAGTCGCACCTACATCGATTCAGGGACGACTGCAATCCCCATCACTGCTGCTCCCAGACTACCAACATCGAGGGGTCTACCGTCTGTGTGTTCACTGTCGAGTGTAGTACTCAATGGACGGTTAGGCCCTATTGGCCCATTCAGTGTTTGATCTTGGGGGTCGAATATCAACGATTGAACCATTTGCTTTTATAATAAGCTCTACACTATGAGGCTTCCCATCCCCCATCATCCACACTTGCCACCTTCCAGTGAGTCTTCAAAGAGGGGCCAAAGGACAAAAAGTAGAGTGTGGGGCCGCCCTGAGGGGTCAAGGACGGTTGTATGGCATGATGGGTAACAACTAGACGCTGACAGGTGGCGCTTCTTGATAGAAATGGCTCACTACTCCAAGGCCCCCAACAACGGCACCTACCCGTATGTACCCTCTACAGCTGGCATGTCGCTCAAGGGTTACATCGCCTGGTGACTTTTTCTCTAGCGTACAATGTTCCGCTCTCAAGAAGAGCAACCACGTCGTCCTACACAACGTACCTTGCAAGATCACTGACATTTCCACTAAGCACGGTGAAGCCAAGGTCCACATAGTCGGTGTCGACGTGCGTATACAGATTGACATGGCTCGGAGAGGCAATAGCGCTGATGCGGGCATAATACAGATCTTCACCGGCAAGAAGTATGAAGACACTGTTCCATCTATCTACCCAGGTCATGCAAGTCCCCAACGTCACCCATCAAGAGTACCAGCTCGCCAGTCTTGATGTAAGCAAAAAGTCATGGATACAACGGAATGCTACTGATAGCCAGAAAGGAGGATGGCGTCCTCGTCTTGGAGCACGGCGCTGAAGGTGCGCCCAAGCACGTCAAATTGCCCCCAGGCAAGCTTGGCCAGCAAATCACCTCCAACTTCCACATGGACAAGAGCATCGTTGTCGCTGTGCTTGGTGCTATGGGTACGCCACGTCTTATTTTCTATCTTGTATATGAAACTGACAATATGCATTGCATGTAGGAGGGGAGCAAGTCGTGTCTCAGAAGGTCACTTGATCTTGTATCTGCCATGATGCAATATGCCTATATAGACAAGAGGTGATTGAAGAAGGTAAAGGATAGTCTGCATGGCTCAATACAGCTACATCATCAGCCAAAGTCGGATCGTATGTACATTGCCGATATGTATAAAGGTGCAAGGCTGTGGAAGCTTCGCTTCTAATCTTGTGATGTGTCACCATTTTTGCTTTTTGACACCATTCTCTATTGTCTTTGGTGACAATGACAATTGGTTCCAGTCTTTACATGATCGACCGTTCAAAATTCAGTATACAAGGATATGTTCTACGCTCATCTTCAAATATAACCTCCTCTCAACACCAAGCTCTTCTCCCTCGCCCTCTCTCTCCACTTGCCACTAGGCGTCCCAGACTTTCTCTCCTCCCTCTCCCTCTCCCTCTCCTCCGGCCTCTCCGACCTCTCCGACCTCACCTTCCGCCCCTGCTCTTTCCCCCGAGTACCAAACGGCTTCACATCCCTCAAATCAATATCCAACCCCAACCCAGATCCCTTCCCTTCACTCAAAAGCGGCCCCAAAACCGGTCGCTTAAGCTCTTCCACCAGCTTCTTCATACCCAGCCACAGCAGCTCTTTCTCTGTTCTCGCTTTGAGCGATGGGGTGAGTTCTGGCCAGTCGCCAGAGAGGAGGCGGTGGGTGATTTGGTGGTATGCCCCGGCTTCTCGCGTGAGAAAGACGCGCATCTCGGTAAACATGCCCTTCTCCTTTTTCTCTGCCTCGGCCCTGGGCTGCAAAGACAACCTCGGGGCCTTCCTCCTGATATTCAGAGGAGGCGTGCTCCCCTTCTCCCCAATCATGGATATCTCATAAGCCAAAGGCGGCACGACCGGCTCATTGGAAGACCCTGGTGTACGAGGTTTGTTGATGAGTTGGGTGTATTGGTTTCGGGTCTGGGCGCGTTTGTAGCCAGAGGGTTTTGGGGATTTGGGGAGGGACAGGTGGGACGACGGAGGTGTAATGGGGTTGAATCTGAGGGGAGGAGAGGGGAAGGGTGGGAGAGTGCTGAAGGAAGAGTCGGGGGACGGGGCAACGTATATCGACTTGAGGTACTCTTCACTATGGTTCTGGTCAGTAGAGTTCCACATTTCGGATAAGAGACATACCGAAGGAGATTCAACTCATAATCACTATCCAGATCACTCTCCTCGGCACTCTCGCCATCCGTCATAGCCGGCATCTTTCTCTCCCTCTCCTTCGTCAACACTTCCCTCTCTTCCCTCTGCTCTCGCTCCTTCTCTCTTGTCTTTCTCTCTTCCTCTTCCTGTACAATCAAACACCCTTGCGCCCACTCTCCCAAACACCCTCCGCCCTTCCTGAGCACCTCCAAAGGCAAGGTGACATTCTCATTCTTTGCAGGGTCAGAGAGCGAGTAGGCAAACTCGATATTCACCAGCGTAACACTCTCTTGCTCGCCTGTGGGTAAACGAGGCAGAGGTTTGCGTGTGAGAGAGAGGAGAGTGGCGTGGAAAGGGGTGTCAGGTTTGGAAGATGTTCGCGGGGGAGGCTTGATAGTCGTGCGATGCGACATACTCGGCCGCTTCAATATCGGCGAAGGCGGGATAGAAGACGAGCTCGACTCTATCCCCGACCCAGATCCACTCGTCATAGCCGAAGACCTCTGCGACCTACCCCCCACCGAAGATGACCTCGAATGATAGCTTACCGGCGGCGAATTGAGAAAGCTCGCATGAGAGTTGGACCTCGAATGAGTATGTACCGCCATGGGACCCGGTGAGAGGAAAGGTGATCTCGCAGATCGACGGTTGGGCGTAGTAGGCATAGGCCCCACAGTATCCTTTGCTTCTTCCCGGTCCTTTATCCTCTCTCCAAGGACCGGCGCTGCACTAGGACTCTTTGCCAGCCCTCGGCCCAGCCTCGGCTCGAGCCCAACCCGCAAGTCTGCGCGAGTGGATGTACTGCGCTCCGGTACGGCAGAGCGCTCGAGCTTGGCAGTGAAAGTATACGAATTGTCGACCGACCTGGAGGACTGGTGCCCGTACGCATGGGTGGAGTGGGGGTGGTTCTTGGAGTAAGGCTGGGGGTAGCGAGCCTGGGAGGGCAAGGTGGGGAGAGAGTTCAAGGAAGGCATGGGCGGAAGGGGGGGTGGTTTGGAAGGCGGGGTGATGAGCCCGGCAGCTTGTTTCATGCTGGAGGCAGCAGCATCTCTTGGCGTTTTCACCACAGTGACGCCAAAGCCAAGATCTGAGGGCGTGCGCGAGTGGCCGACTGTAGATGTCGACATAGGTAGAGGTGGGTGGGAGGAAGAGGCAGAAGAGCCGAGGGTGAAGAATCGTTTAGGGGATTTGGGGGGACGAAAGTCTGAGAGGAAAGAAAGGCCCGGTGCGGGGGCGGAGGATGAGGAGAATGAGGGCATGATGCGGTGAGATTGGGTGGAGATGTTGAATTTGGTGGTGATTGAGGCACTTGTGTAGGATGTTGGTTGATGTAGGTGTCAAGATTGGGAGGTAACTGCGGTGAGCGGTGTGGATATGTATAAGGCCCTGGAAGAACGAGTCAGTGACAAAAAGAAAGAGGAGGAATGCAAAACATTATTGTCTGCTCCATGGCCGGCAGCAAAGGGAACCGCCCGTTTCAAGGACAATGGAATCGGCGAATTACTAGGGAGGCGGGGGTCGCCGCTCAGGATCGAAGCAGGTGGCGAAGGACCTCCTTCAAAGTCATTCCTGGATCTGATTGCAGGAATCGGCTATCGAAGGGAGGGAGAGCACCTGTGGATGAGCATACAGTATACGATTAGACAGCATTACCCTGGGCAGAGAACGGCATTCCTCCGAGCCGAGCGAGCGGCCTTCCTCATCAGTCAGCACCGCCACAAGGCTTCCCTTGATGTCGGTGATCAAATATGACCTGCAGAGCTCAGTGAATGATCTTGACTGCATGAACACGTATACCGCAGGGACGCAACAGAGACGTTATGACTCTACCTGAAACCCATCCCTCTCCCTGCCTCCACACTCTATTCTACACACCTTCTCCCATCCACACCACCTGCCTCTCCTTCACCACGAGGTTTGACTTGCGAGCGCGAGTTGCGCAAAGGTGAAGCTCAGAGGCCACGCTGCCGGGCGAGAGCTATGAGGTCGACGGGAGGGAATTCGACGCCCTCGGGAGGTTGTGAGGTCTTTCGGTTGGCGGGGGAGGCCATCTCGCTGTATCACTTCTTTCAGTGCGAGCCCATTTCATAATACTGGGAGAGGAGACGCACCGTCTCAACTCGACAAGCACAGTCTCGAGAGTAAAGTTCCTGTTCCACCTAGCGATCGTGGCGATACGGGCAAAGTCGACCTGTCACGCGAGCGTCAGTCACACGCCTCTTTATTACTTTCTGTCTAGAGACCGGTGCTGCTTGCTGGGGATGATGAGAAAATGGACATACGAGGCCTTGGGCATTCACGCAGGGAAGGTTGATCTTCGATTCAAACTTGACAAGAGGAGGCACATCTACGCCGCCCATCAGCTCCAGCCCCCTTCTTCCTCCCTATCCCCTCATTCACCTCCTACCCTCTCAAAGAATCACACTCACCAGGATAGTTGTCCCCACAAATGATACTCAAACTAAAGATCCTATTCTCATAAGCCGAATGGGGCGGCCCGATGATGGTGCCATTCCACTCGTACATGGCAATATCGTCGCCGTCCTTGAGCCCGTACGAGCAGGAGCCATCTCCGATTCCTTTCTCGCCGTGCTCGAGTTCAGAGAGGAGCCGGAAAGAGCGGGGGACTGTGGGTTGGGGTGTGTGTTAGTGATCAGGACTCTCTTTGGGCGGGGGGGTGTGATTGTTGGTGGTGGGGTATGGAGTGGGGAGGGGTAGCGCCAGCTGGTAGGTTGAGCAGACTTACCTTTGGCCATGGTGTATAGATAGTGCAGATGAAAGAGATGTCAGTCGTTCTCGGACATGGTGGTGACGGCGACTCCCGAATCAGCTCCCGTCGCCCTCAAGTGGTCCCGCCATTTTCCACTCTCCTCTATCATTCCTCTACTTCTCAAAAACAACCCCACACAATCCTCAAGCACTCCCTGAAGACACAAGCATTCAATATGGACTCTCTTCTGGCAGAAATCTCCAAGCAGAAGCGCGCCCTGCAATCAGACGGCGCCGACGAAGGACCTGCGAAAAAGTATATGCGCCGGGCTGATGTAGAGCGCGCCAAAGAGGAGGAGGAGCAACGGCGGAAAGAACTAGCCAAGCAAGAAGAAGAGAGAAAGAAGGAGATACTACAGGCTGAAAAGGCCAAGAGGGTGAGTCTGGCCAGGACGGTTGTAACGCAGTCGCTGAATGATTACAGGCGGAAGCCAGACGATCAGCTCTAGGCAAGCTCAACCCCGCCTCCCCCGCCCCTTCCTCCTCCCGCAACACCCCCGACCCATCCCTCCCCTCCGAAGAACGCTTCAACATCTCCCCCGAAGAATGCATCCGCCGTCTCCGAGCCAAAGGCCAGCCCATCCGTCTCTTTGGCGAGTCTGACAAGGAACGCCGTCTCCGTCTGCGAGCTTTGGAGCTTTTGGAAGAAAGAGGGCCGTCCGGGGCGCAAGGGAGGAATGATTTCAAGTGGGCGTTGGAGGAGATGGAGAGTGGGTTTGATGAGAAGGGGTTGGAGAAGAAGGCTAGGGAGTTGCATAGGCTTGCAGAGGAGAGGGGTAAGCTGGAGGGTTCTGGATCTGCGGGCACGCCTGTAGAGGGAGAACAGGAAGAAGGCAAGGAAGGGAAAGAGGTGGAGAAGAAGAAGAAGGGTGTGGATATGGGCATTCTGGATCTGAAATTGATCAAGACGGATCCCAACAAGGTCTACCCTATCATCTACTATGCTCTCAAGGTGCGTTCCATCTTCACATAGTATACCAAGTATACCACGCTGACATGAAGGCAGGGTGTACTGAAAGAGTGGGAAGCATGGATGGACAACCGTCCAGAAGAGATCCGTCGCTCGACACAAGGCAAAATGGCAGCCGCCACCCAAGTCCAATCCGCCCAATCCCTCAAACCCCTCTTCCGCTCTCTCCGTTCCCGAGACCTCGCCCCCGATGTCCTCCGTCTCCTCGCAGAGATCGTTCATCACATGCAGAGCCGGGCGTACCAAAAGGCGAATGATGCGTATTTGAGATTGTCCATAGGAAATGCGGCGTGGCCGATTGGTGTGACGAGTGTGGGCATTCACGAGAGAAGTGCGAGGGAAAAGATTGGGCAGGATAATATTGCGCATGTGTTGAATGACGAGGTGTCGAGAAAGTACATCCAGGCGGTTAAAAGGTGAGCACAATGGGCACCATTCAAAGTTTATACGCGCTGATGTTTGGCAGATTATTGACATTCTCGCAAACTATCCGACCACCTGCCGATGTCTCTCAATTGATGGGTTAGAGGGGATCTTCTTTGTTGTTTTCATATCTTAGGTATATGCATTGTTAACCCCAACGGTACACAGCAAACTCTGGAAAGCTCTTTTCTCCTCTGTACAACATGAAGTTGGGTTCGTGTATATCCTCAGCTTTCATTTACTTTCCAAAGTCCGATCTTCTTCTCAAACAGTTACGCCACAGCGCTCAAAATGTCACTGACATCCGACCTCTCCTTTTTGCGCAAATGCCAAGACTTTGGCACTGGAAAAGATGTGTTTTAGCAGAAGAGACACAGGTCAAAGCATAGGAGACCAGCACAGAGACCAGCTGGGGATGGATGTCAGCAATGGACTCGGTCCCACGGGCAGCGGTACTTACCACAGAGACCAGCTCCCGCGCCCGCACCACCGCCCATCCCTCCTGCTCCTCGCTGATCCTGCACATACACCGGCTGAGTCTGATGAGCATACATCGGCTGTTGTTGGCCACTGCCATCGCTCTTCGTTAGCTATGTTCTCATATAGACCTCGATGGCAAGCTGTAGAAACTACCAGAATGTTGTCACTCACTACGGCTGTTGGTAACCACCCCCGTAGCTAGGCTGAGGAGGCTGCTGCTGGCCTTGCCAGTTCTGGGGCATGGAGCTGGTAGGGTACCAGTTTCCATCGCTGGCCTGGTACATTTGCTGGCCGCTTTGGTTTTGCTACAGCCACGAGGGTTAGCAGGAGACGTGGGATGGGACACGAGGGCATGGTGATGGTGGACGTACGGTGGGGTAGCTGGGCTTGCTCATGGTAGATATGGGTTGTGGGTAAGTTATGGAAAGATGAAGGACAGGAGATAATTGTGGATGGAATAGAAAAGCGATGAAAATGCGAACCAAATACGTAGCCAACAGCTGCGCACGGGAGCCAAGAAAGAGAAGGTGGCAAATTTACGTAATTGCGGCCATCTCCGATCATTCTCGGCTCCCCGCGGCCGCCAACAGTCGAGCAATGTTGACGCGTTCTCCAGCGTTTCTAGCATCTCTTGTGCAATCTAGAGAGACAAGTATAATCATGGGAGGAGTATCTCCAGAGCAGTGCACCGCGGTCAGTGTGATCACTTTCAAGAGTTCCAGATCGCACTGACGCTTCAAAGACACACGATGTGCCCACCCTCGTCCTGTCCCTTGTGTTGATCACAGGCTTGGTCATTAGTTACTTGCCTCAGGTATGGCTTCAAACTATACATATGATTGATCTGTCTGACAACTCTAGCAGCATCTATCTATCATCTCAGCCCGCACGTCCGAAGGGATATCGCCGGTAAGCTGATCCTTCTGAAGTTTGCCGCTTGCAGCTGAAGACCCTTGTGCAGTGGTATCTCCTATTGGGTGCAACTTCCTCTGCTTCGGGGGTATTGAACCTCCTCATCGTCCAATGGCCTTTATTTCGGTGCTGCAGTGTCACCGTAAGCTACATACGCACGTGAGCTCGAACCTTTGTTAACGAGGACAGAGCGCCGGCAGGTGTTTCGAGTCTTTGCTCGGTTTCTACCAAGTCACTCTTCAGTGGCTCCTTTTCAGTATAGTGTGAGTACCCAGTATACATGGTTTGATCCTGCTGATATCATATAGCCTCGTTCTCTTCCTGATATACTTTCCGAAGCACCTCAAATATCAAGTCGTCAAACCGATATCATCCTCCGCTTCGTCTCTTGCCGAGCCCAACTATGGAGCTGTACAGCACCATCACGAGGAACACGAAGCAGAGCATAGTCTGGAAACTGATACGTCCAAGTCGACTATCACGACAACACCCGAGTGGAGATTAGCAGTGACCCTTGCCATCGTCGTGGCTTTGCACCTGCAAGTCATATCTCATGAATGTATACCTTCATCATCACTAATGGCTTTTTAGCGGTCTCCTCCTGGTAGTATCCCTGGCATCACTTCTTGTCCTCCCCCCAACAACCCCTCCCCACCCCCTCCTCCGCTCCCTCGCAACCTTCCTCGGCGTCTCTGCCACCCTCCTCGCCATCCTCCAATACGCCCCCCAAATATACCAAACCTACAACTCCAAGCTCGTAGGCGCTTTAAGCATCGGGACGATGGTGATCCAGGTGCCGGGCAGTGTGCTGTTTGTGTTGAGTTTGGTGTTTAGGGAAGGCACGGATTGGACGAGTTGGTTGGCGTATGCGGTGACGGGTGGTATGCAGGGGGCTTTGCTGGTCAGTTGTGCTGTAAAGAGATTGAAGTGTGACTTACCCTCTGTAGGTGATATGCTTGCTTTGGAAGCAGAGACAAAAGAGGCTGGGGATTGATGACTTTGGCGATCCCTTACCCGAAGCCACCGAGAGTAATGAGGCCCAACCACTCGTCAACGGACAATGACTGATGCTCGCCCGATGGGATGATCAAGCTGTATATAGGTGGTGCCGGCATATAGCGCGTGACCAATGCATATTCACATAATGATCTACAAATGGTCAAAACGCTGCCCCCGTCGACCACTCGAGCCCGTCCACCCTGCCCGCCATGACCCTCATAACCCCCACCATATCCATCAACGACAAATCCCCTCGCTGCGCTATAGCATGCACCGGCCGAGATGGCCGCAGCTGTACCAGATATGGCTCGTTCTTTGCTGGTGATTCCTCCGTTTCGGAGGAGGAAGTTGATATGCGTGTTATGGATAGATGAAGGGTGAGGGGAGTGGAGGTCGGGATTGGGATTGAGAGGTGGAGGAGGTGTCCTGAGAGGGTGTATGTATGCGTATGCCTTGTGCACTATCAGTACAAGAAGAGTCGGGAGTAAGAAGACTCACCGGAATCCGAGAACGTCTATAAATTGTTCTATCTCTTCTGTCGTACTCTCATCTTGCACCTCAATAGCAAGCAGAGCCCTGACGGCCGCTTCCGAATATTCCGCCCCCCTCAAAGGTGCCGAAATATACGCCAGCGTATGCACCCATCTCTCCTCCCTTTGCCCCTCAACCTCCTTACCCTTTCCTTTCCCCTGTACTCCCTGCCCCCCAACAAGCTGAGAACGGAATCTCAAACTCCGTAGCTGACCCGGTAGAACAGGGTTGGCAGTGGTGTACATCCGGTCGACGATGTGGTATGCTTCGGCGTGGATGGCCTGCAAAGAAAGGTGTGCGAGGATGGGACGGTGGAGGGCGGGAGGGAGGATTGCGTAGAGGGTTGGTTCCAGGGGAGCTGTTTGTGAGGAGGGTGCGGACATTGTGGAGATGACAGTCAATGGAAGCTGGAGGGGAGGTGTAAGGTGATGGCAGATGGTGCCAGCTGTGACTGGATGAAAGAGAAGAGTGGCCGGCGGTGATGTCCGCAAGTCTGCCCGACGGCCCTTTCCCAAAAAGAGATACAAATGAAGAGATACTATGCTCCATGCAATCACGTACTCACCAAACAGGGGCAGGGTTCCATCGAGACGTCAAAATGCCTGCAGAGCGTACCTCTAAACCTTCCACACGGAGCAATCCCCGGCACCCAAAAAGACAATCAAAGTACAACCTCCTAAGCAAGTCGCACGAGCAGCACCGGCTTCCAGCTCGCGTAGCGGCGCGAGTAACGTAGCGAGTGAGCTGTTTCAGGTGTATCGAAACAATAGTAGACTCATGTTATGTAGTAGCTCCGAGCGCAAACAATCCTCCATCTGGGAAAGCGAGGGCGAACGTGGCTGGTGAATATTGCCCAATGACAATGAGCTTTTTATGTTGACCGCTGTCACGCTGATAATACCTCGGTGCCGCTGAACACCAATGACAGAACAATGACACACATTAGTGCCTCTCAACCATCTCCAGCAAATTCCATCGCTGGGCCATCTCCAGCTCAGCCAGCCTCCCAAATCCCAGATTTCGAGGCTGTCCTGCGACGAGTCGAAACTTATCTCGACCGTGCTTCTGCCGGCCGGCCGGTGAGCTTTGAGCTTATCTCCAAGAACATCCAGACACGCCATCCACATACCCGTACCAAAACAACTTCACTCGCGAGCTTTTGCAAAACAGCCCAAGTCTTCCCCAAATCCAAGTCACTCCGAGAGGTAGCACTTGAGCTTTTCGATATCGCCGAGAAACTAGAACCCAATGAGGACGAGTCGCATTCGGAAGTGGAGAGGCATTGAAGAAAACTCCGGGGCCTCTAGAGAATCCTAAAGCTGAAAAGTATTGACAGCTGTAGCACGGCGTAGAGCGAGCCAGGGTAACTCAAGGGTGGATGCGAATTGAGGCTGAGGAGAGGGCGGAGCAACTCGAAGATGAGCTGGAAGAGATGAGGGACGAGATGAGCACCAGGAGGAGGGGACGTGGCAACTGGGACGATGACCCACTGAGCTTGAGGAACATGGGCGGGGGCTGCTAGGAGACCGTGCCCAGCCCGCTCCTCAGATGTCCAGGGTGACGGACCGCAGGCGATAGTAGTAGAGCTGAAAGATGGCGCGAACGGTGCAGCAGGTGAGGCTTCACAGAGGTCTTGCAATGGACGCGTGCTAATGTAAAAAAGGTCATTCGGGTGAAGCCAGCGATGAAAGACCAGCCCCTGTAGCTCCTGTCGCTCAGCCAGCTATACCAGCACAGTCGTGGCAACCTCCCGCGCACGACCCTGCTGTCATCCTGTATGATCAGGACGTAGATTCTCCCCTCGTGCCATCCACATACCCTTACCAAGACGACCGCGCCCGCGAACTACTACAAAACGCCCAGGCCTTCCCCGAAGCTACCTCTCTTCGAAAGACAGCATTAGAAATATTCGATATCGCCAGCAAACTTCATCCTCACGGGCTCGCGTCCGACGAGGCTGTAAACCCTCCCGACGATCAACCTTTGGAGAATGCTGAAGCGGAGAGGTTTTGGCAGATGTACCTTGTCAGCGAGCAGGCGAGGCATTATGAAACCCAAATGCGGACTGAGGCCGATTTGAGGGCGGAGAAAGCTGAAAATCAAGTGGATGAGTTGAAAGATGAGGCAAAGGAGATAGATGAATGGAAGGAGAGAGCCGAGATCGCTGAAGTCAAGCTCGAAGAGGACACCTGGGCCAGTATGAAGAGAAGAAGACTGGAAGCGTATGACGAAATAGGATGGTGAACGTCTGATGTCTGACAGGCTCCCACCAGGAAGCAAAGCGGCGATGCAGCTCGTTGTACCATTGAGTACTCGTATAAGACTGCGAGAGCGCCACATTGAATGAGATGCAATCACCGGACGAGATGCAAAATGAATGCGTTACGATATACTCTTTCGTTTCTGTGTATGATATACTCTTTCGTTTCTGTGTATGAATATATATGCTGTGGTGAAGTACAGTATTTTCTCAGTGCAGACGCCGCTAATCTGCCCTTGAGCCGACACACAATCCTATGGCTCTTCCCCCTCCACCCCAAAAGCTCTATCGGCCATATTCCTCAGTACACCCATCATGCCACCTTCTCCAATCAGCATGCCACGAAGGTCCCCCGCCAGCTCTCTGATCACCATGCCCTCCTTGCTCCCACCCTGAGACAGTGACATCCTTCTCTTGGTCGTAGAACCTTCACCATCCAGATCCATCCCAACTTCCTCAGTTTCAAAGCCCCTTTCCTCCGGTGAAAGGAGAGCATGTCGCAATGACAGCTGCGTATAGGAGACAAGCGCGGTTGACTCCAGGAGCTGGGAGGCGATGTCGCGTATTTGCTGCGTTGCACTCGCCGACGGTGTCATATTATAATGGCCACCAAGAGTGGGCGTCAAAGATGGCAGCCGCTCGAGGATGTTTTGCACAATGACGTAGATGTCATTGATGATGCCCACAGGGTCTGACGAAGTACCGCTTGCGTTTTCGTCCTCTGGCAGAAGGATAAAGTCTTCAATACGCTCAGACTCGATCGCATCTCGCAGAGCTTCCCACGACCTGGTGAGGACGGTGAGAGTGAGGATGATGGTCCGAAGCAAGCGCAAGAGAGTGGTAGCTCGCCCGGCAATGATGGGTGTGCGCCTCACGTCTAGCAGATCGACATCTTGCTTCTCCTCCACCACAGCAAGCTCCTCTTCCAGCTTTTCTCTCTCTTCCTCAGACGATGGTACGACAAGTGTTGAGAAGAGGCGAGGATGGGAAAAGGCAAAGCGGATGCCTTTCAGCAAAGCAAGAGCTGGGACGGCATAGTCGTCAAGGGACCTGGGCCCCAGAGCGCAAGCAACGCCATACTGAATATCGACAACCAACTCCATTTCCTCCAATGCCGGAATGGATAGAGGTGTCTCCCCGTTCCAAGCAAATGCCCTTTGCATCTGCGCTGAGCACACCCGAAGGAAGGGAACGATGTCTGTGCGCGTGAAAGAGGCAGTATCAGGTAAAGTTGCGAGAAGCGCCTTGACGACTAGAAGCATGCCGCACCAAGCGTCGTGCACCGTGTTCCCTTGACTAGAAGGCGCCTCGATCTTTCCCATCTCGGCTTCGGCGATGATAGCATTGTCAGAATAAGCTGGGAGGATACCCGACACTGCAAGCTTCTCGGCCGATGAGGGGTTGCCAGCGAGGGCGAGATGAAGTAGCAAGATGCTCGAAATATGGAGAGGGATCTGCCCATCGGTGATTCGAGCCTTCACAAGGACATCCAGGCTCCGGCTGACGAGGTTCACGCCCTGGACACGATCGAGCCAGGTGTTGGCTGACGTCGATAGTCGGCTGATAGCGCAGATGACTCCCACCACCATGCTGAGGATGGGGACGAAGGCCGGTTGAACCTTCCGCACAATAGAGTCGAGGACAATGTCCGCAGACTCGAGAGCGAACACGGTCCCGGCATCCACAATTGCCTCGCGAGAAGCCACGCTGGACGCAGTGCTCTCAGAGGAGGATAAGTATTGCAGCAAGAGGAATAGTATTCTCAGTGCCGGCTGGTGGATAGCAGGAAGGTCGGGTTGGCGCAGGGATATTATGGGAGGGAAGCTGTGGCTATTGATGACGCTGTAGATGTATGTCGAGAGACGTTGGACAAGAAGAGTATCAGGTTTGTGCTCCTCCTGCGGGTCTAAAGCCGTCTCCAGTAGTACTGCGAGAATTGACAGTCGCTCCACCTGGATAGCAAGCATGATATCCCCTTCCCTGTACTCCCCGGCAACGTTCTCGGCGATGGCGATGGATGCCTTAATCGCTGCAGTCATTGCCAGAGCATCTCCTTCGGCCCAAGCCGCGATATTCTCAGTCAGAAGACGGAAGGACCGGGTAAGGGCTATGTCTGCGTCGAGCATCGACCAATTGAGGTTTAGAAGATCGAGAGCTGAATTAGCCGTAGCTTGTTTCGAGGAAGATTCCGGGACAGTGATCACCCCATCTGCGAAACATTGGTCTAGATTCTTTCAAGTTTTTGTCGACTTACCGTAGAGGTAGGATTGCCCGAACTCTCTTTCACACCCGACTCTCGCCGTCTTCAAAACATTCAGGTTACCGCCACACTCATCGATCTTCCGCTCTTGCTCTTCATGCAGCTGAGGCACACAGCTGGTGTGGCAAGCCATGAGCCCTGCCTCTTGCAACGCCAGGTCGTTCCTGAACAGACTCAACACCAACTCTCTCGCTTTCGTCTCCGGCTCATCCTCATCGTCATTGTTCATGGCATACGCCAACTCTGCCGCAAGGAGAGACGTGGCGTTAGCCTTGGCTTGTACCGAATAAGCATAACGTTTGATTCGAGGGACAAAGTCTTCAGAGTGCAGTGACAAGGCGAATGATGGCGGAGCGGGAACAATCCGAGTAGACAGATCAAAGACATTCTGCCAAAATTGCTTGTTCTTTCTCAGGATGCCAATTGCACTGTCCGCGCCTGCTGACCGCAGCGCCGACTGGATGAAATTCAGTACAGCGGCGATCAGGTGCGGGGCATCCCGGAAGATCTCCTCCCAAGATTCCACCTCTGCGACAGCGTCTTTCAGAGGGCCCGTGAGCTCGTTCTCGTTATGACCAAGGACCGAAAGCACACAACCCGGTTGATTTGAGACGATACTGGCAAGAAGATGCCATGTAGCAGCCTTGACGTCAAAGTCATCAGACTTTTGCGAGGCTTCGACAATGTCGCCAAAGGTCTTCGAAGGGCTACGAAGCATGCTCGCCAATGAAGGTCTTTGAGCCTCTCCGCCAGTGACCTCAATATAAGTTCTGAGTGTGACCAGGACGCTCAAGACGTTGCTCGTCTGTGTCATGGGCGTAGAAGCAATCTCAAAGAGAGAGTCTACCAGCTGAATCTTGTTCAGATCAGCCGAGGACACGGGTAGGGCGAGCAAAGATTTCGGTAGAGCACTCGATGGCGAGCCGATGAGGAAGGAAGCCCTCAAAAGGGTGGCGAGGAAAGACATGGTCTCATCGAGACATTTGACTACCAGCTCAGCATCTGCAGGCCGCCGCGAGTTGATCAGCCTGGGTACGAGGAGGTTTGATTGCGTGACAGCTTCGATGAGGGGTCGGTAGGTGAGAGGGGATGTGGATGATATGAAGAGGTCAATGAGAATTTGAGCCGCGGGTGCAGGCTTTTCCGAGTTGGGCGACAATGGATGGGATAAGACAGTGTCAAAGATGGCGGTCACCAGCGACGACAGCTCGTACTTTTTCGCCACATCCGAGTACCTCCACGTCAAAAAGTTGTTCCAGATATCAAAGAACACCAGCCTAAGAGCAGAAGTCAAAATGACTGTATCGGCTTCAGGCACGTGCAAGGCGTTTTGGGCCAGAGTGAGAATCAGCCTCAAGAGCGACGTTGTAAGGTGGTGGTGACCTTGGACGCTCTCCGCCTGTACCAGCCCTGCTACGCTCGCCTTCCGCTTTCCGCTGGCGTCAAAGAAACCTGATGCTCTTAGAGCAGGCCAAACGTTACTCGAAGGGGTAGTGATCAGCGCCTCGACCACATCGACAGCATCCGATACCACACCAACGTCCATTGCCAGCTCGGCGATACGGCTTTGATGAAGCACCGTAAGCGCGAGTTGTAGCAACGCTTGGCCCGAAGACATGTGCTCTTCGGGGATGAGATGCGTAAGGAAAGTGGCTTTGAGATATGGAGTAGCGTGGAGGATGTTTCGAAACAGTTTCAAGCCAGCGGCAAGGATTTCTGCCGACGGTTGTTGGATGTCAAGGTCTCTGACAGACAGGTAGCCGCTATCCTCTAAGTGATCGGCGCTCGCTTGCGTTTTCTCGTCGATAGGACGAAGACCTGCAGCAGCTTGAAGGATCTCCAACAGGAGAGACCAACCAGAGATGATCTGGTTCACCCACATGACCTGAGAGGACCCATTCTCAAAGATTATGACACCTTTGGAACCTCGGGGAATACTCTCGCCGCCAGGCAGCACCAATGTTTGGGCCGCCTCCACAACCTCCACCCCCGCCTCGGTCCCCAAACCTCTACACCACGCCGACTCATACGCGTGCGTGATTGAAGGCAGGTTGGTAAAGTAGTGATGCACCTGGCTTGCGGCATCAGTGCCAAAGACATCTGGTTCGCCTTGACCAGTCAATGCTGCGAGGGTTCGGGGAAGGTTGGTCGGCTGGTATGGGAAGTGACTACGGTCGAGTACGGCTCGTCGTTCCTCGTATTGGAAGTCGGCTATCCAGAAATCTGCTGCACTGAGAGAAGAAGCCGATGGTGATCCCTACTTGATGAATCAGCGACGTCACAATCAGATAGATGACACTTACACCACCAAACAGCAACTCCCAACTCCTGTACAATCCCGGCCGGTCGGCGATACTCTCCAGCTGCACCAATTCTGTCAGGCCAACCAAGACATCTGTAAAGACTCGTAAGTTTCCTGTCTGATCGCTGCGCATCAACTTGCCTTTGAAAACCTTCCGGTAGAAGGCGCCCTCTTCGCCCCCAGTCCCCTGAAGTGCGCCTTCAACCAATGATCCACTCAGAATTGTCTCCACCCAAGGGAAAAGACCCGAAGGCAGCCGCAAAGCCCTGATGGCCATTCCCTGCCACGTCGTAGCTCCATCTACAGTGCTCGATGGTGCTACCGCAGGATCAAGCGACCTAAGTACCATAGACCAAACAAGGCAGATGATTGGCATTGGCCAAAGAGGGAGCGGGACTGTACCGGGTGCGGCTTCGGGGATGTGAGGTTCTAAGTCGGTAGATTGTTCCACAAGGAAATCGTGCACAGAGGCAATCGTCTTTTGGGATTGGATGAGGGTGTTGAGGTCGAGAGATTCGAGAGGATCTGGAGGGGAGATGATTTGCCCGAGGCAGAGACTTTCAATGGCAATCACGACCATCAAGTCTCGTATTCTCAGCGCAATAGCCTGAGCCTCTGAATTCTCCTCCCATATATCTCCATTGGCTTGCGATGTTCCAAACGCAGACATGACGCATCCACGAATGAGGCCTTCGGAGATACCAGCAGACCTCTTTGGAATTTGGTAGACGAGGACAAAGAGGAGGTTGAGAAGGATCTCTTGTAGGCGTAATTGGAGTGTAGCCCTACGCCGGATCAGTAGACTGTCTTCTTGACGCCTACTATCACGTACCAGAACAAAGCGTCCATCTTCCTCTTCTTCTCATCGACCTCCTTCTGCGCCAATACACTAAAACCCCTAAAGAGCCCCTCAATATACTTCTCCGGCTCTCCAATCGCCTCTACCCTCACATCATATGCCAGGTTCCCCAAAGGCGTCTCGTCGTCCGAGAGCTTGAGGACTGCCAGCGCGATTTGAGGCACCGCAAGCGTCTCCTCCGCTACCCACAACACCACCCTATCCACAATCCTCTCTTCACTCGTCTCTTCGTCCAAGCTATAGTCTAGATATGACCTCGTCGCCAAGAAAGCGGCGGATTCGTCCATATCCAGCAGATCCGACACCTCCAAGGCGATCTTCCTCACATTGTCGGCGACTGTGAACGCGACTTCCGTTTGGGGCAGGGTAAAGGTCGCTTTCTTGATCGCCTCGCGAGCAGTGTTTGACCGGCGCTCGTAAGGATTCCATGGTGTGGATATGTGTTGTTTATATCGGGCGAGGAGGGCGCGGAGTTTAGGGATGGGGATGGTATCAGAGTCGGGGCGGAGAAGGGTATCACGGATGGTCGTTAGAGGACTGAGATATGTAAGCTCGTGGGTCATGAGCGCCTCAGCACATACCATAAGAGGTCCTCTGTTGTGAGGCTGGCCACCGCCGGTGCTTGGTTGACCATTTTGAGAGAATAAATTGAGAGTCGAGATGTATAAATGAGAGAAGCGACCACGGCATAGAGAGGCTGCCGTTAAGTGGGTGGCGTAGATGCAAACGATGCATCTGTCATTCGGCCAACTTGCGGCCAACTGCAGTTCAACTGTTTCTTTTTGGATCACATGCATGCATAAAACGTCTATTAAACACTGGGAGACAATCAAATAACTACTGCTACAATTAGAATCGGCGCTAGAAGCATGAATTCACGACGTGACATATCCTTAGGATAGGGGAAGGCGCTTTGTTGCTCAACTTTCAGCTTAGTGAACGCCTCCACCAGCCGATTCGAACGTGGAGGTTGAAAGGGTGGAGGATGATGGAGGATGTTTGTCATGTACTAGAGAATATCCAAGACGATTTGTATACGACTGGCGCAGAAAATCGGAAAATCACTCAAGCGAAGTTTCCGACCAGCAAGCGTAGCGGGGAAGGCCGCCCACCGTCCACATGAATCACGGTTGTTGACGAGACATATCTCGCCGATGATAACGGAAGGCCGAGAAGCGTATACACATATACATACTCCACGCGCTTCTGAAGGAACTCTAGAGAAAATGTTGATCTGGGTCACTATGATCATGATACTCGCCTCTCTCTCTCCAAGCCGTCTCTCTATTATCATTGGGCCATGACAGCAGTCTCTCCACTGTCCTCATCCTCCTCATCTTTTTTCGGCTGCCGATAGAATACCGCGGTAAGAAGAGCAGCCAGCAACTGCCATCCGACGACGAACCAGAACGAACCAGAGACATTGTCCCAGTTGCTGACGTTGCCGGGGTGGAGGGTGAGAAAACCAGCTTGAACGGAAAGCCCAATGACGGTGCCAAGCTGCAGGGCTACTTGAAAGAGCGCACCCGCGACGCCGCCCATCTCTTTATCGACACTGGTCACGATAGCGACACTGTTGATGTTGTCAGTTGGCACCTCTTATGGGCGCAATGTTGGGTTACAACTCACTTGGCGCAAAGGAAGAATACCGTATTGGCACAGCTCCCTACTATGAAAGCAGGGAATAGCCACCTCCAGTACGCATTGTGGAAGATCTCGCCTTCCGAGTAGATCATGGGGATGACCAAGAGCCCAGAAATACCCAAACCAAATACCATCGGCCACCGAAGATTGCGCACATTCTTGAGTATGCGGGGCAGAACCAAGGCAACGATGACTGCCACAATCGAGGAAGGAAGCATGCGAACAGCAGCAACGATTGCGAGCTCGTCCCAGACAATGAGAGAGCGTTCAATGAATGCAAGCTGAGTCACCTAAAGACAAATGTCAGCGAAGTATAGAGGTGATTGTAGTACTCACCGCCCAGAGAGGATAGATCGCCAACGAGCAGAATATGATGAGGGCCGTGTTCCTCAACTTCCAGAAACGTGGCGGAATGAGGGCGTAACCCTCCGGCAATCGGGCTTCCCAAAAGAACAAGGACACGAATATCGGCCAGGAGAGAAGGAAGGGCACCAGGAATCCGGGCTTTCTCCACCCGAAAGAAGACCCCAGAGTAAGACCAAGAACAAACAAGATAATGCCGGACAACATGAGAGCGCAGCCAACAACATCCAAGCGTTTAAGTCTGTCTTTACGGTCAAGCTTCTGGTTATCGAGCCGGCCAGCTTCTGAGGGAATAGCTTTCAAAGCAAAGATACCGAAGGGCGCGACGACCAATGCGATACTCTATGACCGATGTCAGTACAATTCGGGACTCGGAGTCTCAGAAGCTTACCCTAAAGAACCATCTCCATCCGGCCAGTTGGTTCGAGACTGTTACAAACTCGAAAACTGCGGCGATGATCATAGCTGAGCAAACAGCCAGTGGTCCGCTCATAATAAACATGGTCAGGGCAATGTTGAGCTCTTGAGGTTCGAAAACCGCGACAATCAAGCGATAGGCCGAGGGTATCTATACCTGGTCAGCCGTGGCACATGAGGCATGATGGTGAAGACTCACAGTTGCGGCTCCACATATCCCCATCAAAGCTCTGAAGACAAAGAAAGCATACTGATTTGGCATGAATGAAACCACAAGGCTGAATAATCCCAGAAGGAGAAACCCATATGCAAAGACTGCTTTAGGCGAATAGAGGTCGGAGACGCGACCCCATAGAAGGAGGAAGGATGCGAAGGTGACAGTGTATGCCGTCTACGTGCAAGGTCAGTGAAGTGTCAGAACAATAGTCTGATGGTCAATGCACGATAACCCAAGACGAGGACTCGTATAGGATACCGAGATCTTGCTGGATGCTGTCGGTCAAAATCAAGCCACTCGAGTAGAGCGCGATGTCGAGGTACTTTGATGTTTAGGTCAGCAGGGATCCTTCATGAAAGCGGTACCCGGCTCACCTGTGCCGCACTGAAGACAAACAGCAACATCCATTTTCGTTTCTGGGATAGCTTGACATGTACGCCTGCTTCCGGCTCTTTCACTTTGGACTCCGCACGGGCCGTCTCTTCGCTCATTCCACCTTGAGAGTGATTAAGCAAAGCAGGATTCTTGGTATCATTGCCTGATTTAGTAGTGGTGGGGTCATCTGTGGGGTCTTCGAGTAGAGTGTTTGACGAGGGAGAGGAGCTCGGGGGTGGATATGTCGAATGGTCGGGAGGCGACAGAGTTGCCATTTTTCGCAAGAGATCTCGTCTGGGCCGATGGAGTGTTGGTGCGGGGGTGTAGGTAGCTTCATGGCGTCCAGCGAGTTTTGAAATATATACATAGCGAGGTCCCACGATTATTATGTTATCAGGCTGTTGACTGTTATGATTGATAATCAGATGCTCACTCGATCACTGCATGCCTCCACACGCCTCCACCTCCTCCTCCACTATTGATATATATATAGTCGATTTGCTCCCGTGTTGCTGTGTATGTATGTAAGTAGTACCTCCGCCGGAATACTCGTTGGGCATTTATGACTGATAAGCTGGTGACAAGATTGTCCCGATGACCAGGCAAGGATGTATTACACGTCTATACCCTTTATACATTCTATATCATGTTCCTATCAAACTACGAGTACTGTACAAACATTATATTATTTCGCGCGTGACTATAATCGCTACTCTCTGATCGCCCTAATGCGCCATGACAGTCTCCCCCCTCTCCTCATCCCCATCTGCCTTCTTCGGCTGCCGATAGAACACTGCTGTAAGGAGAGCAGCCAATAATTGCCACCCGACGACGAACCAGAACGAAACACGGACGTTGTCCCAATTGCTGACGTTGCCGGTGTGCAGTGTGAGGAAGCCAGCTTGGACGGAAAGTCCGATGACGGTCCCGAGCTGCAGGGCCACTTGGAAAAGAGCGCCTGCGACGCCGCCCATCTCTTTATCAACACTGGTCATGATGGCGACACTATCATGTCGTCAGTCGAAACTCTACATCAGTGTGGGGATGAAGAAGGACTCACTTGGCGCAGAGGAAGTACACCATATTGGCGGCACTCCCAACAAAGAAAGCGGGAAACAACCACCTCCAGTAAACATTGTGGAAGATCTCGCCCTTTGAGTAAATCATGGGGATGATCAGTAACCCTGCGAGACCTATGCCAGCTACCATGGGCCATCGCAGGTTGGAGACGTGCTTGAGCAAGCGGGGCAAGACCAGGGCGACGATGCCTCCCGAGATGGCATAAGGAAGCATGCGAACGGCAGCCACGATGGCGAGTTCGTTCCAGACAGTGAGGGAGCGCTCAATGAATGCAAGCTGAGTCACCTGGATACAAGTTGTCAGCCGAGAACAAGTATGACAATTATCGCACTCACAGCCCAGAAGGGGTAGATTGACAAAGAACAGAAGATGATGAGGGCGGTGTTCCTCAACTTCCAGAAACGTGGCGGAACGAGAGCATATCCCTCGGGCAATCGGGCTTCCCAGAAAAAGAAGGATACCATTATCGGCCAGGAGAGAAGGAAGGGTACGAGGAATCCGGGCTTCTTCCATCCAAAGGAAGATCCAAGAGTGAGGCCGAGGACGAAGAGAATAATGCCCGACAACATGAAAACACAGCCGACAATATCCAAGCGCTTCAGCCTGTCCTTATGGTCAAGGTTCTTGTTGGCGAGTCGACCAGCTTCTGATGGGATAGCACTCAAGGCAAAGATACCGAAGGGGATGACGACAACGGAGATACTCTGCCACCTGTATCAGTGGAGATTCGAAGTTTGAGTTTGAAATACTTACTCTGAAGTACCATCTCCAGCCGGCTAACTGATTGTGCACGTTCACCAATTCAAAGACTCCAGCTAGGATCATGGCCGAGCATATCGCTATCGGACCGCTCATCATAAACATGGTAAGGGCCAGGTTGAGCTCATAAGGCTCAAAGACAGCAACGATCAAACGGTAGGCCGATGGTAACTGCACATGGTCAGTCTCTAGACAGTGTGTTATGGTGGCAACTCACAGTAGCAGCTCCACATATTCCCATCAGGGCTCTGAAGACAAAGAAAGCGTACTGGTTCGGCATGAACGACAGTACCAAGCTGAAGACCCCGAGAAGAAGGAAACCATAGGCGAAGACTGCCTTTGGTGAATAGAGGTCCGAGACACGACCCCATAAGAGGAGGAAGGATGCAAAGGTGACTGTGTAGGCTGTCTGAAGGCAAAAGTCAGCAAAGTGGCAGATCGAGGAAGTGGTGAATGACGAACGATGATCCAGGTTGAGGACTCGTACAGGATACCAAGGTCTTCCGCGACGCTGTCCGTAAATATCAATGCACCCGAGTAGAGAGCGATATCAAGGTACTACAAGCCTCAGTTAGCGTATATCTCAGAAGGGAGTCATACGGCACATACCTGCGCCACGCTGAATACAAAGAGTAATGTCCACTTGCGTTTCTGGGATAATTTCACATGCACCGCGCCTGTGTCGGCGTTCTGGTTGACATGAGACTCGGAATTGTCTACACTCGAATCTTCTTGACTGATCTCCTTGCCTGATTTGAGTGACGCTGCCTTGACTGCGTCGCCTGGTCTGGTGGAATCATTCGCGTCTTCGCATAGAGTCTTGGAGGAGGGGAAGGAACTGGGGGGTTGGTAGTTGTCGTGAGCTGGCGATAGAGACGACATTGCCGAGACAGCTCTTGCAAGGAGATGGAGGGTGGATATGAGCTGGGGTTATATACTTTACTGTGGCTGGCGATTGTTGGGCGATTGTTGGGCGATTGCGAAAATTGCTAAGAGCTGATAAAGCGATCCCTCCACCTCCACTCGCCTCGGGAGCGATGTTATTAAAAAAAGTTCAGTCAGCTAGCGGGGAATGATGCTTATCGAACAAAAGTAGTCATCTCCTGGGTTTGTCATCCTGGGAATGCTCTGATTCATCGCCGAGGAGAGTGCGTACTTGTACGATACTACTGTCTTATCAGACATCATCAGAGCCACTTTCGCCCCCCCGAGGCCGAGCAGCGGCGAGCCTCATATGCAACATGCCGATGTTCATCGTCTCCGAGGAATGGGGTCTGTGGTTTTGGAATACCTGTACCCGAGTACAGAAAGATTGCAGCGATTTGTTGACATGATGGAGGCGAGACAACGTCAGATGCATGTACATATCTGCGAATTCCAACACAGCGACACCATACTGGGGCGCGCTTGTCCGTTGTTGGCTGACCAGTCTCCATAAAAGTATCACAACTGGTGCTGCTGCTGCTGCCCCATCCATCATCGTCCCAATGATAGATAGTCTGAGAAAGAAGAAGTATACATAAGAAGAAGTTCATGAATTACGTAAGCTTCTATCAATCATTCTTCGTCTAGTCTCGCTCTTGAAATCTCTACACCTCTCCACGAGCAAACGCAGCCATGGCGACTCCCCTGCCGTCCCTCTCTCCCGCCGAGTCTTCCTACATCGCCGCCTCCCTCGCACACCCCGCAGAGCCCACCCGCAATGACGGCCGCGCCCTCTTCGCCTCCCGCCCCATCCAGGTCTCCTACAACGTCTTTCCCCACGCGAATGGCAGTGCCCGCATCACACTAGGCGGCACCGAAGTCGTCGCTGGTGTCAGATTAGAAGTCGTCGATGCCACTGGAGAGCAAATAAAGGGGCAGGAAGTGTGGAAAACAAAAGTCACTGTCGATATGTGCGTCTTCAAGTCTATCTCGCGATTCATGCTGATATCAGGTCAAGCACTCCGCAAGCATTTCCGAACACCTCTTCATCAATAATCAACAACCTCTCTACCCACTTCCAAGCCCTTCTCACCTCCCACTTCGCCCCCTCCCTCCCGGCACTCCCCATCCTTCCCAACAAAAAGTACTTTCAGCCCCACCTCCACCTCACCTTGCTCTCTTCTGCCGGAAACGTCCCCACTGCTCTGAGTATTGCTGCTCGGGCGGCGTTTTCGGGTCTGAGGGTACCAAAGACCAAGGTCATTTCCTGGGTCGGCGAACCGGGAGAGGAGGAGGGCGCAGAAGTCGCAAAGGGAGATATGAGTGGTATCAAGGCGGCTATCGCTGGAAGCAAGACGAAGGGAAAGGGCAAGCTGGTAGTCAAGGGGAACGAAGATTGGGATTTGGATATGGAAGACGGGGATGGTGTAGCGTATCTGGAAGGGAGAGAACAATTACCGGTTCTTGTTGCCTTGAACATTGCAAGTCTCTCGTATCTCTTTTTCTCTCATCTGGCTGACACCCTACAGGTCCCCAACTCTGCCAATATCTTCCTTGATGCTACCGCTCAGGAAGAGGCCGCCTGCCCCACCCGCATTCTCCTGTTCTTCAAACCCACCTCCCCCGACTCTTCTTCCGCGCCCAATCTCTGTGGTATGCGGTTAGAAGGACCTCACGGTCTGGATCAGAGCCGAGTGCGGGGACTGTTAGAGCAAGGAGCGAGTGTGGCGGAGGAGCTGGTCAAGGAGCTGAATAGATCCATACCGACTAGCGATTGAGATGGCATATAATCATATTCGCATGTCTCCTTCGAGCGAGGGGTGGAGTACGAAGGAATACACAGGGCCTTCTATTTGGAAGACTGTCCTCTATTTGCGTCCCTTGTGCTTGAGGGAATGTGTCAAGCAACTATACTGACATTAGACAGAGATATAGAGGAAGGAAACTAGATTCATGCTTTCATGTATGATGTTGTGTCTGAGTCATGCTACGAATGATGGATTGAATTGTCCAGAGCTCGAGAGAAATGGAAGTCCTCTCCAAGCGTGATAAAAGACGGGAAATAGCTATGATACAAAATGATAAAAACGCTTTTGATACCCAGCAAAGAGCTTCAGAGAGCCGAGATGTCGGAATGGTCTGCTCAACAATCATCTATCAATCGGTTCTTTGGCCAGGTGGCGCCGGGGACGTTATCAAATACCGTCTACACTTTGGGTTAGACTTGTCTCTTCCCTAGAAGCCGAGCACTTACGATATTGGGATCAGAGTATGCTTCAGGGAATCTATCGCAGCGATCAGCAAACTTTTCACCGCTAGCAGACGAGTCCGGACTCACTGCGCGATGTATGCAGCAGTAGGCCTATCCGCAGGATCGCACCCGATGTTTCTCTTCTTCGGGTCTTCTGTCACTGGCGTCAGCACCCGCCCTCCACGTCACAAAGAAGCACGCACGATATACTCGGACATAATCGACCTCCATACTATCATCTAAGTCAGCCTAGTACTCCACATGGGCACGATGCAGAGATCTCACGAGATAGGCCATAGCGGATCCAACCCCACATAACTGCAGACACATTATCAGCCTGCTTTTCCCAATCGAGGCACAGAGGGCTTACTGGATAGCACCAAAGTTCTCCGAGATACCGAGATTGAGAATGATATACATTGGCTCGTCCGAGACGATCCTCTGACCGACTTCGGCTTCTTCATCAGGGCCCATCGCTATACGGTTCCATCAGCGCCAGTTCACCCGGAGAGATCAAGTGGGTACTCACCAGACCCACGAATGGTCCAAGCCTTCTTGTTATCGTTGATCCATGTGATATATCCGTCTGAGCCTTCTTCGTATTCAAATCCATAGGACTCGAAACATCCCTTTTCGTTGGTGCTATATCATGTTAGTCTCTCCTGCTCATAGGGCTGTGAAGTGTCGGGCCTACTAGCAATTCTGCAAGATCATCAGCAATCTTCACCGAGGGAAAGACGAAAGTTACATACTTGTTTCGTCACAGTCACAGCCGAAGTAGCCTGCTGATAAACACTCCCCATATACGTGTTCACCTGGGTCTCATCCTCATCATAAATCTTGTAATAGTTGTCGGATGTATTCTTGAACTATCATACTTGTAAGCAAGATCAAGTTCAAAGTACAGAAGAGACTCACATAGTAATGTGAACTGAAAGGCGCCCATTGACCCGATTGAGACACTTTTCCTTTCCGGTCCTCGATCTGAGATATACCGTCAGCCACAGCCTTTGACCCTGACCAGTGATCTCCCACAGTAGCCTCAAAGATATCAATCTCCGGCGCCGACCTTCCCACCCACGTCCCATCCTCATGCTTTGGCCCAGGATGATGCGGATCATTCTCGCACGTGCAGCTCGACAATCGCTGGCCGGGGAGGTAAGAGAGTTCGTTGCCGTTGTTGGGATCACCGTTCGTGAGAGATGTTTCGGGTTTGCCTGTTGCTCTGATCAGCTTTTGCCTTTAGTGAAGGAGAGATGGAGGATATGTACCGTTGAGGGTTTGGTTGGCAAGCGTACCGACGTCGCAAGTGTCGTAGCTGTATGGCCAAGTACCATCTAGCGTCCCGCCATAGCCGGCACGTCCGAGATTGCCCATAGTCCAGATAGCAGGCCAGAGGCTGTTCTACCATCAGCTTGGGTTTGGTTTTGATTATGAAGAAACTCACCCAGGGACGTCGTTTGTACCAGGAAGAGAAACCGATACTATATCTTACGTTAGCGCGAGTTTCGGAGCAAGAAAGAGGATGGAGGTGCCTTCGATGTACCCTCCGCTAAAGCAAAACTGGTTCCAACTTGACATCACTGTATACATGTCAGTACCAACGTCTAACTCAGAATGGACGAAATACTCACTGGCACCTTCAAAGTTCATCCCGTGACTGACAATCTTGTCCAAAGTGATAACCAGCTTGCCGTCCTTGGTCGTCAAACGCTTAGGGTCATACCATTCCAAATTATTCGTCTGCCAATAGTGCAGATCCACAGCTTCCCAGAACGGATCATCGCCTTCCAACGCCATTAGTACCACCTCCCCAGAGCTCCGATCGACTCACCAGGATTAAAAGTCCTCCCCTCCTGATTAAACTCGTCCGAAAACACCAACTCCCACTCTTCGCCCGTCTCTGCGCTCATATGCGTGTAAGCCTCTGGGGGTGTATCGGGGTCGATGAGCTGGAAAAAGTTGGTGATGCTCGGGACTTGGCCTGTTGCGCTACATTCCGATGATCAGTTTTGGGGGCTGCGCCGAGGAGAAACGACGCACTTGATACCGCCGAGGTTGTAGCCAACGTTATTGTCCATGTGGTGCGGGGGGTAATAGTAGGTGAGGACAGGGTAGCCGGCACTATGAATATTATCAGCAGTGATTTCGCCTCTGGCGCATCCACTCACAAGATCATGACGACTGCCAAGAGCAAGAAGAGTAGACAGCCGAGGTTGGCAAGACCGCGTTTGGTAAAGTAGGCCGTCTGCCTTTCGCGTCAGCCATGCTATCGCGAGTATGAGATACCTAACTCACATCGTGCTTGTCCATAGCGTCAGGATGGTGTAGCGAGTCGTCTTCTTCTGGATCCATATCGTGCCATTGGGAAGGATCGATGTGAAATGGCAACTACTCTCCCTTCAGTCTGTCGCACAACGTCATCCATAGAAGAACGTACCAGATCAAACAGCTTGCTATTCTCCCGCTTCTTTTGATTCGGCCTTAACCTCAAGCTCTTGAGGGTATACATTGATTGCAGTCCATTCCTCTTTCTCCTCTCCTTTTCCCCGTTGATGCCTGCGCCCAGCGCCATGACTCTCGTGAACGGGTCATCCTCTCGCAGCTGTGCGACACTATCCGTATCGCTGTCCTGGAAGCTTGATAAAGAAGCATGACTGCGCATAGAAGACTCGTAGATGCTCGGTGCCAGACGCGGCCCGCTCCCAAAGCTGAGGTTGGAATGGCCGCCTGGGAAAAAGTCTGACTCGGCAGAAGTGTCCAAAGCCGAGAGACCGACGGGAAAGTGGGCGGCGAGTGGGGAGAGGCTGGCTTTGTGCGAGTAGCCGAGAGAGCCTTGGGGGTGTCTGCCGTTGTGAGAGTCGGAGAGGTAGTTTCTGATCTCGGGATCGGAGATGAGCGGGCCGGTAGGGGAATGCGGGGTGGGCGGTCCAGCAACAGGACGAGCCGTCTCGAACGAGGCTTGGCGAGTGGGATACCCACGCTGGTCGTAGGCTGGCACAGCGCGACTGTTGGTCGATTCGCTCACGACGGACGGCGAGTGCAAGTCCAAGATCAACCAACCATCATCCTTCTTCTCTGCCCCGCCCATGTCCAGCTTGTCACGCAGCCAGCGGCTTGTCCCCTTGATGATCCGCTCTGCGCCAGACGAGTGGGAGACATGGCGGACGGTCGAGTCTCGCGCGCTGGAGGGGACAGAGAGGTTGGGTGAAGATTTGGGTTTGGTGAGGACGTGGGTGCCCTTGTCTTTGCGGGGGGAGGGGCGAGAGCGGAGGCCTGAGGGAGAATGCTGGGAGGGAGGGGTGGAGGCGTTTGAGCGGTGGATGGTCGAGGGCTGGCGGAGGGCAGAGGCGGCGATGACCTCGGACTCTGAGCGCTGGTGTTGGGGGCGGTCTGACATGTCGGGGGAGAGGCGGGAGGAGGGCGCGGCGTTGGCCCACGGGTAGGCGGGGGGCGGCATCGTCAGATCAGCAAGAGATGAGGATTAGAAATGGAATGGAATGGGATAGGAAGGAAGAGTAGTAGTGATTTAGTAAACACCTCCTTTCGAACCCACCCACCATCACTGTCACCAGCTTTGATTCGCCTTTGGCTTGTGTATTGCATTAGTATTTTCTGTTCTTCCTATATCCGAGTAGCTAACATCTGCAAGACCCATCCATGTACGCCCCATGCATATGCTGGATCTGCAGGGAGGGGTTGAAGATGGTGCGGTGTGACAACCAGGGTCAAGTCTCACTGGCTTTTTTCTCGTCAGCCACACTCGTATCTCACAGACCACCTTCATGTTCTCTTACCCCCTCCCACCCACCCCCAGCTGCTCTTACCCCTGCCCCTCCCATGCACCCCCCGCCTCTCGATAGTCGTCCATAGCCCTCTGGGTCAGCTCGGAAGGCCGTATACTGTGACGGAACCAAATGCGGCGTTGGTCGGTATTTTCCCATGTGGCAAAGTTACCTGCGCGAAACTCTTCTTGCACATCTGCCAATTTTGATTTTCCTTGGAATCACAAGCCGAAGGTAAATTCAATCCCTGTATACAAGTGGCCCCGACTAACCCTTCACAGGCAGCGGCACGTATCAAGCAAACACTCAATCCCCAGACTTCATCAAAAAAAGTCCCAAAAACCACTCCTCCACAATGATCATCACCAAGGAAAACCGCAGGGCCGTATGTCCATCCCACAACACTCTCAGTGATCACCCACTCATTCATTGTTTAGATCTACGAGTACCTCTTCAAGGAGGGTGTCCTCGTCGCCCCCAAGGACTTCAACCGACCCACCCACCCCGACATCCCCTCCGTCCGAAACCTCGAGGTTGTCAAGGCCATGCAGTCCCTCAACTCGAAGGGCTACGTCAAGACCCAGTTCTCTTGGCAGTGGTACTACTACACCCTCACCGAGGAGGGTCTCGCCTACCTCAGGGAGTTCTTGCACCTTCCTTCCGAGATTGTGCCCAACACCCACGTCAAGCCCGTCACCAGGGCCCCCGCCAGGACCGGCGGCCAGAGGGAGGGCGGTGCCTACAGGGCCCCCCGAGGTGACAGGGAGTACAGGAGGAAGGACGAGGGTGGTGAGGAGCGACCCGTGAGTTACCACAAAGGCTTTGATTAGGCGTGTGCTGACTTGGTTTGCAGCGATTCGGTGGTGTCGGCCGACCCTCCGCTTAAGCGGTTACCCCTAGGGTACTGTTAAAGGATCGAGAGGCAGTGAGGGGATGAAAACGAGTGTTGGCGCGGAGAGCATGGGAAGGCAATTCGTTGGGATTTCATGCATTGGCCCGTGGCCGCTTGACCTATCCAATGGAACGCGGAACAGAAGCAGAGGTGTAATGCTGACTCGAGACTACAAATCATGCCTTGTACAAGTGGTTTACATGCGTCAAATCCCATGCCATGCTCGAAAGAATACTATATATGTTATGCTCTACCGTCATAGTCATCATGGTCTATCATTGCGACGGCCCAGCACCCGCCGTCGAACTGGGAGTCGAAGGTGCAGAAGGCGTTGAACCTTTTACGTTCAATATCTTGGCCAGACTCAGTAGTTGGGGTTTCGTACAGAGTCCAAGATTGCTGCGCCCTCGTCAGCTTATTGCTCGTCGACGTTGTTCAGGGGAAACGTACATGGAGACTTGGACGCTCTTCTTGTCATCCAACGTTTTGATAATGGTAGCCGGCCATTTCTGTGAACTGGCAGCTGGCGTGGCTTGGACGGGAGTGGAAGGGATCAGGCCAATACTGACCAGTTGGGGGAGTAATGATCTTGGAGAGTTATCAGTATTCCGAATTCGAAATCAAACGAGGCACGATGAACGTACATGTTGATGGTCAAAGAAACAGGCCCCTGAGGCGGTGGCGGCGGTCTCCCCGGCGTACCCGCCCCATTCACCCCAGGCGTAGGCGTACCCGTCCGTCCCCCAGGCGTCATGGCTCCAGTCGCACTGCCGGGCGACCCTGCTGCAGAGCGAATCGGGTTCCCATTCGGACTGGCAACAGCTTGGAGATTTGACCCCGAGCTCGCGGCGAGCTGAAGCCTGCCTGTCCCTGGTGGTCTGCCTCGAGTACGTTTCGTCGGAGACTCTTGTATAGGCGGACGGGCTTGTTGCGCCGGTATCGACGGTCTGGACACTGTCCCCCCACTTCCCGGCCCCAAAGGTCTCACAGCCTCCTGCATAGCCATCCCCACCACCCTCTTCATCGCCTCTTCATCTTCCCTCGCCTTCCTCCTTACTTCTGCCACCCGTCTTTGCTCCTGGTCCAAGTACGACCACTGTTGTTTTGAGTGCCGGAGGTTGGACTGCAAGTATGAGACTTGGTCGCGCACGGCGGAATGGGAGGTTTGGAGGAAATTGATAGCGGAGGGCAGGGGGGCCGGGCGGTCGTCTTCGCGGAGGAGTGCTTTGGCGAATCGCGATTTTATATTCTTCAACCGTAGTAACAGCTCGGATGCTTCTTTTGTTTCTACATCCCCATCAGCTCATCACCCACGTTCCCGGGATGTTAACACTCACCTCTCGCTACATCCGCCTTGTCCCACGTATTCAGTTCCTCGTCATGCACCTGCCAGATGTGATACGGCAATAATCTCTGAACCGCGTCCTCTACTGATGTAAATCGTGTTGGTGGTGGTGGGTTGAGGGTCGCATCCTGATCCAACTCTACAGCCAGATGCAGCCTGTACTATATCAGCTCTGCCTTGATTATATATTCAGGGGCAAGCTTACGATGTCCAAGAGTCGGCCAAAGCCTCCTGCTCGTCCTTTCCAAAGCCCATAACACCCCACTTCCTCTTCCTCCCTGCTAATTGCTTCTCCCAGCCACTCCCTCCCGTACTGCTCCCCTGCTCGGCGTCGACTTGACCGGGGAACGCTTTCGGTGTAGCTTGGACGGGTTTCTGTTGTTGATTTTGCTGACTTTGTGGTGGCGGTGGAGCGTAGTGGCGGGAAGGAGTGGAGGTATATGATGTCGGAGTCGCCGACCCTCTCGCAGTAGGCGTAGGCGTCCACGCATCTTCCCTCTTGAACAACCTCTGCCCATCCCCATTCACCCCACTCCCACTCGCAACACCATTCACCCCATTCGCCATCACCCTGGCCGGCTCAGGGGCGTCATCTCCAATCGCTTCTTGTTTGACAGTATAGCCATCTGACATGGCTTGGAGAAGAGAAGAGGAGGGAAAAGTCAGAGGAGATGAGCGGGCAGCGTGGACGTCCTCCACCGCAAGGGCAGGCGAGAATTGCCGCACTGCACCAGCTGGCGGGGAATGCGGCGTTATCCGCTTGTGGCGGCTGGAAGGGTTGTTTGGTTCGATGCCATGCATGCATGTCCTGTCTATTGTCTAATATATGTATGCTGATATAAAGTAGATGTTTGTATAATGCACAAGATCTTTCGACCCGACTACGCCCCGACGGCCTTCTCCTCCAACTTTTCCCTCTGCTCCCTCAAGATCTCGCCCTGCAATACCTTCAGCAGCACATAAGTGTACTCCAGCCTGGGAGTGTCCACCTTGTACTTCTGAGCGAGTCGAAGTACGGCACCGGTGATGACTTCGACCTCGAATGGACGGCCCATCTCGACGTCGATCAGGAGAGAGTATTTGTGGCCGACGCCGCGAGCTTTGGCCATACCGGTGATCTACCCTGATCAGCTCGCTATGTAGGGAGAAGTAGAGAAACCTACCTTGTCCCAGCAGTACTCGACAACATCGTCCAAACCCTCGCTCACTTCCTTGGTTGGGTACTGCACCATCCCCTTCCATAACAGACCCGCTTGGAATCCAACTGTCACAATCTCGCGAAAGTACGACTTGATGACAGCAGAGTGCTCGGCAGAGAGGGGAGCAAAAGCAAGAGCAGTAGATCGGACGAGGCCTTGCATAGATGCCCAGGCGCAGTTCCAGACATTCTGCCACCCAGATTAGCTTGGACACATTGTGGTATGATATGGACGGACCTTGGAGAAGCGGATGGAGTCAATGTGCTCGGTGGTGTCGACAACACCCTCACCAGCCTTCAGGATGTCCACCCAGAGCTCCAGCACTGATCGACTTTGATTCATCTCGTCTGGTGGAGGACGGTACTGAGGGCGACCGAAGGCTTGAGTCTGAGGCACGTTGGGTAGCGGCCATGCTCGGAGTAGATCGAAAGGTCGTGAGTGAGCACGCGGACGGCGTAGACGCCACAAATCGAATACAATCCCCACCGAGTTCGACCCCATGCTCACTCCTCGTAAAGATTTCTCCGCAGCTCCTTAGTAATCAAGCATACTGTCTCCAACAATCATCACAACAAGAGTTACAGCCATAGAGCCATCATGGCCGAAGATTGACTTGGAGCGATGATGAGAAGGGAAGTGTTCCACGAGTTTCATTGATAGTTGGAGAATGCATGTCAAGCCTGAGGGCTTACTCTAGACTCCAATAGCAGAAATATATGCAGATACCGCTGCTATCTATTACCATGGGCCATGTGAATCATTTGGTCAGTCAACTTTCGAGTTGGGACTTGAGAGTCGTCGGCGGCCGATACCGGTGAACAACGGCTGACACTTTAAATTTCGCGCTCATTTCCTCTTTCATTTGCTTTCATCTCGAACAAATTCTCAAAATGCCCTATCCTCCCCCTATTACCTACGCCACTCTCGCCTCTCCTCTCCCTTCTGCCCCGTATATCCTCGGGATCACCCCATCTCCCAGCACTCCCCATCTCATTCTCCGCCATCCATCACCTTCTCTGACCATCGCCGACAACCAGACACTCCAACCTGTGGGCGAACTGTCCGGAGGGCACAATGGTCATGTCAGTGCTGTCAGCTATGGAGAGAGTGAACTTTGGAGCTCCGCTATGGATGGAAGTATCGTCAGGTGGGACGAGAGGAGCCGGAGCAGGGCGACTGTCATCAAAGGCTTGTCCGCGATTCACTGCATCTTATTCCGAGCTGACTACTGCCCAGCGTTTATCAGGAAATCCCTTCCCGTGACTGCCTTGACGCACTCTGCATCCGACAATCTGGTTATCGGCGGTACAGAGCTTCTGTCATCTGAAGCCCACATAATGTTCTGGGACCCCCGAAACTCGGGTACACCCCTCTACACCCACTCGTCCACCCACTCTGACGATATCACTCACCTCTCCCTCATCACTGGATCCTCCGCCTTCCTCCCTCGATCAGTCAACCCCGAAGTCCACACACCTAGTACTCTCCTGCTCTCATCCAGCACCGACGGTCTCATCGCTCTGTCGAATATGAAAGAGTCGGACGAGGACGAAGCTGTGGTAGCGGAAGAGAATTGGGGACAGAGTATTGCCGATGCGGGAGGGTACCTTAATAAGGGCAAGATGAGGGTCTGGGCGAGGAGCGATATGGACGAGATGGCCATCTGGAGCGTAGGCAGGAGTGGGGAGGGCGAGGTCGAACTCCAAGACCAAGTCGCCTATCCTTCTTCAGAGTTCAAGTTCAGAACTTTTACCCCTCCCAAGTCAGGTCCCAACATCACCCAGACGGCGCTGGATGAGTTCAAAGCAAAGGCGACGTACAAGTCGGACTACCTGATCGGGGCTGTCCCGAGTTTGGGCGTTAGCAGTGCTGGCGGTCCTATGGTTGCCGTTGGTACCAACGAGTGAGTCTACCCTTTTCGTTTTATACAGTTACTGATGTGATGGCAGCGGCGATATCATCCTCCAACATCACTCTTCCTCTGCATCCTCTTACCGTCCCTCCGCATACTTCATCACTGGCCCCGCCACCAACCGAGGCCACAAAGACGTCGTCCGCGCACTCTTCCATGACCTGCCCAACGAGGCCCTCTATACTGGATCTGAAGACGGGGTCCTTGCTGGCTTTTCCCTCGCCTCTCTGCCCGAGCGACTCACGGTGGGCGACAAGGATGTGGATGATGATGGAGATGCTCGGGAAGAGGAAGATGAAGACATGGATGAGGAGAGCGAGATTGAGACGGAAAATAGCGAGGAGAGTGATAAGGATGACGATGAGGACATGGAGGATGAGGGACCGAGGTATGGGCCTGTGATTGGGGCTGCTGCTACCGGGCGTGATGGGCTGGATAAGAAGGGTGACCGACGGAAGAAGCGATTTGGACCATACTAGAACAATGCACCTAATATCTGTGTAGATCATTGCATAGCACGACAACCCCTTTAAAGAGCAGCCTAACAACAAGATTGATTTGATGGTATAAACAACTCATTTGTACACTGTATATTTACAACTCGCTACACCAAGAGAGTTTACTTTCCAGCCTCCATCACAAGATAACTCGCCGTGCCCAAAGCTCCCCCGCCGAGGATCATCCCAGCCGCCGCATCTCCCACCGTCTTTCTCAGCTCTGCCCCGATACTTGGCGAAAGCCCCTTGGCCGCCAAGACCCGAGTCAACTCTGTCTCATGGTTGATCGCCGCCCCGCGGCGTCCTCTTCCAGAGACAATCAACATCGGCCTCCACGTCTTGGACCCCGCCGACGTCGCCCTGATCGCGCTCTCGCCACACGTGAACGCATAAGTCAACGGCTGGTGCGAGGTGGTCGAATGGAATGAGATCCTCTCCAACGCCGTCTCGACGAAAGCCGGGCGAGGCGGGGAAACGGTGGCAGAGGCATAGTAGTTCCAGGCAATGGAGTCGGCAGTCTCGGACTGGAGGCGGGCTTGAGTCTCGGGGTACTGGGTCTGGCCGCCCACGGTGAGTTGGTTGGAGTGAAGAGCAGCTTGGTGTAATTCCACGCCAGACTTTTCACCATTGCCGCCTTCTTCCGTCTCGGCCTCATCGCCTTCCTCCTCTTCATCCTTCTCCACCCTCACGATCGTTGCAGTCACACCCTGGTGCTGGCAGAGCTGCACCACAAACCGCAAAGCCAACCGGTCATCAGGCCCGCCAAAGAAGGGCAGAAACACATGCTGTCCGCTGCCTGGCCTGAAACCCGCCATACCGCCAAAGCCTCGGTCAACAAACAGTGCGACATCACTCTTGCTTTCCGCAAAGCACCGCCTGATGAAATGTGTGTACATTGGGGAGCCAGCGGTTTCAGAGCCAAAGATGGAGTCGAATTGGGATACGGCGGTGGACGATGATCCGGTGGCGGGCTGAATGAGGTCGGAGGAGGCACCTCCTTGGACGGGGACGGTCCAGGGGATGATAACGAGCTCGGTACTCAGATCTGAGGCATAGTCTGCGACAGCCTGGGGGTACCACTCTTGCTCAATGATGGAGATGTGCGGAGTAATCTCCAGCCCGCGCAATCGGCCAAATTGTCGATACAGCTGCAGAGCATCGTCCGTACCCAGCAACTGATCCTTTTCGGCAGACTGCATGACCGAATAAGTACGCCCGGTGAGCTCGACGAGCTTGAGCGCGTCAATACGGGGTTCGAGGCCAGAGGAAGCGGGGTGGTCTTTGTTGGAGTGGAAGAGATTGTGGAACGTGTCATGTTTGCCGTGACCGGTCAAAGTCGAGTCGTCGTGCGTCTCGAAGCTGTTCTCACTCGACTGTTCCCCCTTTTTGGTCTCTCCGTGAACATGTCCAGAAGCATCCCAGGGTTCTCTCTGGCTCGCCGCGGGAGGTTCAAGCATCTGTGTCAAAAGCATAACAGCAGACAGATGCTCCAGCTTTTGCAGAATGACCAAAAACTTGCTCGTATGCTCCCTCCCACCGCTAGCGCCACTCGCCGCGGCCCCGGTGATGCTGAGCTCCTTGTCGTCGTCCTTCTTGCCCGCGCCGTGGGACGGATCGCGGAGAGACTTGTGGAATCGAGCGGGGTAGACGGCGAGGGTTGCGGGGGTGGTGATGAATGTGAGGACGACGGCTTCGACGACAAACATGGAAAAGAGACGTTGGTTGATGATACCAGCGGATTTACCGACGTTCAAGACAATCAACTCGACGAGACTAACCTTATCAGCTCGGGACTATTTGTAAGGTTGTGCTACTCACCCTTTACAACTCATCAACATTCCGATAGCCGCGCTCTCTCGAGGAGGATACTTGAGGGCCAAGGCAGCACCGCAGCAGCCAACAAACTTGCCCAAGAAGGCGACCACGATGATGAGGATGGTATAGCCCCAGATGTGGCCAGAGTTCAAGAGACCGAGGTCGGTCTGCAGGCCGGAGAGAACAAAGTACTGGTGACTGTCAGCTTGTGGGGTGTGACTTGGTCGATGGACTCACGATGGGAAGGAAAAGCATAGAGACAAGATCGTCAATCTTTTCGACCAAGGCGATGGCAAAACCGCCATCGTGCGGGATGATCAATCCAGCAATGAATCCTCCAAAGATGGGATGTACGCCTATGAAGCGTTAGCACGTGTCCCATATCATATAGCTTCAACATACCAATAATGTCGGTGATGAATGCAGAGATAAACACAATCATCAACGCCAACAGCATCGTGCCCGGCGTGGGCCCATGCTCATCACCTCCCGTCCTGTTGACAATCCATCGGAACGCCTTCTTGACAGGCCAAAGAAGGATGATAGACCATCCGACAGCGCAGAGAAGGACGTATACGGCCGTAGCTCCGGATCTGGCACTGACAAGGGCCAGAGTCAAAGCGAGGAGGACCCAGCCGACGACGTCGTTTCCGACACCTGCAGCCAAGACAATCACTCCCACGTGGGTGTCGATCAATTTTGTCGAAGTCAAGATACGACAAAGTACCGGGAAGGCAGTGATGGCCATGGCGACACCGACAAACAAGAGAAAGTGGCCAAAAGACACATTCTCAGTGTCGACAAAGTTGTGATACACGGGTACGGCGACAGCTGCGCCGACACCGAAGGGCAAGACCATCCCCGCCGCCGAGATCAGTCCACTCGCCTTTGCGTGATTCTTCATCACCCCGATATCGACCTCAACGCCGACCAAGAAGAGGAAGAGGATCAAGCCGATGGTGCTGATGAGGTTGAGATAGGTGATGGACGCGTCGGGAAAGATGTGCTCGGAGAAGTGAGGGATCCGCCCCATAACGGTGGGCCCGAGGATGATGCCTCCAATAATCTCTGCAATGACTCGGGGTTGCTTCATATAGCCAAAGGCCCAGCCGAGCCCTTGGGTGAAGCATAGGATCACGACGAGCTGGATGATAAAGAGGGTGATGGGCTACGCGCGTCGCAGTCAGCTCTATCCTCGCGAACAGGGAGTCGGCCTACATTGGATGAGTCGACCTCTGTGGGATCGAGGCCTGAGAGCACGTTTGACTACAGCACGGTCAGCGAGTGGGGCATTGTATGTTGTGCTACGGACAGATACGGCTCTGGGGGCGAGCTGGGCAAAGTGGGTGGGCTGGCCATAGATGTTGGTGGCGAATATGCCCATGGTGGCGATGGAGAAGGGATACAATCCGTGCAGTATATATATGTATGCAGGGCCGAGGGAATCGGGGCCCCCGTTGAAAGTGATGCAAGGAGATCGGGGCAGGAACGGGAGGCCGGAGGGTGTGTGGGGCGAGTGGAGGGTTGGAAGAGGGGGCAGAGGGGAGACGGGGTAGACGGGGATAGCTGTAGTCTATAGAATATATACTCATGCACAACAATGGAGCGGAAAGAGACCAGAGAGTGGATCTAGGCACGCACTTGGCACAAACACCTCGACAGAAACTCCGAGCCAAAGGATCAATAAACTCCCGTTCCACTTATTTCTTGGAAAACAGTCAACTTGTTCCCGTGGTAACGCAGTTAAGATGCCAGTCAGGTGATCCCAGAGGCGCCGACAAGGAGATACATCCACTACTAGCCCAACAACCACGATCCCGTCTACTCAACACACAACACAGATCCCTCCCGCTCATCTTCAATCGCATCGACCCCCTGCTCCCCAGCCGCCCTCCTCACAGCCCGGTCCCAGAGCGCCCATCCCCACGGCTCTTGCCCCTTGATAAATGTGCCTCCTAACAGGTCAAATACCCACTCGGCAAGTCTTTCTGACACCCACGTGCTTGATACTATGCGGAGGCAGCTTAGTTGTGAGTATGTGGAGAGGGAAGCGGTAAAGTGGGGTGGGATAGCGACTGGGGGTGGAAGATAGGCAGGTGAGGGGAGGGTCGTGGTGGAAGCAAGATAGGCGAGATGTCTGGAGTGCACTGATCTCGTCCAGCGAGATAGCAAGCTCTCAGCAACCCCTTCTGGCGCTTCAAACATCTCAACAAAGAGTGAAGCGTCAGATACCACAGTCAACCTCTCGAAAGCAAGGAACAAAAAGTGTCGAGGCGAAGGCGCCATCAAGAGGTTGGTAAAGAAGACAGGGTCGGCAGTCTTGACGCTCAACACTCTGCCTTCTCCCACCGACAATGCCTCTCGCTCATTCGCAAACATCACCTCCAACCTCACCCCGAGCTCCTTCACCCTCCTCTCCACCCACTCTTCCACCACCCGCCTCGCCTTCTTCTCTTCATCCGATACAGGCGGCCCTTGGAGCCCATAGCCGACGGCCTTTCCGTGCTCCGCTTCAGGCGGATTGAACTGTCCAGCAGAGAAGGGACATCCGGGCTCGGGCTTGGGGTATAAAGCGAGTTTCTGGCGATAATGGAGTTTGTAAGCTTCCCATTTCGTCCTCGCCGAAACCAACAACAACGCCCCCGGCCACCTTGTCAAAATTCCCAACACACCCCGAACCGTACTCCACCCTTCTCCAAGCTTGACGCCTTGACGCCCTGGGACCATCAGGGCTGAGAGTTTGACATCCTTGTGTGGTGTCAAGAGCTGGAGGAAGGTTTTGAATTTGGGGATGTGGCTTGGGGAGGATGAGCCGAGGGGGAAGGGGTCGAGGATGTCGAGGCGGTAGAAGCCTGAGCGGTTGTTGAATGGCGAGACGTGGAACGAGCGGGAAAAGGTAAAGGCAAAGTCGTAGCCCCTGGCAGGTTCATGTCTCAAAGGTGAGTCCATCCCCAGCACATACGCATGTCTAACTTCTCATCAGCTCTGCCTCTCTTGTTCTTGCTGAGGCACTTACGACTCGCCAAACTCGGTATGCACTTCCAAAACCAACCACTTCAACTCTCCTCTTTGTCCATCTTTCGCCTTGCCATACACGTACCAAGTCGTCAACGGACTCAGCCCTTCAAACCCCAGCAAGCTTGGCATCGTCGTCATCCACACCTTTCCCACCTCTTCCGCTGTCACATCATACCTCTCCAACAGCGCTTCAAGCTTGGTCCGATAAGACGCATCTCCAGAGCCGAGATACTTTAGACTCCTCAGCCCGACGACTTTCGTCCCCGGATGTCCCCCTTGCCTGACCACCCTCAGAGGCGCATCCAACCCACCGTCTTGCAAGGCATCGATATCGGCACAGAGGAATATAGCTGGGGAGGTGAATGTGTGGTGCGCGAGGGAAGGGATCTTGCGCTTGTGGTATACTTTCGATGTGTAGATGTATGATGGGAGGGCGTCCTCTTGTTTTGAAGAGGTGGGGGAGGGGGAGAGGGAGCAGACGGTAGCAGTGCCGAGGACGATAGCGATGAAGGAGCCTGCAGAGATGGCGAGTGGGAGGAGCAGATGCCCCAGAGGAGGAACGTCGCTGAATGGTTTGTGGATGTTGTCGAGGGTCAACATGGTACTCGTACCAGGTCTCGGCGGAGGGTGGGCGGTTCAGAGCAATGTAATGCCATTTATAGCTGCTGGCCTGTCGGGTTATATCGCGGATTGAGCCTTGAGAGGTACAGCACAAGGGTACAGAGTATAGGGGACAGACGGACAACTTTTGAGGAGAAACACAGGTGAAAGGTTATCACTTACTGATCAGTGATCGATTGGAGCTGTGAGGGGGGCGAAGCGCCTGGCCTGAGGGGTCAAAAGGGACACCGAAGACAGAACCCGAAGAAAGGGATAGGGGAGACAGGGGACAAAGGGGACAATGGGGACAAAGGGGAGACAGTGGGCTGATGGGAGATGGCCCTCGACAATCCGCCGGGAACAGTCGACTACAGCACAGTACCTGCTACCTGAGCTGACAGCCCTGGATGCTGAGAGAATATGCGCACCTCTGTCACTTCAGGATATTTCTCTGGGTGTGTACTGCTGTGGTCAACTTTCAGGGGCTCGTCAATGCGCGTGAGTCGGGGTTGTCTCTGTTGCTATGTCACAATATGACCACCCTCTTCTTTCTGACGACGTACAACATGCAGCATATCACAGTGCCGAGCTTATACATACTACTTTGTCAGCCAAGAAAAGAATCTCATGGGCCAGGATACATTCTGATCGGGGAGTGCAGGGCAAGGAGGGGCGTGCTGCTCAGGGCGGATGACTGTGCAGTGTGGGTATACTTGTATGTACACTCTTCGATGCCGGACCTGGGTGTTGGACGCGACTTTGCCGTCTTTCAACTCGTCCATTTGCTAGTACTGCAGTTGAAGGTCTTTGTTCTGTAGATGGAGCGTGAGTGCGTTACCATGACCGTCGACTTGGCCGGGGAACGGTTTCGGTGTAGCTTGGGCTGGTTTCCGTTGCTGATTCTGCTGACTTTGTGGTGAAGCTGAGAAGGACTCAAATACCCGGGGATTGAGGACAGCGTCAGTGGCTATGGCGCGGCGGCGAGGGAGATGACGGTTCAGAGTTGTCGCAAATTCACCGCCCACTGTTTCGTTCCCAGATCCAGGTCCATGACTGACAGATCAGATGCAAGATGTATATACAATAGCAGTGCGCTTTTTGTCCTCAACGACGTAGCATGCAGCGAAACATATAGACATGTTGAGCATGTTGAGTGACAGCTCCGTCTGGACTCTTTCCCAACTTGGCGTCATTTCAAGCCCAAAATAAAGTTCAGGCCTGATTTTCGAGGATTTGGTTTGACCCCACAATTCGGCGTCTCCTCTATCATCTGCATCTCCATCGCCATGTCGAAGCCGTTCGTCCCCACCCCAGCCATATCCCGCCCGGGAACGCCCAACAGCAGCGGGTACAAGCAGGATGACACCCTTCTGAGAGACTTGGGAGAGCGCGGAGAGAGAGATAGACTGGAGAGGGAGGATAAGGAGAAGAAGGATGCTAGGCAAGAGCAGGGTGAGTGCTTGCTGTTCCCGTTAAGTCACCGGAAGTGGGAGGCTCGCACTGGAGTTCAGTGAAGACCCGGGTGCTGGGAGAAGCATGCGAGGTGAATCCGGGCGCGATGGAGCGCGTCGTACCGGCATCCCGCGCAGCGACCCCTGCGATGCAAGTCTCACAGCAGCTGTGTAGGGGCGTGGCAGCCGTCAGCAGGGGTTCAATGCTCGAGGAGCTTGCCCTTTATACAACATTGGTGCTCGAGGGGGCAGGAGCTGAGGTCTGAAGCCGAACATTAGCAAGGCGGGAACGCGACGCGAGCCTCTACAAAAGTACTCCAGCTGACCATCTCAGTTCTCCCCATCCTCGCCTATTGTGCTGCTAGTATCATGATGACTGTCGTCAACAAAGTATGTCTTCGGATGCGCATCTCAGCTATTACTGCGCAAAATGTGCTGACCCGTTGCGCAGTACGTCGTTTCTGGCGCCAACTTCACCATGACTTTTTTGCTGCTGGCTATCCAGTCTTCGGTCTGTGTTCTGGCTGTATCTACTGTCAAGCGCTTGGGCATCATCACCTGTAAGCTCAAATTTGATATACGAACCGAGATTTTGGTCGTCAGGGAGCGAGTGACTGACATTGTACAGACCGAGACTTCGACATGAAGGATGCCAAGGCCTGGTGGCCTATTTCTACTCTTCTTGTGGCTGTCATCTACACTGGATCCAAGGCTCTGCAATTCTTGTCGATCCCTGTCTACACGTGAGTAGGGCGTGCCACAGAAAGGCACTGGGACTGACATCAAGGTAGCATCTTCAAGAACTTGACCATCATCCTTATTGTGCGTGGCTTATCAGGAGAAAAGGTGGTTATTGACCTCGTGTAGGCTTACGGAGAAGTCTTCTTGTTTGCCGGTAACGTCACCGGTCTCACCCTCTGCTCCTTTGCCCTCATGGTGAGTCCATTCTGCGCTCGCGGACATTCGCTCATTCCTCGCAGGTCGGCTCTTCCATCATTGCTGCCTGGTCAGACATCTCTTCTGCCTTCAGCAAGGCCCCCGAGCTTGACCCCATTGCTGGTATCGACATCGCTGCTGGCCCTGTCTCTACCATAGGTGGCCTCAACGCCGGTTACGTCTGGATGGCCCTGAACTGCTTTGTCTCTGCCGCCTACGTACGTTGATCCTGTTTGTTCATTGCTCCCACTAACGTTTCTACAGGTCTTGTTCATGCGCAAGCGTATCAAGGTCACCGGCTTCAAGGACTGGGACTCCATGTACTACAACAACCTTCTCTCCATCCCCATCCTCGTCGTCTTCTCCCTCGTCATCGAGGACTGGGGATCCGAATCTCTCGCCCTCAACTTCCCCGCTTCCAACCGAGTCGTCCTCCTCTCTGCCATGGCCTTCTCCGGTGCTGCCGCCGTCTTCATCTCCTACTCTACCGCCTGGTGTGTCCGAGTCACCGGTTCTACTACCTACTCTATGGTCGGCGCTTTGAACAAGCTCCCCGTGGCTGCGAGTGGTATCTTGTTCTTTGGCGATCCCGCTTCCTTCGGCAACGTTTCTGCCATTGGTGTTGGTGGTGTGGCGGGTATCGTCTACGCTGTGGCCAAGACGAACCAGGCCAAGGTTGAGAAGGCGAAGCAGGCGAGGGCTTCTGGTGGTAGGCCATAAGCGTTTGAGTGTGTGGGTCATTCGAGTATGGATGTGAGTGGAGCTGGGACAGGTGTATCCAAAAAGTATACATGTGGAACCGGTATAGATGCAAAAATATTTTTTTCTTGACCACAAGCTTAGCTTGCGTGCTGTCCCTTGGTGCGCTGGAGAATCGTCTGCATCCTCGACGCAATTGTCACATAAGTGAATGAGTGTCCTGCTAACCCGGCAGAAAAGCTGCTACCCGAGTGGGAAAAAGCGTCCCCACATTCTGTCATGTCCGAGCTGCTGAATGCTGTTTCAGAGGATCAAGCTGCAAGAGGCATACAAGAGTGACTTGACGGCATCCGCAGACAGGTGTCTCAACCTCACCAAGAAACACGAAGAAGTTGGGACCCTGAAAGATGAAGTTGTATATCTCGAAGACGTCAGTCACACTTATCATATCAATATGTCCAACGCAGACACTTGCAACTCAACCAGCATCCCGAAGCCCTTCTGAAGTACGCGCCTACGCGCCCCCATCCGTACAGCTTCAAGAGCAGCTGTGGAAAGTTGTCGAGCAAGCCCGAAGCACCTTTGGCCCCGAATTTGAAACCATCTCCACGCCCTGGGCGGCAGAGCAGCTCGAGATCCTCCAAGCAGCTCCGGATGTCTGCGATCTCGGGACGCAAAGCATCATTGTGCGCCTGGCGCAGCACTTGGGGGCTCTGTCGTCGAGAAAGGCGGAGGAGACGGAGGAGGAAAAGCGAGTGAGATTGGCCGAGAAGGAACTTGCGAGGGATTTGATGTTCAGGTGTACGCTGAAAGCTGGGCAGCAGGGCCCGCTAGTGGCTTATGTGCAGGCCCCGATGCCGTACTATACTAGTACAATTGATACTCCCTTGGGCGAGATCTGGGTTATAGAGGTTGCTACAAAGAAATCAAGTCTGGTCGTTAGTAAGATGTGTCATGAGTATGAATGCAATATCACAAGACTGTATGACACTCAGGCAGCGAGGATACACGAGCCATACAGTCCGACCAAATCATATCAGTGTACAACATGACATTCGATACACACTTTGACTAATCGTCATCCGAGTCGTCCGAGTTGAGGTCCAACTGGAAGACGGCATTCGGATCGTACCGTCTGCCAGACTCTTCCACTTGTACAGGCTCTTCTCTCCGTTCTTCCACTTCTGGTTGCGCTGCTTGTTCTATCGCCCTTATCAGCTACCCGCAAAGCAATTCAGGTGGAATGTACTTACGGTCCCCAACCATGCCTGTCTCGCCCATCCCGCTCATGCTGCCCTCGAGCTGGAACAGCAATCCCATTCGCATGTTCATCTCAGTCGGCCAAGGAGTGTATTGTGCTCTGTCTACTGGAGCTAATAGAGTAGAGACGGGCGCTGAGGAGTGCTTGCCTAATGCTTGAGCGTGGGCGAGAAGTGTTTTGGCAAGTATGGGTTCTTCACGACGGTCAGTAAAGCTATTGGGAGCCTCAGACGACACACCCTTCTCAGACTTGTCAATTGCTGCCACTTCCTTCACTCCTTGATCCACCATGCCTTCTAGTGTCCTTCTCCCTTCTTCCAGGCTTCTAACTAGCCCCCTCACCCGTCTCTCGAGCTGCTTTACCTCTTCTTTCTTCTCTTGCAGCTTATTCCAGAGCTTCTGATGTTCCTCGACTTCCCTCACAAGCCCCGCAAGGTCCAAGGCAGAGTACTGAAGGGCTGTGTGTAATTGAGAGATCTGAGGCGGGGTTTGTGGTGTGAGGGGTAAGGAGAGGGCGGTAAACAGGTGTGTGAGGAGAAGAGATTGTGTGGACAGATTCTGTAGGAGAGACTGGCGAGGGGGCTGCGGGGACGACATTGTGATTAGAGTGAGATAAGTAACACCTAGTATTGATGACAACAAATGTAAGAGAAGCATAGGAAGCGGGGATGGCCGCCGCAGATCTGCCTCCACCACGCGCGCCTCACTGCGCCGGCCGAGAATGCGCTGTATGATCTCTATCATTTTCAACAGTTGCCCTTGTACCAACAACAAAGGGGATATCAATATGCCGCGGCTAGAAGAGTCTCCTTCAAGAAGCCGAGCATCCCGTGGCCCACTTGGCATTGACGCGGGCGCGGTGATCAAGCGCGTCAAGAGCCTGCCCAAAGAGACGTGGCATCGCTACGAGAAGCTCGGTCCCAGATCCAAGGTGCGACGCCTCTCCTCACTATCCAGAAGTATTGCTGACATTCAAATAGGCTGCTGTGTGGTAAGTCTCGTTCCGGTCTTACGAGACTTTAGACTTGACTGTGGCTTTAGGATCATTACCGCCCTTCATTTCATCGGATTCGCCGTCGTGATTTGGTTGACTCCCAGAGCAATCGGACAATGGTTCAATGACTTTGCTCTTTCGGTGAAAGCTATGGGCTGGAAAGGCGTGGTCCTGTGTAATATCTTTGCGGGTGCGTAACTATGTTGCCAGATGATGACGTCGCCAGCTGACGAAGGATCTCAAGTATTGAGCTCACACCCTCCCTTGATCGGCTTCATGCCCACCCTTACACTGATTGGATTCATTTACGGTATTTGGCCCGGATTCTTGATAGCCTTCATCGCCTCCAACCTTGGCGCTGGTATCGCCTTCCTTTCCGTCCGCGTACGTCCCGCAAATGATTCACGGCGCGGCAGCTCATAAGGAATACAGCGATTCTTCCTCGGTTGGATCAAGAAGAATGACAAGTGGGAAGCATTCGGCCATGTCATGCGTGCGAAAGGCCTTCCCCTCGTCGTAATGATACGCTTCTGTCCGATTCCATGGTAACTTTCTACCTCATCCTATACCGGCAATAAGTATCAAGCTCAATTGATTATAGGAATGTCAGCAACGGGCTGTTTGCTTCGATCGAGAGTGTCAAGTTCTGGCAATTCATGCTTGCCAATGTGTACGTGCTTTTCCCATGCTTCTCCAAGTTCCTGGCTGACAGATTACAGTGCGATTCAGCCCCGCCTGTTAGTTCCGGTATTCATTGGCTCCCGACTCACCTCCCTCTACTCGGACTCCCCCACGGAGGACCCTCTCCGCTTCTGGATCAACCTTGCTTCCATCGGTATCTCTGGTACCATCTCTGTTGTCACTGGCTACGCCATCTACCGTCTCACTCTTGACCAGATGCGAAAGCTCGATCAGGCGCGAGCAGGGGGAGGCGTTAGTGACGGAGATGGTGAATTGGCTGCAGAAGCTTTGGAAGGGAGGGCGTTGCTGGGAGAGTATGACGGACAGGGGAGCGGGGATGAGGAGGCGGAGATGTTGACCGACCCAGAGAGTAGGGCCCGGGGGAGGGCGGCGAACGGCAAGGCGAATGGGAGGAGTTTGAAGGTCGGCGGGAATGTGATCAGGAGGACGAGCAGCAGTGAGACTAGCGATGCGAGCGAGTTGGTGTAGACGATTGTATACATATATGTACATGCATGAGATCGCGCGACAGACTTGGCTCAGTGGAGGTTGCTGATGAAGACGAGATACTACGCGAAAACTTGGGTCGAGGTGCTGTAATAGAAAAGGTGGACCTTGTGATACAGCATGCATCCTCTCATGACGCATACCAGTCCAAGAAGAGCAAGCTAAAGCTCGCCCCAAGGATGAACACCAACAAGAACAACCTGCCCTCCTTGCCCCTCTCTCTCGCCTTTACAAGCTGCTCATTCGCTTTCCTAACTTCCGCCACACTCCCTACCGCATCTTCGTACAGCTGCTCCACCACTTCCGTCTGTTGCGCCAGATGTCTCACCAGCTCTGATTGGAGTTGGGATATTTCTAGAAGCGAGCTCTCTGCCGAGAGCACGGAGGAGAGGGTAGAAGACATGTGTTCGAGTAGGGCGTTGTTTTCAGATTCAAACTCTTGCATTTGAGCTTGCGAGAGCTGAGACTCGATGGGAGGGGCGGAAGGGTCAATGATACCCAAACCCGAGTGTAAATGGGGATCAGACCCCATCGTCGGACTGAGTGCGGCATCGTGCACATCGACTACGACACCGTCTGGTATCAATCTCCCCTCTCCGGCTTTCCTCGCCCTGCCTAGCCGCTCCGCTTCTGCGCTGGCGCCGTTGCCTAATGTGCGGCCGCGTTCTTCTCGGCGTTTGACGCGCTCTGTCTGCATGTCGCTCAAGGTACCGGTGAGTTTTGCCATGGTGTCATTGAGCGTCCAGATGATGGAGGCGTGGTGGGCAGATATGATGGGTTCGGAGGAAGTGGAGGGAGATGAGGGAAGGGCGAGGGACGGGAGGAGTTGGAAGAGGGATGATGCGGGGAGGGACGAGTTGACTTTGGTCTTGCGAGCTATTCTCTATTATCAGCTTTCGAAGATTGATAAAAACAGATTTCACACACCTTTCTCAGCCCTCTCCAATACCCCGACTCGCTCATTACACCTCCTCAAAATCATCCGCGCCCTCAAGTCAATCTCATCCCTCTCCTTGTCCGTCAAATACTTGGACTTTTCCCATTTCGCCCATTCCTCCACCTGCCCATCATCACCTGCCTGGCTGGACGTTGGTCTCTGAGGCCGACGGCGGGACATGGGAGGGGGTTCGGCGGAGGACAGGTATGGTTTACGGACAGAGGTGAGGAGGTGCCGTAGAGAGGCTAGGTGGGTGTACTATGACGTATCAGCTCTAGCCCCATTTTATCTGGAAGACAGACTCACAATCTGATAACTCTCCTTCAGGAAGCTCTCTTCATCCTCATCGCCTTGCTTCCCCTTACCCTTCCCTCGAGACGCACTGCGTCCTCCGCGCGGTGGAGGTGACTTTGACCTGGCAGATGGAGGGAGGGCAGATTGTTTGGTTGAGAGGATGGATCTGAGTTGATCTGTTTGATCTATAGGTGCCATTTTAAACGGCTTGAAGAGAGAATAAGGTAATTAATTGATGAAGTCAAGATTGGATAGAGTTCGAAGCTGGTTCGAAGGGCACGCTGATCCGAGCTGGGATCACTAAAAGTGCGGACGTCATCGCTTCTATCACCTGCTGTTGTGACCAGGTGGTGAGGTTGATTTGCAGAGAACTCCCGCATGCAGCGACAAGTACAGCACACGTCATATCATATACATGGTGCTTGTGCAAAGCACACAATTTTATTGACTATATGCGTTTCGCTGATTATACTGTTCTGCTTCTGAGTCAAACCCTTCACTCAACAATGACTTCTCCACTCAGTTAGCCTGGTACTCGCCCCAAGCAATGATAACATCATTGAGCAAGGACAAGTTGTAAGGCGTAACATAAGGGTTCGAGTCGGTCAAACCAACAAACATGGTGCCGTTCACGACACCGTCAGAGGTATTGTCGAATACGACGCCGTCGGGCTGGTAAGTGTAGCCAGAGTAGTTGCCAGTGGAGTTGAACTCGGTGTAGGTGGTGTTGAGCTGGCTGACCCAAGCGACGTACTGCATCATAGTCAGTCTTTAGTGGCACACAGAAGGAAGGGGAGGGGGGGGATACCTTGGGAGTGGTATCAGTGACGTTACCACCAATGGAAGTAGAGTAAGAAGAGTTCCAAGAAGTGTTTTGCCCCGGAGCGTCCCAGGTAAAGTGAATTTGCTGGCCGGGGGAGGTGAGGGAGGTGCGGTTGTGGGTGATGGCGGCGTTGTAGCCGTCGACGAGAAGGCTGGTTTCGTTCACGACGTTGAGGTTGGGGTAGATTTGCCATTCCTGCACACGGGTAAGCATGGTTTGAGGGAGAAGGGGAGGGACGTACAATGCGAGGGTTCTCGGCGGGACAAGTAGCGAGGTAAGGCTGGAGCAAAGACCAAGCCATAGACTGGGAAATACCAGTCTCAAAGTACACTGGCATGGGGTGCGCACCCGAGAACTGCCTAAAGATCATCTGCTGCCTCGCCTCAGTAGTGATGGACTGCAACAAGAGCTGCGCCGAGGGCCGCGAGTCGAGGTGCGGCAAAAAGCCATAAACACCACTCTCACCCCACCTCGTCAATCTCTGACAAAAGTTGACAAAGTCCCGGACAGTTTCAAAATCGTATTGGTAGGTGCACTGCTTGGCGGGGGTGCGCCCGTTGGAGGAGAGGATGTTGGTGAGGAGGGTGGCGTGGCCGACTTCTTGGTCGGCCATAAAGTTGATGAGGGAGATGTCTTCGGCGTCGATGCCGGCGGCGGCGAATTCTTCCTCGGAGAAACGCTCGACGCCGTATCGGAAGAGGTCACTAGGAAGGAGAGTTAGCGGATGGAGATGTAAGAGCGGAAGGACGTACAGCTCGATCCACTCCTGGTTCAAAGCCAAGTTGAGTGACTGGAAATCGACTACAGACCAGTCAGCGGGAGATTCCAGACAAGCAAAGGGGGGCACTTACAGTCACTGTCAGTGTGGTAGATGGGAGCGCTGGCGTTGGGGCGAGCGTCGACACCACCATCGGGAACAGCAGCGGGATCCCGCTTCTCAAAGCCCTTGAGCACGGCAGGGGCTGCAGTCGCCAAAGAGGCGAGCAGAGGGAGGGCACAGGCAATGGAGCTGAAGGACCTCATCGTAGACTGACTGGAGTTGGAAAAGAAGATCGAGAGGAGGAGGCGGGTTGTATATATAGTGGAGAGGGCGGATCGGGATCGTCGGCCGGGGAGCAGGATTAGATACCTGCCCAAAGAGGCACAAAATGCATTATTATCAAGATTACCAGGCGATGACGGCAAGCATGGAACGAGTCGGATGACTGGAATCGGGAAGCACGCGTCACTCGTTTCGGTGTCTGGAATCCAAAAAAAATCATGGAACGCTAATGGAACGGATGACGTCGGGGATTACGGAGAGCATTCGTCGGTATACATAGTGTCTCGAGAGGTTGGTACTACTATGTAGTAAGTGGCCCTACATGCCTGGACTGATGTGCATGCTGCATGAGCGCGAACATGGGGCGGGACGGCGTTCAAGAATGTCTGCCCCTGGCGCATTCGATTGGCATTCGATGAGAAGAGGTGGTGGAGGTGGTGACTAACTGCCGGCGGGTGACGATCTCTCTCGCTTGCCGAGAGGCACTTTCTGGGAATCTTAAAGACTCCCCCGCTTGCCTGTTACGTGGCCTGGCGGGGATGGCCGCTACTCGGAACCAAATACACGTCCACGACAAGATGCAGGAGTCCTACCCACTGGGCCCTCCCCTCGCAGCAGCACACGAGCATGCCCCAGCACCCCCAGTACCCCCTTGCGACTGTATGCTGTATGGCGGGACAGACCGCCTTCGCGTGTGGTGCCGCACAGACCCCCGCCAGGCAACCGCCAGGGCTGTGCGGTAGGCGTGTGCAGACCCTTTTGGCGGTGTCCTTTGTTGTCTCGTCTCATTTCTCTTCGTCCGTCTCCATCTATCACTCAACTTTCTTCTTTCTGCATCCCCTCCGCTCCCTTCTCTCCCTTCTCTCTCCCCTCCCACCATGGCTGCTCCAGCCTCCAGGTTCCAGGGCGTCACAGATCTCGCGTATGTTCCTCCCGCTCGGCGTCATCTTCAGATTTGCCTGACCAAACACACGCAGGAGCTCGCTCGCCGTGACAGAGGATACCACCGTCGTCACCCTTCAAGAACGCTACCTCGCCCACAAGACCTACACCGCCCTCTCCTCCTCCGCCCTCGTCTTCACCAACCCCTACAACTACCTGCCATCAGATGGCGACGACTCTCTTTTACGATATGTGCAGGAATACTACCGTGTTGCGAAAGAGGACGACACGGGGCGTAATGAAGAAGGGGCATGGAGGAAGGGCGGACTGGACCCTCACGTGTTTCAGCTCGCTCTCAATGCCTTCTTCAATATGAAGCGGACAGGGCAGGATCAGGTCATTATTACAAAGTGAGTTTTCGCCCGAGCTTGGTTGTCGTGATTGAGCGGGTGTTGCTCGCTGCTGCTGCTCTGTTGTTCCAATCGATACGGGAGACTTTGCGGAGGCTTGGCGCAATCCCAGACAAGCCTTCCCATGCAGCCGCGCGTACTACAATGATCACCGCTGACCCCCTCCTAGCGGTCCCATGGGTTCCGGAAAGAGTGAACTCAAAAGACTAGCCATCGAAGCCATCTCCGAAGTCAGCGTCGCCACTCCAGGAAAGAAGGGATCCAAGCTCGGTCTCCAAGTTGCCAGTGCCGAGGTGAGACCTGTCCTGCCGCTCGGGGCATACCGCTGACCGACCCTTAGTTTATCCAAAAATGCTTTGGAAACGCCCATACTCTCTCAAACGACGATGCTTCGCGATACGGCTCATACACCGAGCTCCAATTCAACGAGCGAGGTCGACTTGACGGGCTGAAAACGATCCAATACTACTTTGAACGGTCGCGCGTATCCCAGGCGCCCGTCAATGGCGAACGCAATTTCCACGTCTTCTACTATCTCGTCGCTGGGGCTCCCGCCGAAGAGCGGGCGTTCTTCAAGCTGGGCGATATGATTGATTACCGGTACCTGAATTGCCGAGTACGGAGGATCGGGGTCGAGGATAAGCATCGGTACTCCCAGCTCAGGCAGGCGTTCAAGGCTGTGGGCATGTCGAGCCGTCTTGTGGCGCAAGTGTTTCAGCTCCTTGCGGCTGTATTGCATATCGGCAACTTGCAATTCACCCCAGGTGATGGCGAGCAGGAAGGTGCACAGGTCGTCAATGCCGACACGCTCGACGTCGTGGCCGAATTCTTGGGTGTCTCTTCCGAGTCTCTTGCCGAGGTCTTTTCCATCAAGACTGTCATTATCCGCAAAGAAGTCTGCACCACCTTTCTCGGTCCAGAGCAGGCCGAACAAGTCCGAGACGAGCTCGCTCGGACACTCTACTCTCTCCTCTTCTCTTGGCTCATCGAGCACATCAACTCGAAGCTCTGTAAAGACAGCTTTGGTTCCTTTATCGCCCTCCTCGATCTGCCGGGTATCCAGCGCGGATCTTCCGTCATCTCAACCAACTCGCTCGATCAGCTATGTCTCAACTTTGCTTCGGAAAAGCTGCACAACTGGGTTCTGCACCGTGTCCACCAGACGGCCAAACAAGAGGCGGAAGCGGAGAGGTTGATCTTCAACAAGGTGCCGTACTTTGACAATTCAGATTGTTTGGAAATGTTGTCGGCTTCGCGAGGCGGGTTGGTATCGACCCTTGACGATCTGTCGCTCAAGAAGAAGGCAGAGCAAAACTTGCTTGACAACTTGACGAAAAAGTACCACAGCCACCCATCACTCTCCATCTCTTCATCGCACGGGTACCGCTCCGCTTCGTCCTTTACCATCAATCACTACGACGGTCCCGTCACTTATGAGACTTCCAACCTGCTCGAGCGAAATGCCAAAGAAACGAGTACCGACATTGTTCAACTCCTCCGAGGATCGACGTCTACGCAGTTCCCAGAGATGGAGTCGCGCGGGTCGAGCAACCCCTTCATCAAGGGCCTGTTTACCATGAAGGGGATCTCGATGCAGACGCACCCGAAGAGTGATTCCACCATTGTGGCTGTCCAGCAATCTGTCCGTCCTGTCCGAGCGCCTTCGACGAGGCGCAAGCAGAGACGGTCTTTGGTCCCGGTCAATGAGGAGGACGAAGATGCGGAGGACTTTGGTGTGGGCGGAGGTAACGACGAGAGCTACTCTTCCAAAGACCTTACCTGCATCGCCGGTCAACACTTTCACGCCGTCGAAGCCCTGCTCAAATCATTCGACCAAACCCAAATGTGGTACATCTTCTGCCTCCGCCCCAACGACAGCCAACTCCCATCGCAATTCGACCTGCGGGCTGTCAAGTCGCAAATCCGGAGCTTTGGGCTGGTGGAGCTTGCGCAGAGGTTGCAAGGCAATGGATGGGAGGTGAGGATGTCGTTGGAGGAGGCGTGTGAGAGGTATAAGGTTGAGTTGGCGAGGAGGGGGATTATGGAGGGGCCGGCGTGGGTGGAGAGGTTGAGGGATTTCAAGAGGTTGTTGAAGGCGAGTGATGCGGAGATTGGGATTGGACAGCAACGAGTGAGTTTTGTGGTAATTCTCGAGTGTCGAGCTGACTTTTGCTAGGTGTTCCTATCGCATTCTGTGTTCCGCTATCTCGAAGACAAGCTGCGAGCCAGAGATAATGAGGAACATCTTCATCAGTACGACGATGCGGCTTTTGAAGGCCAAAAGCGTATCCAGACAGACCCCTTTTCCCCTCACCGTCATCACAACTCTGCCGAGTCTCGACAACTCTACGATACCTCATTCCCCGACGAATCCTCTGCGGCGCTCCCGCTGGTCGCTCATGCCCAGCCGAACCCGATGGAGAGCACGCTCGATCTGGATGATATGCCGCCGACGAGCGTACCTTACGGTACTCACTATGGAGATGCGTCCACTACCGATGTTGGGGAGTATGCTTCCTCTAAGAGCGCCTATGCTTCATCTCTACACAAGAGCGAAAAGGATCCTCTAGACGAAGATAATACCCCAGGCCATACCCAGGAGACGTACAAAGAGTCTATCGTCAGGCGTCGATGGGTCTGGATGTGTGCCGCGCTTACGTGGTGGGTTCCTGGGTTCATGCTGTCCAAATTTGGCGGCATGAAGCGATCGGACATCAGGCAAGCGTGGAGAGAAAAGCTGGCGATCAACATGATCATCTGGTTCATTTGTGGTTGTACGGTCTTTGTCATTGCCATCCTCGGTCCTTTGATCTGTCCCACTCAGCATGTCTATTCGACTAGTGAGCTGGCGAGTCAAAGTTATACTTCGCATCCTGATGAGGCGTATACGGCTATTCGGGGAGAGGTCTTTGATCTGTCGAGTTTTGCGCCAACGCATCTTACGGCAGTATCGGTCGTCCCGAAGCGGAGTTTCATGACCTATGGTGGTCTCGACGCTACCGACCTCTTTCCTGTTCAAGTGTCTGCTCTCTGTGACGGCGTGTCTGGCTCGATCAGCGACTATGTCACCATGGACACTAGCAACACGACCGACAACTATGCTCAGTATCACGATTTCAGAGCGTCTACCAACGACTCTCGACCCGATTGGTACGCCGAGATGATGATCATGATGCGCCATCGATTCCGCAAAGGTTTCATGGGCTATACCAAGAAGGCTATCAAGACCCAAGCTAGCCAGGGAAGCGCTGTTGGTATCGTCGATGATGTCGTTTACGACTTGTCCGACTATATTGCGCAGAATGGTGGTGGGCTGAAGTTGCCGGATGGGTATACTGCTACGTCGCAAGACCAGAGCGACAGGCAGTTCATGAGCAGTCAAGTCGTCGACTTGTTCAAGTACAACTCGGGCAAGGACGTCACCAAGCTACTCAACAACTTGGCTGGTACCCTTGGACAGGATGTGGTCGACCGACAGAAAGTCTGCTTGCGCAACCTGTTCATCATTGGTAAAGTCGACAGTCGAGATTCGGCGGCTTGTCAATTCTCGACCTACATCCTGCTCGTGCTGTCGATCATCATGGTGACCATCATTGGGTTCAAGTTCTTGGCCGCTCTGCACTTTGGCTCTGCTCGAGCCCCAGAGGCGCACGACAAGTTCATTATCTGCCAAGTGCCTTGTTACACCGAAGGTGAAGATTCTTTGAGGCGTACGATCGACTCGCTGTGCAAGCTTCGATACGACGACAAGCGTAAACTTATCATGGTCATTTGCGATGGTAACATCAAGGGTTACGGAAACGACAAGCCCACGCCTGCTATCGTCCTCGACATTCTCGGTGTGGACCCCAATGCCGAGGCTGAACCTCTCAGTTTCCAATCTCTCGGCGAAGGTGCCAAGCAGCACAACCAGGGCAAGGTGTATGCGGGATTGTACGAACATGCTGGTCATGTCGTACCGTATCTCGTGGTCGTCAAGGTCGGCAAGCCGAATGAGAGGCAGAGACCGGGTAACAGGGGTAAGCGTGACTCTCAGATGGTGGTCATGCACTTTTTGAACAAAGTATGTCGATTCTCTCCGACTTGGTGTCAAGCTGACAGACTATAGGTCCACTTCAACTCTCCCATGAACCCACTCGAGCTCGAGATGTACCACCAGATCAAGAATGTCATAGGTGTGAATCCGAGTTTCTACGAGTATATCTTCATGGTTGATGCCGATACGACGGTGGAGGAGTTGTCTCTGAATCGATTGGTCTCGGCGTGAGTGCCATTTGCTCTCCCGTACCGCAAGCTGACCCAGGGCAGGATGATGCACGACAAGAAGATCATTGGTGTTTGTGGAGAGACCTCCATCACCAACGCCAAACAGTCTATTGTCACCATGGCCCAAGTATACGAATACTTTATCTCCCATCACCTCGCCAAGGCTTTCGAAAGTCTCTTTGGCTCCATCACCTGTCTCCCCGGTTGTTTCTCCATGTACCGCCTTCGGTCTCCAGATACCAACAAGCCGCTCTTCATCTCCAACGCCGTCATCGAAGACTACTCGGAGAACCGAGTCGACACTCTGCACATGAAGAACTTGCTTCATTTGGGTGAAGATCGATACCTGACTACCTTGGTCCTCAAGCACTTTGTCAACTACAAGACAAAGTTTGTGCGGGATGCGCATGCCCAGACGGTGGCTCCAGACTCTGGCAAGGTCTTGCTCAGTCAAAGGCGACGATGGATCAACTCTACCGTGCACAATTTGGCAGAGCTCGTGTTTTTGGATGAGCTGTGTGGTTTCTGTTGCTTCTCGATGCGATTCGTCGTCTTGATTGACTTGGTATCGACCATCATCGCACCTGTTACTGTGGCATATGTAAGTGGTATGTCTCTATGGCGAACTGTCACTGATGCTATGTAGATCGGGTATCTGATCTACCTGATCGTCCACGATGGCGAAACTATCCCAACTCTCAGTATCATTATGCTTGCTGCTATCTACGGTCTTCAAGCCTTGATCTTCATCTTCCGAATGAGATGGGACATGATTGCTTGGATGTTCTGTGAGTCAACCCGCTTTTTCATCCCTCGCAAGTATGCTCATAGTTGCATAGTCTACATCTTGGCCATCCCGGTCTTTTCATTCTTCTTGCCGCTCTACTCTTTCTGGAAGATGGACGACTTTAGTTGGGGATCCACTCGTCTAGGTGAGTACCGTGTTCCCAGCTGAACTCTCCCATGCTGACGTTCTCGTAGTTGTTGGTGATGGCGGAAAGAAGATTGTCATCCACGACGAAGGCAAATTTGACCCATCCCTGATTCCTCTGAAGAGTTGGGAAGAATACGAGTCAGTACTTTGCATACCGGTCGCAATCATGCTGACTGTTTCCAGAAACGAACTCTGGGACCACGAATCCTCTCAGTCTGAAGAGTTCCTTGCTCCCGTCAAGAGCGAATACGACTACCGTCCCCGGTCCACCTTCAGCTATGGCTACGACCAGCCCCAGGGCATGCAATCGCGCTCCTTCACCCCCGTCAGCTCGGTCTACGGCATGAACCACCCCTCTGCCAACGCGAATCCGTTCGGAGCGACAGACTATAGGTCGATCCAGATGAACCTGGCTCACAGGCCGTTGTTGAGGGAAGAGTCATTTGACAGAATGTCGCAATTTGATGGAGGGAGCTTGTATGGCGGGCAGCAGGCCCATAACCCGTTCGCGGGAGGCTTTGCTGGACAGAGGAACCAGTCGTACACTTCCCTGGACCAAGCTGCGTATCAAGCACCCTACCAAGCGCCTCCCTCCCAAAGAGGCTACAACCCCTCGCTACACACTGCCGAGGCTTCCACCATGGAAGACTCTTTCGCCGCACCAGTCGACTATTTGGGTGCTATGGCAATTACAGACTCTCAGCTAGAAGCAAGTATCAGAAAGATTTGTAAGAACGCGGATCTGGACAATCTTACGAAGAAGGGGGTGAGGAAAGCGTTGGAGAAGGAGTATGGTTGCGGGTTGGATGAGAGGAAGGAGGCGATCAATAGGCTGGTGGAGAAGGTCCTTACTGGTACGTTTTGTGGAGCTTGGGACGATCCGGAGCTGACTTGTCTACCAGAGTAGGATAGGAGCTGTCTTGGTGTGCGAGCCGCATGGATTTGAACGATTTCACGGACATTATTAGTGGTTCTCATTACGCCCTGTTAGAATGATTATATGTGTAGAGTAAAACATGTACGATATGTTTGGTTCGCGTCCGAGTCGAGGCAAAGACAACAATACATACAGCCAGAAGATGAAAAGTAGATACAGACTCATTCGCCTCTCGTCCTCCTCCCTCGCCCCGTATTGCCCTGCATCCTCGCCCAGTCCCCGTCAATCTCCAGCTGCGCCGCCTGTGTCATCTTGGCCAACTCTGCCAGACTCTTGCCCAGCGCCAGTGTTTGATCTCTCGTACCTCCCACGCCCCTACTTCTAATACTCGACTGGGCGGCAGCGATACCGAGGGCAGCCGATGTGCCCGGGGCAGCGAGCTCCTTTCCATCTCCACCATTCTCCGCCGTCGCCGCCTTTCCTCTCGGTCCGCCTCTCTTCCCTGTTTGCGTAGGGACGTACGTCGTCGTCCCTGCCGGCGCTGGACGCACATGCAGAGACGAGTCATTCGGCAGGATATCCTCAGCCGAAATGAGCGCGAGGGAGGGCGTGAGCGAAGAATGGTGCATCAAGTCGGCGGGGTTGATCTTGGAAGAGGGGGACTTTGAGCGGGAGTGTGATGATTGGCGTGTACCCGAGGGGGTCAGGGAGATGGGAGTGGATGCTGAGGAGGGGGTGAAGAAGGAGCGGCGTTTGGGTTTGTGGGTGTCTGCTTCTAGCAAGTTTTCTATGGCGCTGTCAGCACATGGGGGCAAGAGTAGAAGGGGATATGCGTACCAGTGACGACCTCGCCGCCTTCCTTCTCATCGCGCAGCCTCTTTCGCCTGTCCTCTATTGAGCCCAGTAGGCGTTGCCGGATCTGGTCTCGCGACTCCCAGTATTGCGCCTCGATGGCCTCTCGCTCCTGCTCATACATCTTGCGCGCTTGGCTCGCCCTGCAGCACGGCGTCAGTCTCCCATCTATCCCCTCACACGCATGAGAGGAAACGACTCACTTGTATTGGAATTCCTCCTCGGCAGCTTCCAGCCTCGCGTCCCGCTCGACGCTGACCGGGTAAGCGTGCAGCAGGAACTTGGCCGACGTGGGCGGTTGGCTGTTGACCATCTTGTTCTCCGCGTGGAACTCTTTGTACATCTGCCCAAACTTCCTGCTTTCTGTCAGCACCTCTTCCCTCTGGACGGCGGAACGGACTCACTCGTCTCGGGCTCTCCAGCTCTCCTCGTGCAGCATCTCGATCTTGTTCACGGTCTCCCTCCTCTTCCTGTCCCTCTTGGACTCTGCATGTTGTGGGGGGATGAGGGTGGGCACGACACCCTGCTGATAGTATCTCGACATGGCTGGGATGTATGGGATGCAGGATGATAGAGGAAATGGGAGATTTCGTTGTTCCCGCAACTGCAGGTGGAGGCAGTCCACTCTTTTGCGCTATTCATCTCTATCATCTCTACATTTCGGCAACTCACCATGGCCCACCCCATCCATCTCCCGCTGCCCCACTCCTCCTCCCTCGTAGCAGTACCCCATCCTGTGTACCGCCAGCCCCATCTCATCCACACATACTCACACAACCCAGACAGGTCCATCGTCCATGATGATTCGGCTATGGCTTGGTTTGATCCCGCTCCCATTGGCTCAGATTTGAACTATGGCTTTGAGAGGCTGGTGGAGAGAGGGGATGATGATGAGCATTTGGATGGGCTGGTGGAGAGTCTGGAGGAGATGGGGAGGAATGGCGAGGAGGGCGAGAGGAAGGGTGGGATCATTACCTGGCGGGGAATGTTGACCAGGTATGTTATCTTGCATCATAGCGCTGCTAGGGTATCATACTAGAGTATCATCAAGGAAGACTGACTTGAGGGAAAAGGCTGCTGACCTCTCCATACGAAACCCGAGACGGATGGGAGATGACAGCGTTCGCCCTCGACGGATCGGTCTACCTGGAACTCTATGATCCTCCAGAGGCACGAGCAGCAAAGTAAGCCAGATCTACTTGCATCTTGCTAGTAACTGACACACTATGGTAGGAAGAAGGGCGAAGCCTCATGGGCTCGACAGGCATACATGGGCTATTCTTACGAATCTTGGTCCACCGCCAAGAGCTATAGTCATGATGAGAGTGTGTCAGACCATTGGGGTGGTGATGTCAACACGAACGTTCAATGGGCAAAGTACGCTTTTTCTGCTGATGGCAAGATAAGATGCTCAAGTGGCATCTAGTGTTGTGAGATCAGCCATCGGCGATATCCCGTTCTGCATTGCCGGCGAAGTCGATTGTGTCAACGGTAAGCTTTTTTTGCCAGCTACGCTTACACCCTCGGATACTAACGCACGTTTGCAGGAGCCCCATCTGAAAACAACCCCGGTCTGGAAGAGACTGTCGAGCTCAAGACCAACAAAGTCATCGCCAATGAGTGGCAGGAAAAGACGTTTGTAAAGAAGTTGCTGAAGCATTGGGCACAAAGTTGGCTGCTCGGTACGCCTGTAAGTCTGTCATTTGGCTCATTGGTGTGTCTACTGACTGTATCTTGAAGCGCCTCATGATTGGTTTCAGAGACGACGCGGGCATTCTCCGTTCCCAACAGCTGTTTGACACATATATGCTTCCTCGCATGTACGTGCTCCCCCTCCGCGCCTCTCTAGAATCTTGCCTCTGACTCCAATATCACAGCGCCGCAACCCACTCCTCTACACCCGCATGGCACCCCTCCCCATGCTTCCACGCCCTTCACTCCATCGCCTCGCTCCTCACCACCCACATCCTCCCCACCGACCCGCTCCTCACGCATCCCGACTTGAGAGGGAACAAAGAGAGGGTAGATCGCGAAGGGCTGCCATCAGCAGTTGTTTGGCGACTGCGGTTTGACCCGAGACGGGGATTCGAGCTGTTCCAGACTGGACAAGTTGGGCTCGTGGATGGGAGATGGGGAGGTGTTTTGAAAGAGGATTATGTGCGGTGGAGGATGGGAGTGTGAGTAGTATGCCTCTGGTGATCGACTCATGCACAGCCGTTTCCTGTCTACATGTCGGTACTCGCAAAGAGGTTGTTCGGCTCGCCGGCGCAGTCAACTATCAACCCGGCGGCCTTTGCAGTTATTATTACCCGTATACATCATCCTTTCACCCTATACCGTCAAACGTGTACCAGTCATGGGCAGAAAGGAATGGACCTCCTCTCCTCTCTCAGCTTTCACAGCACCTGTTCGGCATCTCCTCTCATGTAGGCATCTTGCCACGGGGCTTTCTGGTTTCGATCTCTTACCTATTCTTGATCCTCAAAATCAACAGGAAAGCTGCTATCCGCCAACAAACCTGCATGGCCCCTATCAAGCTATAACCGACCACCACCACCTCATTCGTGTATACAAAGTTCATGCCTTGCAGGTTCAAGCACATTTTTCAATAAAACCGTATATTCGCGCCATGGGCATCTTGGGAGGCGACGACGACGAAACATCTTCTGCTGCTGGTGCCAGCACCGGCCTCACCGCCGCCTCTTCCAGCGCTGCCGATACCAAACCAGCGTCTTCATCAGCTGCGAAGGAAGAAGAGTCTACTACAGCGAAAGAAGCTACTACCACCGCCGCCAAAGCAGCCGACGCTGAAAGCTCCTCTTCTGCCTCACCTACCACCGTTGCAAATTCTGGGGCGACGAGTACGGGGGGCGTGTCGGATACTGTCAAGTCGTGTTTGAATCAAGGCCTTGATTCGGCCGATTGTAAGAGTGGGACGAGTGCGAATGAAGGTGCTATCATCGGTGGTGAGTGGACTACCTCCTTTTGTGCTTTCTGGGCAATAATGGCGAGTGATGAAGATGCTGATGATCTCGATCAGGAGCGATAGGAGGTGCGCTCGTCATAGCACTGATCATATACTGGTTGATGAAGAGGAAGAAGAAGGAGGGGGTGAAGAAGGGGTTCTGGCAAGGGAAGGCCGGGATGGGAGGGGCGCCGCCCGTTTGAGTGGGTTGAAGGTTGCTGGTTGCACCAGAAGGTCAGAATGGGAATAGGATCTTTGTGAGGAGCCGAGGTATAAGCGTGTTTCAGATCTTGAAGACACCATGTGACAATGGAATGCATTGTAGAGGGTCGCTTGAAAAGGTCCTGAACGCTTCCCTATAAACCGCCCAAGTGGGCGCCTTTGCAATGTATCAGGCCGACTACGCTTTCTCCCGGTTCTCATGTATTGTATCCTTGCTTCCTGAGTAATTTTGCGTTTCCCAATACCGTTCCTCAACCCCCCAATCGTAGTTCTCTCCTTCCCATTATTTTTCCCAATCATACCGTTCTTCCCCATCGTCCTCGTATTCGTCCCAATCGGAGCCTTCATCGGAAAGGGTCGGCTCCCGACTGTGGCCAGCAAGACGTACTTTTTCCTGCCACTTGTCGTAGTACCCATTCTCTTTCGCCCGTTTGATATCTACCCTGGAACTCCACTTGATCCAAGGGTTCTTTTTGGCAAAGACAATTCCAGCACCGTCACGGTTGTTCACCTTTTCGACCACATCGAACCCCCTATTTCTCAGGTACACATTGCTGAATCGGGTGAGGCTGGGAAGCCGAGCGTGCATGCTTATGAGAGCGTTGGGAACGCGATGATATTTGACATTGTGAAGGTGAGGAATGAGGACGTCATAGGGGATGACACCGGATTTCAATCGTGGGATAGGGGCTCAAATGTTTGTCTGTTTTCCAGTCAGCATGAGATTCACTGCCCTGTGTGAGTTCGAGCTACCTTTAGAAGATTCTGCGAGTGCACGCGAGAGTGAGGGTATAGCTGGAAGCTCCAACCCAGGCCGGTCACAACTTCAACCCAATGGTGATGTCGGAGGTGTATCATCTGCTCCTGGCTAGTCTCCGACTTCTCGACTTTGTATCCAGTTTGCTCGTCGATGACATCGTAGAATGAAGAGAGGAGTCGAGCCCAAGAGTATGGGGAGAAGGACTGGGTAATGTCAGATCTTTGGTTAAATGGGAAGTCCGTGGAGGGCAGTGACGACTGCTCCATAGGTTCGGGGGGGCACAAACAAGCTGGACCTACTGTCAGCGACTATACAGAATACGAACGTCAAATAGGGCTCACCCCTCCTGCTTCATCATTAATTCATAGAGGTAAGCCCGGCCTTTCTCGACCAGGGAGGACATGGAGCGTTTGGCAGCTTGTTCTTGATCACTCGCCTTCAATGTCAAAGCAATGGGGGATAGGTAGCTGATGACATCGGGCATGCTATTATTCCCTCATCAGCCGCAGAAGAGTATGATCCAAATCAGATACTTACGAGTCGTAGTATGTGCCCGTCTCAGATCGATGATGCCATCCAGCATTCCGCTGTATTAGCCCACAGCTAGTGAGAGGCAGGTGGTCTTGAAGAAAAAGATGTTCGAGGTGTTGGAAGAAGGGAAAGTAAGGCATCTTTTTTTCAGTGTTTCTCATCCGGATGAGCTGACCATGCACATCATATGTAGAGGTTGGACGAACATCTCCGGGATTGCTTTGGATCGAGCGCTATGCTTTGTGCAGAGCAAGGGTGCAAGAGTGTGTCCATATGTATTGTATTGTGAATATCATATGCGCGAGGAGTCTGGCACTGGAAAAGTACATCGGGCCCATTTGACCGATCATACATCAGGTGAGGAGATGATCATGTGAACGCAGATGACCATACAAGTGCCAATGCCAACGCACAAACAAGAGATGATAGAATGCTCTGATAAGAGATAGCAGCGCTCGGCTTTCACGCGCGCTTATCGGGCCTTATTATCGGCTGCTGCCGGCGGCGTTGGCCGATCACAAGGCCCTCCTTTGCTACTGTAAAAGATGATTCGAGGGTGGCTGAGGCAGGGATGGCCACAGGGACATGCATGGGGTGCCGTGGATTTCGGAAATGTACGAGATGCATGGGGGCGGGCGGAGCATGTCCTCGGCATTTCACTCTCGGGCGGAACTTGGCTCATTACCAAAGATCGTTGGCGCGCATGGAAGCAAATTCGCGTGCGAGTCTGACTTTGAGCAACATTTTATAATCTCCCACCAATCCACCATCTCCCCCTTGCCCACCTCAAAAGTAATATACAAAACCGCTGTAAAAACCATCGCCCATATCAAAAGTATATAACATGACCACCGAAACCGTCGGCCTCGCTCCCCAGCCCCAGCCCTCCATCTTGGAGGAGTACTCGAATGGCGTCGCCCCCAAGTACAACTCCCATGACCACCTGAGCGACAGGTCCAAGGTCACAGAGGTGGATGGCAGTGAGTAGAGAGTCAACTGGAGGAAGTGCCGCGCTGATGAGAACACAGTCCGTGGATTAATGAGCCTCGAAAAGGACGACGTCGTGTCTTTCGTGAGTAGCGCTTATAGCATGGTGGCCTTGTGACTGACGCTTTGTACAGCTGTATATTCTTCACCAGCAACCTCCAGGTAGCTCCCCACTGATCCAAGTATAGCGCTGGTCGACCCAACCCCGTCACCTTCCCCTTTGAATCCATCACCCTCAATCTCAAGTCCCCTCTGGGCTCCACCTCCACCGACATCCCTCCCTCTGTCACCATCGACGGCGAAGACCTCAATGTCGCCCTGCAATACGCTCCCTCCGCCGGTCTTCCCAAGCTCACCTCTTGGCTCTCCGACCTCCAGTCCACCGTCCACAAGCGCGACAAGTCCGACTTTGCCATCTCTCTCGGCAGCGGCTCGCAAGACTTGATGTACAAGGGCTTCCTCGCCGTGCTCAACCCGGGCGACCCTGTCTTGCTTGAGACCCCGATCTACTCGGGAGTGCTGCCGCCAATGAAGTTTTTGCATGCCGAGATGATCGAGATTGATGTGGATGAGCAGGGAGGGTCGGCGGTCAATTTGGAGAAGGCTTTGAGCGAGTGGCCGAAGGGGAAGAAGATGCCCAAGGTGCTTTACTCTTCGCCTGTCGGTTCCAACCCTTCGGGATGCTCTGCGCCCAGAGAGAGGAAGCTGGAGATCTTGAAGGTCTGCAAGAAGTATGGTATCTTGATCTTTGAGGACGACCCTTACTGTGAGTACCTGCGACACTTTTCTAGGAGTGAGCTTATAGAGTACAGACTACCTCGCCGAAAAGCACGTTCCCAGTTACTTTGCCCTCGAGACTGAAGTCTACCCCGAAGGCGGCCATGTGGTCCGATTCGACTCTTTCTCCAAGCTCCTCTCTGCCGGTCTCCGTCTCGTACGCCTTCCTCCCTCGCATGCGTTCACATTAGCTGATTCGACCGTACAGGGTTTCGTTACCGGTCCCAAGGAGATCACCCACGCCATCGACGTCATCACCGCCGGCGCCAACCTCCACACCAGTGGTGTCTCCCAAGCCGTCGCCCTCCGCCTCATGCAAGAATGGGGCCTCGAAGGTTTCCTCAACCACGGCCGCCAAGTCGCCCACCTCTACGCTACCCGCCGTGCTCAATTTGAAGCTTCCGCGCACAAGTACCTGGACGGGCTGGCGTCGTGGGTGTCGCCTGTGGCTGGCATGTTCCTTTGGGTGGATTTGAGTGAGGCGGGGATTGAGGATTCGTACGAGTTGATTAGGCATGAGGCTTTGGCGAAGGGTGTGCTTGGTGTACCCGGTGTTGCGTGAGTTTATCCTCTTTAGCAGTCATTATAGCGCCACAGCTGACGATTCTACAGTTTCTACCCCCACAACCGAAAGTCTCCACACGTCCGACTGTCCTTCTCCATCGTCGACCTCGAGCAGGACACCGATCTCGGCTTCCAAAGACTCGCGGAGGCTATCAGGGAGAAGCAGGCCAAGCTTGGTATCAAGGCTTGAGCTGGGCGTTGCATGGGCGTTGGAAAAGACTAGAAAGAATAGAGGGGAGGGCCGGTCACCTTTTTGTATACAGATCTCTATATGGATAATGCTTTACTACATGTGATCCATCGAAGCCCAAAGTTGATTGATTTGACGGTCAGTGTAAAAATAAAAATTATACTCCCGCTCGCACATCCTCTTGCGCATAAACATCCTCTCTCTCTTTCTCTCTTTCTTTCCATCCTCCAAAAAGCCACATATCAACATGCCTTGGGTCGGGCAGGACAACAACCCCAGCCAACCATACATCCACAACACCTATGCCCCCCACCTCCAGCAAAATTACTATGGGGGCGTGCCCCCGGCCCCTGGGATATTCAATTATAGTAACGCACATGCGTACGGCGTGGATGGATGGCAGCAGGCGATGAGGCTGGGGCTGGGGAATCAGCAGGGGAGTTACAATGGAGGCCAACCGGGGCATTTCTATGGAAACCAGCGTGTGTACACCCGTCTCGAGCGCTCGCGGGTATAGCTGATGGAAAGTAGAGATGATCCCTTTTCAAACCTCACCTTCTCAACCTTCACTTTTCCAGCCTTCACTACCTTCATCACCTTACCAACCTTCACTATTTCAACCTTCACTAAATCAACCTTCACTCTATCAACCCTCACTATATCAGCCTTCGCTATATCAGCCTTCACATCAACCTTCCTCCGCTCCCATGACTACGCGAATGCAGCAGACCGCAAGAAAGGGTAAGGGAGCAGCCCGACGCGGACGGGGACGTCAAGGAGGTGGTTCTTCTGGTGTGAACGCAAACCCTGCTGCAGCTGCACTCAGTATGTCTCCCTTTCACACAGACTCTGGCCACGCTGACATGCTCCTGCAGAGGCGAGATTGAAAAAGACCGCTCGATGCTCTCTCGCCCCCGAAGGCCAGGCTTCTCAAGGTTGCAGTAATGCTACTACAGCCATTGGCATGATGTGGTGCTGGAGCACTATGATGCATATGACTATGATGTCTATGCTTATGCCTCCGAATGCTCGTGCGTTTAGAATATGTATGATGTTGAATGGGCGCTGATGCAAGTTGTCGCAGCCACGTATATCGACTCTATCGCCGCGGATCTTGCTGAACAGCCCCAGGAACAAACTCCTTACTCTGGAGACATGTTCGTCAAGGCACTGCACTCCGAGTCTAGTGCTGAAGACCCGAAAGTTGGGGGCAAAGCTGGGGGCGCCGGGCAGTCTGCCAGGCCTATGGAGGGAAAGCAGGTTGGATTCGGTGCAGATAAGATTGGCAATGATAATGTCGGCCACAAATTGCTCAGCAAGATGGGTTGGGCCGAAGGCGAAAAGATCGGAAAGGCAGGAGGCAGTGGTATCGATATGCCGTGAGTCAACTTTCAGATTTCAGGGGGCCTTAGCTGACAAAATGATGTAGAATCGTGGCTGTCGTTAAGAATACCAGGAAGGGTCTTGGAGGTTGAGGAGGTTGAGAAATGTAAAAGCGGCATGGTATTGTTGCTTGGGATAGAGGGTGTTTCTTGTACAGCGCACTGCTGTCTTCGTGGCTATACTGTACTCGTACAATATACTGGGAATGAGCAGGTGGACTGGGATAACAAGGCATGATCTGGGCCGTGCATGGGCGAGATCCACTAGACGGGGACAGAGGGGGTTTGGATTCTCTACTTGTATGTAGATGTTATATAAATGATGCTTTGCTGAATATACTATCGGTGGCAGACATACGCAGATGTGATAGCCCGAGGTTGGTTGACGGTGGTTGACGTGTACAACAACGAGACACACCATATATAGCCCGCTCGGACACCTTCTTTCTCTTTCATCTTTTCATCTCCCTCAGAGTACATTCAGGATGCCTTGGGTTTGGCAGGACGACAATCATAGTCACGAATACATCGAGGACACCTGGGATGACCCCCACCGCGAAGACCCCCATTATTCCCAAGAGGGAAACGACTATGACGATTACTATGGGTCCAGACACTTACCTGCTTCAGGAAGCTTTGGCCATAGGGACCGAGATGGTTTTAGTGTAGACTCCTGGGAGGGGGCGATGAGGTGGGAGCGAGAGAACCAGCAGGTGGATCACTATGGAGATCAGCGTGGGTAGTGCTTTCTTCTCTACGAGTACTGTGCACGTATGTGAAGCTGATGAGAAGCAGAGATGGTACCCTTCCAAACTCCTATCGCCACCACTGGTACCCGAACGAAGCAGATTGCAAGAAGGGGCGGGGGAGCAGCCCGAGGCGGACGAGGCGGGCGGGGTGAGCGGGTTGGGACACAAGCTTTCTCTCGTGTGAGCGCCGCATCTCCTGCGCCTGCACCCAGTACGTCCCCCTTCCTTTCGCAAGGACTCTGATCATAATGACCCCTCTTCTGTAGAGGAGAGAACGAAACAGACTGCTCGATGTTCTCGCGGTGCGCCAGCCAAAGCCAAAGCTGCCCCTCGCGCGCCCAAAGCCAAGGCTGCCCAGAAACCGGATGCTGCGGCTACCACCATGGAGTATTGGAGCACTATGGTACCTACGCCCCCGGGTGCTTGTGCGTCCTTGAGTGTGTAATGTTGAAAAGGACGCTGATGCGAGTTGCCGCAGTCATCGTGCCTATCGACTCTGCGCCGGCCAAGAAACAGACAGCTAGTAGGAGGGGTGGTGCAGCTGCCAAATTTACCAAGGGTGCTGGATCTGCTGAGGCTCCTTCGAACTCTTCCAAGGTCACGCTCGAGTACTGGAGAATGACTGTTGACAATCCAGGGTCTTCCAGCGGTACGCTTCGTACTCTTCACGACTGATAGAGACGAGCGCTGATTGTCGCTATACAGCTCAAATCACCCCAGGTCCTGCTGAACAGCCCAAGAAGCGCACCAAACAAACTGCCCGACGGGGAGGAGCAACCCCTGCTCAACCTTGTGCCGCTCCAGCAGTGCCGGTGGTGGATGTTGACAACGCTGGCGCGCGGGGACCCCGGACCAAGCAGTTTGCTCGGAGGGGCCGACCTTTTGTGTACAAGCCTTACTAGAGTCCGGCATGGTCTCCTTGCTTGAGATGGGGGATTTTTCTTGTACAGCGCAATGCTGCCTTCTTGAATATGTATACTGGGAATGTGTGTGGCGGACTGGGATATCTTGTGCATACGAAGGAGCGTAAATGACCGAGGGGACGTAATAGATTCCGGGATGCCGCGCTGCCGGCGTTGATCTCGGCGCGTTTGAAGTCCTCTTTCTTCCACCTCTTCACGTCTTCACGTCTTTCTTGACCGATGCCAGATCAAGCAGCCCCCGTCCGCACCGACTCCCACTCCCCGCCGCCAAAGCGACTACGCACCTCCAAAGCATGCGCAAACTGCAAAACCCGCAAGATCCGGTGCGAATTCAACGACGACGCTCGGCCGGATGCGCCGTGCAAGAGGTGCAAGACGTACGGGCTTGTCTGTGAGATTACGAGTGGGAGGGATCGGGATAGAGATAGGGGGAGGGCGGTGCAAGGTGGACAGGGCGGGTCGGTGAATGCGGCAAGTCAAAGCGGGCAGCCGAGGGTAGATGGTGAAGGGGTGGGAGGAAGAGCAAGTATGTCGGGGAGTATGTCGGGGAGCGGACCATGGACACCTCGAACTGTTCAAGAAGATCACTCTCTGAACGCTCGTCGCCCATCTACCTCTGCGCCTCATCCCCCGAACAATCCCCGGCCGCCCCTCGCTGCCCCTCCAATGCCTCTCTCCATGCCCAGACCAGATCACTCTCCTCTCACCCGGCCTTCGCCTCATTCAAGTCACCTCGACACACCTGGTACTGCCACCCACAGACTAGACTTTGAGGCGCCGAGAGATTTGGAGGAGGGGACGCCGCCACCGCCGACAACGCAGTTTACGGTCGTCTCTGCGCCGTCGGTGGGCGCGTCGCCTGCTCAGTCAACGTTGGATCAGCTCGCGGGATTGCCGATGAAATGGCGAGTGTCTTATTGAGCAGGACTCAATCAAAAAGCTAATAGGGCCACAGTGGTATGCGCCAGCTGCTCGAGAACAAGGTCGAAGGTAGCCATTTCTGCAAGCCGGAGCCTAGAATGCTTGGTAAGCTCTCGCCCTTCTCTCCACGCCTCCCTCAAAGCTCACAATAGACCAGGTTCAACTTCATTATCATCACTCATCGCTCCCATAACACACGATAATGTTGGCAGCTCGAGGGTCTTTGTTCATGATATGCGATATGGCATCAGACGGCGGACGACGCTGCAAGAGGAAGCGATGATCTGCTGGTCGCTGAATGGATCGACGCCTATATGGCGATTACCCAGTGATCCTCTACAGCGACCTATGATGGAGAAATGTAAGTTTCCCTTTTTGAGTATGAGGCCATGCTTAGACCACTTCAGTGCTCGCTACATACGCCGACACCATAGCTCCCATCTTCCCCGTCCTGCTCCCCCAAGAAGTCCGCAACATGCGAGCCCTCTCCGCCTTTCAAATACTCTCCATGTGCTCCCTCGCTTCCCTCTCCCGCACCGTCCCCGAAGCAGTCTGCCAATCCTTCCGTTCCCGACTCTACCACCTCCTCGAAGGCGCTCCCGGCGGAAACATCTGGACAGCCTCCCAAGCCAACCTCTCGTCTTTACTGGTGATCAGCCTAAGCGCGGAGCTGCATGGGATTACGGCGAGTACGGGCGGTGGGATATGTTGGTTGAGGGTAGGTGTAGCGATAAGGATGGCGCAGGATTTGGGTCTGCATAGGCATGTGACGGACTTTGGAATGTCGAGTTTGCAGCAGCAGACGAGGACGAGGATATGGTCTTTGTGTATCATGCTGGATGCTTGGTATGTTTGGGCGTCTCAATGACGGATATGGTTGCTAAGTTGAAACAGGTATGCGCTGTCGCATGGACAACCACTCATGATTGACACTCGCTTTTGCGATGCCAAAAAGCCTTCTGTGCCGGACGCAGACGATACCAGCCAAACAGCTTATATCGATCGATACGTCTATTACACTTGGAAGTTAACTCAGCTTCTCCGGAAAACTCGTGAGTATCCTTGTCCCTCTTCACTGAGATGGTATACTGATGTGAAGCAGTGGTTTGCTTGTTTGATATATCAAAAGGCCCGCTAGCGTCTGTCGATCGGACAGAGATGGAAGCGATATCCGAAGATCTTGTGAATTGGCGGAGTAAGCTGAGTCCGGAGTTGCTCCTTACGACGTCGAGTGGGCCGCAGGGTTCTTGTGCGGCTCTGCTAGAGCTCATGGCTGTCTGTATACAAGTGCGTTTCCTTCCTTCTATGTTGAGTGAAAGCGCTGATGGTAAGCAGTACGTCGCCTGGCGGCCTTTCCGTTTCCCGTCCTCGACCACAGATACTTCAACGTTCAATGTGACGACACAACAGTGGGATGCGCTGGTGCAGAGGTCATTGAATGTTGCAAAATGGACAGTGTTGAATGGGACACATCTCATTGATACCTGTTTCATTGCGACGTACTCTCTCGGTACGGCCATCCCTTCTTTTCGATGTCATGACTGATTACATTCCCCAGCACACATCGCCCAAATGCACTTTTACCACTATCTCTCCACCACCTCTCCCAAATCACTCCAAGCGCTCGCCTCCATCACGGAAGCCTTCGAAACATGGGCCAGCGCCCAAGGTGATCGTCTGGAAGCGACGAGTCTGCGGTATAGGGTGTACGATCTGGTCAATCAGCTGAACCAGGCTGCGGCGGAGGGGTGTGTGAATCCTAGGGCTAGTGCAGCTGATGTTTGGGGTATTCTGGATCCGCTTTGTAAGCCAATACATAAACACCTACCGGAAAAGGCTGATATGAGGTACAGTCCTGGCGCCAAGGGGTGCGGGGTCATCAGGCAATATGACGGACGTGGGCAACCTCTCTGCCAACCAGATGTTTGGCGCTGGCGATACTGGGGGCCAACATGCCGACCCGGCGGACCTGCAGCTGCCAGAGAGTTCAGGAGGAGAGATGCAGGATTGGAATACGTTGATGAACATGATGGGGTTGACCAATACGGGGTGGAATAACAATTAGAGTAGGCAGAGGGTTGTATAGACAGTTGATGTACAGTGTACTCGAGTACTCGCAGTGGTCGTCGAACAGTCGCGGAATAGATAAGCGGCGATAAGGAAATAGACGCCGACCCGGCCTGCCGCGATGCCGAAGTTGAATGCCGAGGTGCCGGTTCGCTGTACAGTCTGGCTTCCGTATAAAGCGCACATTCCGTCTTTTTTTCCTCATCAGCCCATCCATCTCATCCATCGCAATGTCCACCACCACTTTCAACATCCCCAAGCCCTACCAGGAGCCCGCCTGCCACTACGAGCTCGGCACCCCCGAGCGTGCCCTCCTCCAAGAGGCTCTTCAGGAGATCCTCGACCACGGACCCTACGAGGTCCCTTGTGTCGTACGTCGTCCTTTTCCATCACTCTTGCCCTGCTTACACTTTACAGGTTGATGGTGTAGAGGTCAAGACTGGCAACATCGCCCAGCAAGTCCTCCCCTCCGACCACAAGCACGTCCTTTCCAACTACCACCAGGCCGATGCCGCCCTCGTCGAGAAGGCTATCGCCGGTGCCCTGAAGGCCAAGAGGGAGTGGGAGGACGTCCCCTTCGTCCAGAAGACTTCCATCTGGCTCAAGCTCGCTACCCTTGTCTCTGGTCCTTGGAGGTACAAGCTTATGGCTGCTACCATGCTTGGTCAGGGTAAGAACGCTTGGCAAGCCGAGATTGATGTCCGCCAGGAGGTGAGTCTACCTCTTCTTGCTGTTGACCATCACTGACATGAATGATAGCTCGCCGACTTCTTCCGATTCGGCCCCGACATTGTCAAGACCCAGTACGAGTCTCAACCCGCCATCAACGACCGAGGACACTGGAACCGAATCGAATGGCGCGCTCTCGAGGGTTTCGTCGGTGCCGTCTCTCCCTTCAACTTCACCGCCCTTGCCGGCAACCTGGTGGGTAGTGAGTACAATCCTAGATTATCACAAAACCCCAGCTGATCTTGTATAGCTCCCTTGCTCGTCGGTAACGTCGTTATCTGGAAGCCTTCCGACTACTCCATGCTCGCCTCCTACATGGTCCACCAGCTCCTCCTCGAGGCCGGTGTCCCTCCCTCCGCCGTCCAGTTCGTTCCCGGCCCCCCCGAGCTTGTTGTCTCCACCATGATCAATAACAAGAACTTTGCCGGTCTCCACTTTACCGGTTCTTCCGACATCTTCAAGAAGCTCAACCAGGACGTTGCTGCCAACCTCTTCAAGTACAGAGGGTGAGTATTCTCTATCCACGAGGCATTGGGAGACGCTGAAAAGTCATCAGATTCCCTCGAATTGTTGGTGAGACTGGTGGTAAAAACTACATCATCCTCCACAAGACCGCCGACATCAAGACCACCGTTCCCCAAGTCATCCGAGCTGCTTTCGAATACGCCGGTCAAAAGTGCTCTGCCCTCTCCCGTCTCTACGTCTCCAAGTCCCTCTGGCAGGCCGGTTTCAAGGAGCACCTCGTCTCTGAGGTCTCCAAGATCAAGGTTGGCCCCGAGACCGAGTGGGAGAACTTTGTCAACGCTCTTATCCACAAGGGCTCTTACGAGAAGGTGTCTGGTTACGTGAAGAAGGCCAAGGACGCTGGTGGTGAGGTCTTGGTCGGTGGTACTGGTGACGACTCCAAGGGTTACTTCTACCAGCCCACCGTCATCGAGACCAAGGACCCCAAGTCTGTTACCATGGTTGAGGAGATCTTCGGTCCTGTTGTCACTGTACGTTCTCCCCTTCCTCCGATTCGAACAGCCCGCTGACTTTTCTCCAGGTCTACGTGTACGACGACGAAAAGTTTGAGGAGACCCTTACCCTCGTCGACGACACCTCCGACTACGGTCTCACCGGTGCCATCTTTGCCGACGACCGAAAGGCTCTTGTGCTCGCTGAGGAGAGGTTGAGGTACTCTGCCGGTAACTGTAAGATTTTGACCTTCCCCCTCTTGTACTCCAATCTGACATTAGCATAGTCTACTTGAACGACAAGTGTACCGCTGCTGGTGTCGGATCTCAACCGTTCGGTGGTGCCCGAAACTCTGGTACCAACGACAAGGTCGCTTCCCCCGTCTGCTTCTCCCGCTTCATGTCTCCTCGAGTGGTCAAGGAGAACTTTGTCAAGAGCAGCGAGTGGTCTTACCCTTCCAACATCGTCTAAGGTGCTGCTGGTAGCGTAGGGGTCAGGGACGGGAAGAAGAAGAAGGAAGAAGGGAAGAAGTCAATAGATGTCAAAAGTAACTTGCTTGGCGAGTTGTAGCAGCTTTCGTGGGTTTTCATTTGGATCCTTTGTGATACATATTTCTCTCTCATGCATATGGACTGTGGTCATACACCAAACCGGTTGTTTTGTCTACTGCAATCTGATACACCGTTTTGCTTCTCCTTCTGTGTATGACTCAACAACTTTTAGACTTCTCAGCTTAGGAGATCAAGGATATGTATGCTCCTTGGTATACTCTCTTCACTTCTTGGCCAACACAGCAGTGCGTCATGATCAACTGACCATATCTACTCAGAGCTAAGGGCCGCCCTCAAGAAACGAGTGACACCTGTCCAGCACCGTCGTACTGGTTGTTGTTGCGGCGCCGCGATTCGTACTGTTATAACTGTTCAATGTACGTTCCACGCTTGCCACCCTCAGCACATGATGCGCCTACACTCTTGATCTATCTAGGTATGCTACTCAAGAACCAATGCACGGGACGACATATCCAAAGCAATCCGGCGGACGGGTAGATGCCGAGCGATAAGTACCGCGCCGCCGATTTCCCGGCGTCCCGGAGCGTATTTCGGTATGGCGGCCCTATGATCTCTTTCTTGTATACATACACTACAAATGCATCTATTGATTCCTTTTTCATCATCTCCCATCACATCCCATCATGACCGCTCTTTACTCTGGAACACTTGCGTGAGTATCTAGACACTGAAGGGGACAGCACTGACGCCGGACAACAGCGAAAACTATCAGACGCCCTTCCTCACCCGATCCTCGGCGAGACCGTCGGCGCCGCCCTCACCCTCCGCGCCACAGATTCAGAGACGGGCAAGGGAGGAAAGGTCAAAGTCACTGAGGACGATATCATCAAGCATGAACGTGGAAAGCTGGCCAAACATGCGGTACCCGTTATGGCCGGTGATGATTTGGAAAGAGCTTGATTTATGTGAGTCGAGTTGTGGGCTGGTATATTGGCGACTAGTCTGCTGACGAATCTTCAGCCAGAAACGTCAATGGAAAGATTGTCAAAAGAGAGATCAGAGACATTGCTCGCGAAGAATGGGCCAGAAGGAATGGTATCAAGCAAGTTGACGAACAATGACGAACAAGCCAAAATGTGATGTGAAGTGATGAGACTATTGCACTTCTTGGCGTCTTGTAATCATCGGGCAATTATATGCTCAATATGCGTTGTCTCTTAGCGTATGTACTGTACTCGTACTCGTACTCTACTCTACTCTACTCTCACCTTCAGTCAGCCAACAGTCAGCGCTCAGTGATTGACCTCCACCTTGAAATGCTTCCGTCGTCAGGTACGAGCATTCGGCTTCCTTCTTTCGCTGATATTCGACAACTCTCAAAATACTGGATTCTCTGCACAAACTGCCAAAAACAGTCAACAACTGCCTGGGAGATTGTAGTTCTGCCTGTCAAGCATATATCAAATCATCAAAAGATATTCGACACCATGTCCCTTCGACTGCTCTCCCGAGCGGCCCGGCCCTCGACCTCTCGCATCGCTCTCCGACCATTCTCCACCACCTTCCGCCGATCTGATGTCCTTTCCGACCTTGACAAGCAAATCAACCCAAGAGAAATTATCGAGCAAAAGAAGAAGCTCATGGAGGAAAAGTATGCTCAAAAGTTGAAAGAAAGGGCGGAGCAGTGAGTCGCTTCCTGGTGGCTTCAGAGTACGGCTAATTTGGTTGCAGGGAAGGCGTACAGGGCTTTGAGGAGCTGAAGCAGAAAATCATTCAGCCAAAGCTTGATGCCGAGAAGGCGGCGAGAGATGCCAAAGATGCGGAGCGCGAACAAGCCAGATTGGCTGCCACTGAGAAGGTGGAAGACCCCGTGAGCGAGAGGGTGCAAGCCGAAAGAAAGAAGAAGGAGGCCAAATCGCAAGGACAGAAAGACAGAACTGGTGTCAAGGTACGTAACTTACACCGTATGCTCGGCCGTTGCTAACATCAGGACAGCCGCTCGCAGACATCATCAACCTCCCCCTCATCCACCTAACACCCCACGACACCAAGGCCATCTCCCAAATCTGGAATGCCTTCCACACCTCCCACCCAACTCTCTCCAACGCCTTCCTCTCTGCCTCTTTGCCATCCGAAACATATACCTCCATGCTGAATGTGGCCAAGGAGAACCCCTTCTTCGTGTTGCCCCTTCCTCGTCTGTCTGCGGCTCCCGTGGAGAACGCGGACCAGCCCGAGATCAAAACGGACGAGTACGAGATGTTCTATCTCCAGTGGCTCTTCCACCCCACCCCTACCGCCGGCTCCCCTGCCTCCGCCGACACCAACCCCAAGGCTCTGCCCTTCACGACATCCATCATTTTCACCCCTCTTGAAGAATTCAAACGTTCCGGCGAATGGGCGCAGCCCTACTTGGTGCTCACTCACTATCCCGAGCTCTCCCAGACGCATGATGTCGTCCTCATGCGAGGCGAGATCTCCCCTGCCTCTGCCGGTGGCCCTGACGGCAGCTTGTTGAACCCGGGCTTCTTGCTCTCGCAACAACAAGCTCAGCTTTTGGCTCTGGCTTTGCAGAGGTTCTACTGTACGGACATTGCGCTTCCGGGAGAGAGCGAGCAGATGATGGTGGAGAGGGCGAGCAGGAAGGAAGCTCTCAGGGGTTTCAGGGAGAGGCCTGAGGAATGGGATTGGGCTGGGTTGGTGGAGAAGTCTTATGGAGGATTGGTATAGAAAATTAGACGGAGGAGAGATATGAACAAGTGAAGAAGTATACCTGGATCCTGGGCAGTTCAATGCTGATTACGATCTGTGAACCAAGGGTGAGTTATCTGACTTCTTGCATCCAGCATGAAACACGACACCTTGAAAAAGACCATGCCCATATCCCCTTCAACTAGACTCTCTCTACTTCGTGATGTGGGCGAGAACAAGCAACTCAGCAAGTGATCGATCGTATGGATTCGAATACGTGGCGCTGCGCCAGACCTTCCTGAAATCCCTGACTGCGAATCACACGAGAGAAAATACCAACCGAGGAGAGGAGGACATCGCGGAGTCGGGCTTTGGAGTCTGTATGTAACTCGGAACAATCTTGGCAAACAGACTTTTCGGACAATCTTCTGAGCACGGTAGGCCGGAATTTCGTCGCGTTGCCAGCTTGCCGGGCTTCCGAGCGCTCAGCTTGCAGAATCATCCAGTATCGGGAGCGCATGCTGGTAGAAGGCCATCGAATCGCAGATCGTGGAATGGACATCGAGCGTGCGGAGATATGGCAAGGTGGATTGTGACTAGTCATACTTGCCAGACGAAGTGATTGCTCTCTCGCGATGCTCTGAAGTCTTCAGATCCTTCAGCAGAGAGATTCTTCCATGTCGTGATGTCTATGTAAAGGCTAGCTGCTGGAGCTGAGCTGCTGGCATGATGGATACGGATGAATAGATCCCGATGCCGATCTTCAATACCGAATGACCCGACTTTTGGTACGACGGAAGGTGACGAGGGAACGGGAGTCTGCTGATGTTGACCAAACTTACGCTCCAGGCACACAGGTACATTATTCGTACTCGCTAAGATGTCTTGCCCGTCGTCACTCGTCAGTGGCAAAGCAAGACCATTGAGCATTCCACCCGTACTGTGGCTACGTGTTGAGCGTAACGCTTGATAACCTTGCTTTCTGTTGCACCAAATGCATACAAGCACTTTTTCAATCGCTATCGGCCATATCGCCAAACACCTGGATGCGAAAGGCCCTTTACAGGAATCAGCCTTGAAACCGTAAACAGCGCCTCCCGCCGGCATGGACGCGTGCGACTCCCTTGATCTGAACATTTTATCGATAACCGGTGGCAATTTCTTCTCATCGGTGCCTTGGGGCCCATACGGGGTCCCTCGCCTCACCCTGAATTTCGTGCAATTGCCATCGGGGCCAGACCGACCGCGAAAGCACAATCCGCACTCTTCAGTCACTTCAGTGAGATGGATTGCAAAAATACGCTGTTGCCGCCTACCGCACCTCAACGATCAGGGAAAACGCGTAAGGTTATGGAAAGAAATTCGTTATTCTCCCCCGGAAACGCGAGAAATCAGGTGCACTTCTCTTTCCTCATCCCTCAACGTTTTCTCCCTGATGTGGAAGACCTGAATTAGCGCTCGTGACCCAGAGCAATGAAACCCTCTAACGGGTGCCTTTTTGAGACCCCAGATCTCCCCGCTGAGGGTACGGAGGAGCCCCAGTGGCCCCAGCCATCCAGACGTTTCCTCTCGAGAGACGTATATATAGCCCCACAAAGTTTGGTTCATCCCCACAATTTATCACTCGGTCTACTTTTTGATAGACTACCAAACCAGCCCCACCATCAACATGTCTTTGACCGACATCAAGTACGAAGACAGCAAGCACGAGTTTGCAGAGCCGCAACACGTCGAACACGGCGGATCGCGTGAAGCTGAGCTCGCCCGCAACATCAATACCAACGTCAATGCCAAGTGAGTCTTCTCTCTCCTGTTCGTAGCCTGTCTGACCCCGGGTAGAATTCAGAACCCTCTTTTCGGCAAGACCAAAGAGGAGCTGTTTTACGATGTCGACGGCTTCTGCGAAGAGTTTGGCTTCAACGACAAGACGCAGCTATTCCGCAAAGCTGCCCTTCTCGCTCAAAACCCTCACAAGTTCGACCAGTATGACGAGCTGGATGCCGAGGACAAGGCTGTCATTCTGAGAGAGAAGACTCGTGAGTCATTTCCATTCCCTACTCATTGAAGGAGTTGTGCAAGCGGTCGGAATTGATTTGCTGACACTGTGTAGACAAGTGGTCGCAGCCCAAAGCTCTGGTCTTCACTGTCATCCTCGCTTCGATTGGAGCTGCTGTCCAGGTAAGCCTTTTATTTCGTTAGTCAGTGGCAAATCTGACATCTTTATAGGGATGGGACCAGACTGGTTCGAATGGTGCCAATCTGAGTTTCGTAAGTGGATATTCTGCACTTTACCCTTTGGATCTAACCCCTCTATAGCCCATAGAATTCGGCATCAGCGACGCCGATGGTGATCCCAATCAAGCCAAAAACCAGTGGTAAGTGAAATCCACATACTCACATACGTTTCATTGCTGACGTCTTGCGCAGGATCGTCGGTCTCGGTGAGCTTTTGCTGACGATATGATGATATCTCGTGATCTAATTTTTTATGATAGTCAATTCTGCTCCTTACATTTCGACAAGTCTGTTGGGTGAGTGGGTGTCTATGCAGTCCCAGCATGAACTAACATGTATCATCAGGTGCTTGGCTCTCCGATCCTATGAACAACTGGCTCGGTCGTCGAGGTGTCATCTTTATCTCTGCTATCTTCTGTCTGTGAGTGGTACCTTTCAGCTTCGCCAGCTTCGCTTGTATTTCAGCTCACACCGACCATAGCCTGGCCCCTATCGGCTCCGCGGTCAGCCAGAACTGGCAGCAACTCTTCATCACTCGACTCATTCTCGGTATCGGTATGGGACTCAAAGGCGCCACTGTCCCCATCTTCAACAGTGAAAATGTCCCCGCCTCCGTTCGAGGAGGTCTCGTCATGTCCTGGCAGGTACGTGCTTGGGTTTAGCATTATCCGTGATCAATATACTCATCGCCTGATAGCTTTGGACTGCCTTTGGTATCTTTTTGGGATTCTGCGCCAACTTGGCTGTCTACAAGTAAGTCACATCATGTTGCACAAGCTTCCAGAAGACGACTAACGCGAACTCAGGGTTGGCAAGCTTGCTTGGCGTCTTCAGTTGGGCTCTGCTTTGATTCCCGCCCTCCCACTGGTCCTTCTCATCTACTGCTGCCCCGAGTCTCCTCGTTGGCTGATCAAGAAGAACCGATACCAAGACGCTTTCAAGTCTCTCCTCCGCCTCCGAAACTCGCCTCTTCAAGCTGCTCGAGACCTCTTCTACGTTCACTCTCAGTTGAAAGAGGAGCGTATCGCTTTGGGGCAGTCCAATGTTGTTTCTAGGTTTGTCGAGCTTTTCACGATTCCTCGTGTCCGACGAGCTACTCTTGCTTCGGGTATCGTCATGATTGTGAGTCAAACCCATCATACCATGAGCTGTGCTAATATGCACTACGCAGGGTCAACAAATGTGCGGTATCAACATCATTGCCTTCTACTCTTCATCCGTCTTCTCCCAGGCCGGCTACGGCAACCTCGAATGCCTGCTCGCCTCATGGGGTTTCGGTCTCATCAACTTCCTCTTCGCCATTCCCGCCGTCTTCACCATTGACACTTTCGGTCGTCGAAACCTCCTCTTGTCCACCTTCCCCAACATGGCTTGGACTCTGCTCGTCACCGGCCTGTGCTTTTTGATTCCCAAGACCTCGAGTGCCCGAGTGCCCCTCATCGCAGTGTTCATCTACATCTTTGCCATGTTCTACAGTGTTGGTGAGGGACCTGTGCCCTTCGCCTACTCTGCCGAGGTGTTTGACTTGGCGCACCGAGAAGTCGGTATGAGCTGGGCTGTTGCTGTGAGTCTTCACTTCTTTTTGTCCTGACACGCGTACTGACGCCCGATCGTAGACCTGTCTCTTCTGGGCTGCCGTGCTCTCCCTCACATGGCCCCGAATGGTTGGCGCTATGACTTCCACCGGCGCTTTCTGCTTCTACGCCGGTCTCAACATGGTTGCCTTTGTCCTCATCTTTTTCTTCCTCCCCGAGGTGCGCAATCTTCCTTCCCCTCTCATCATCTTCTTATGGAAGCTAACGTGGAATGCAGACCAAGCAACTCACTCTCGAAGAGCTCGACTACGTCTTCGGCGTCCCCACTGCTACCCACGCCTCATACCAGGCCAAGGTTTGGGCTCCTTGGTTCATCAAGAGCAAGATCCTCAGACAGAAGGTAGAGCTCAAGCCCTTGTACCACTTGGAGGAAGTGGGTGGTATCGAGAAGGACCCGGAGTATGCTGCTCAGGCTTTGGGAGCTATGCACTAAGTGCGTTGTGAGGTGAATTTCTATATCGGAGTGTATAATGTACAATAGTAGGATGTGTCCTCTTTGTAATCGTGTGGCCACACGGGGTCGAATGTTTATGCAACCATCTGTATGTTGGAGACAGACAAAGGCGCAGAAGACTGCCGATACCGTTGAGTGATGACAGTAGCAAGTCGACGAGTTATGTGTCGCGGCGCTGGTCAATAAGAAGAACGAATGAAACGCCCAATATCCCTTTGTATCAGCGGTATATCTCTAATGGTCCTCATATGCATCGTCGTGAGGGGCAGTTGACATGCGCGCAAGCGTGTTCAGCAGAGGCCGTACGGACTCCTAATTGTCTGTTTTTGTGATTAAACATGAACTGGTCGATTATATCAGTTGGTTTAGATTGTGGACCTAATAATTCAAACGAGTCATTAGTCCAAGGTCGGCAGTTCGATCCTGTCATCGATCATTTTTTTTTGCCCCAGTAAGCTCCTTTGCTCTGCGCTTGTGCGCCCAACGATCATAGGATGTGTGTACGCTGTAAATCATGAGTATGAAGACGAAAGGCCGACCAGGGGGTTGGAAAATAGGTACAATGTGATTTCTCCAGAAGCTGCTCCAGAGCTTATGCGCCTGGACAGACTCTTTGGGCCTCGAGAGCGAGACATGTGTTACAAAAGTGATCCATCCCATTGGAATATATGCTCCCATTCACCTCGCATTTACTCCTTTCCAATAGCCTCATCCATCCCACCCTCAGGGACGATTCCATCCGCCAACATCCTCTCCAACTTTCTCACCTCCTCGCTCGTCTGCGCGCTCGTCAAAGCCTCCACAACCCTCCGCTTCTCATCCGGCGTCATCAACCTTCCCTTTCCGCCCTTTACGCCCGCACCAGCACCGTCGGCGTTCACCCTCGCGGACGCGGCAAAGGCAGAAGAGGAAGCGGGGATGGCAGATGTTGTGGGGATGGAGAGTTGGTGGGCGAGAGAGTTGGGGAGCTCGGTCTCGGGGTCGATGAGGAGTTTGCGGGAGGATTCGCGGAGAGAGTCTTTGATGCGCTCAAAGTCGAGAGTGTGGAGTTTTCCCCCGGCCACCTGGAATCAAATCATAAGTTCGATCCGGAGTAGGTGAGGCGAAAGACCAACCTTCCAGACAACGAATTCCTTGTAGTGTTCTTGCTGTGTGACAGGGTTTCCTCTGAGGGACAAGTGCCGTAAAGATTTCAATTGTTCGAGCGGTATGAGGGATGCGAGTGATGAGATGACATTGTCTGTGAGGACTACAATCGAGGTTAGGATTTGATCGTGCAAAAGCGAGTCTCATTTACCAAGAGTCACAAGGTTGGGGATCTGCAACGCGCGGTTAGCTATTGCACGACCATCGTAGACAGATCAGGCTCACATTAGGAGGTAACGAAGGACTGATAGTCGTTATTTGGTTACCAGCAGCGTGAATAGCTTGTAACCGCGGAGCTGATTTCATCCAGCATCAGCGACCCTTCATCCAATGCCGATCTAGCACTTACAGTTTGGGATGTTACCGAGGACGGTTATAGAATTCTCGCTCAAGTTGAGAGTATCATATGATCCCTGATGCGAAGCCAAGTTCTCGATAACTGGTATTTGCAGTCCTGCGCGAGTATGAGCAACCAATCCTCCCCCGCGAGAAGTATATACGCACCCCTAAGCTCAAGCTCTCTCTCCTTCAATGGGTTAAGGTGCTGTGACTGTTCAGCATGACATTTAAGGATGGATTCGCACTGTGACTAACGGATGGCGCGTTCGAAACATACTGGAACAAAGTCAGCGAGCTGCAAAGTTATGAGAGGGCACTTTCACCTACCTCGTGTGTGAGTCTCATGGTGGAATATATAACACTCTAGGGGTGGTTGCCGGGAAGGCTGACTTTTATGCAGAAGCTTGGAAGAGTCGGACAGACTGTTGTAGCAACTACTGACGCCGAGATGATAGAAGCGTAAATAATACAGTAACTAGCAGAGTACTTAAACGAGTCAGTATTAACTATTTATATAGCATGAGCGGTGTTTCGGATGCCGAGTAGCGCGAGTGTGGCACCCACGTGGCAGCCCAGATCACGCGCTCGTGTTGTTTCGCGTCGAGGCCAACTCACAATCTGTCAACCAACATCCCTCTTCTCGTCATCCCCTCCCCGACATCTCCACATCCTCCTTGCAAACATCGCCACCATGGCCGACTCCTACTACGAAGAACAGCCCATCTCCCCCTCACAGAACGCCGACCAGCTCTCCGCCAACGGCTATGGCGACGAGAGTCTCGCATCTCCCGCAGCCAGTGGTCCCATTTCGCCCAATGGCTACCCCGAGGAACCATCCCCTGTTGCCGCTGCTCCCGCGAGGAAGAAACTGTCCAGCTGGGTTGGTTTCAGCAACTTGCCCAACCAGGTGCACAGACGGAGTGTCAAGTGAGTGCCCATGTGACTGTGTTTTTGAGAGTTCGCGAAGCTGGCGCGAATGGACTCTCTCGACTTGCAATGGCATGCAGAACTGACACAAGTACTCCAGGCGAGGATTCCAGTTTGTAGCCATGGTCGTTGGTGAGCTCGGGACTTTGCGCACAGACCGCGCCATGTGCTAACATTTCATTAGGTGAATCCGGTCTCGGTAAATCAACCCTGATCAACACCCTCTTCGAAACAAAACTCTACCAGCCCAAGCAGATTGCCGCACCTGGGACTGACAGGGGAAAGACCGTCAACATTGAGAGCATCTCTGCTGGTTCGTTCTTCAGTTGTGCGCTAGTGGATTTCTGAAAGCTGATGGGTCCTTCGCAGAAATTGAAGAGAATGGCGTGAGGCTCAAGTTGACTGTGGTCGACACACCAGGTTTTGGTGACTTTGTCAACAATGACGAGAGCTGGAAACCTATCGTTGAGAACATTGAGGGTCGATTTGATGCCTACCTCGAGCAGGAGAACCGCGTGAACCGATCAAAGCTCACTGACAACCGAGTCCATGCCTGTCTCTATTTCATCCAACCCACAGGTCACTCGTAAGTCATTCAAAATGTCAAAGACACACGTTGACATGGTGGTAGTCTCAAGCCTATCGATATCGAGTTCATGAGGCGCCTGCATACCAAGGTCAACCTCATTCCCGTCATTGCCAAGGCCGATACCATGACCGATGACGAGATTGCTGCCTTCAAGCAAAGAGTGTGTGCTTTCCATCGCTTTTTGAATCTCAGCTTACCACTTGTTCAGATCCTCGCGGACATTGTGCACCACAACATTGACATCTTCCAGCCCTTCCAGTACGAGAATGAAGATGAGGAGACCATCCAGGAGAACGAGGAGATCGTTGTACGTCCCCGCTACATACCGGCCCTGCCTGTACTGACTCTCCCCAGAGCAAGGTCCCCTTCGCCGTCGTCGGTTCCGACTCTCTCGTCCAAGCTCCCGATGGCCGTCAAGTCCGAGGCCGAGCTTACCCCTGGGGTATCATCGAAGTCGACAACGAGGAGCACTGCGACTTTGTCAAGCTCCGTCAGATGCTTGTGAGGACTCATATGGAGGAGTTGAGGGAGCACACCAACGACGTGCTGTATGAGAATTACCGAACGGACAAGCTTAGGGCTATGGGTGTTCAGCAGGATGAGAGCGTTTTCAAGGAGACCAAGTGAGTCATTTCCGCTCTAAGGTTGTCTATGTGCTGACATGCTATAGCCCTGCTGCCAAGCAAGCCGAGGAACGAGCTCTCCACGAGGCCAAACTCGCCAAGATGGAGGCCGAGATGAAGATTGTCTTCCAGCAAAAGGTGCAGGAGAAGGAGTCCAAGCTCAAGCAGTCTGAAGAGGAGCTCTACGCCCGTCACAGGGAGATGAAGGATGCTCTGGAGAAGCAGAGGCAGGAGCTGGATGATAAGAAGAGAAGGATTGAGAGTGGTCGACCTTTGACCCCTGAAAAAGGATCAGTGAGTCCTTCTTGCTTTGACGTGATTGAGTACTGACGAGAAATCGCAGCAGAAGAAGCGTTTCGGCCTCGGCAAGTAGACCGATTGGCCAGCCGTTTCTGCGTATCTGTACCGCCCATCGCCGCCTGTTTACGATCTTGTTTTAACGCCCGTCGCCATGTGTATAACGTTTCCTTTCTCTCCTTTTCTTTCCCTTTGCCTCGCATAATCTCGGGATATCGTGTCCAGATCTCTCCCCTTTTCCCTCCGGTTCACCGCGTATACCCCCTTTGAGGATTCTCTCCTGTGACGCTACTTTCCTATCTCTCATGATCACTCTATCCATTACTTTCCCATCAACCTCACAAACCCCCTTACAGGATTCTCTGCGGCTCTTTGTGATAACTTTTTTGGTGTACATGCAGCTTCACCTACTTTGTCAACTTCAAGGTCTGCTTGCTTATCTCCAGAGCCAAGGAAAACCAACCTCTGCTGTAGGCGCGAGGCCAAGAACCCTCGGAGTCAGAGCAGACATTGAATATAAAGGTAAGTTCAGTGTGCATCTGTGACACTAGTGCCCATCCATCATGTTTCCCCTATGCGTTCTAGCAGCCCATCTGCTACATTCCTTTCTCCTTCCGCTGTCAAAGCAGGGGAGATTCCCGTGCTACGCGTCGAGCATCAAAGGACGTTTTCCACCTCGCGTATCAACCGCGGGCAATGACGCAGTGCCGATGAAAGTAATGTCACCATTCAAAGAGTCATCCTCGAGTCCGAGTGAACTTGATCTTGAATCCGCTCACAAAACACAGATTCAACTCACGCTGAGCGTTTCATACTTAGCTTTTATCAATCAACAATCCTGTGGGCTGGCCCGTCAGAAATCTCCCCACTACCCCCCCACGCTCTTTCGATCCTTTCCAAATTTAGTCGGGCCCTGGCTGGTATCCTTCATCACCTTGTTTAGGGACATTTTGTCTGCTTTCCTCAAGGCTATCATTTGCGTATCACCTGAGAGCAAAGTCAAGGGCAAGATTTCCTTTCTTTGATCGACAGACAGACACAATCTCAACGGCAGAATCATTTGCCTGTGGTCGAGATCGAACTGTGTCGGGCTTCTGATTAGCCAAGAAACTTGAGAAGTGGTACGGAACGGGAGGAAAGCCTCCTCGCAGCATCTCAACGCAAGATATAAGAACCTCACCTGTTTCACACCTTTCCTTTTACAGATCTGACTTAATACGCTCTTTACAAACCTATTCGCCATGCCCCTGTTTTCTCACTCCTCCCTCTCTCCCGTCGCCCTCATCATCCTCCTCATCTCTACCACTGTTCTCCCCACCACACTTGCCGAGCGCAAGATCACAGTCAACAACAAATGCTCCTCCTCTTTGTACCTCGCCGTAGGCGGCCAGGGTGGTAATGTTACCAAAACTGACGGCTCAGCCCAGCCGGGCGGATGGGAACAAGAGCCTGGAGAGTATACTTTCATTGCGCCAGATGGCTGTAGGTATTGAATTACGAAGGTGACGCAGAGCTGATGCAAGAACGTAGGGAACAATGCGAGGATATGGGCGAGGACGGGTTGCGAAAAGAGTGGGGACTCGTTGGACTGCATCATCGGTGCATGTACTGCTGGGACTATTGAATGGTCAGTGGTACCATCCCGGATCATGTATGGGGGAAGCTGACGTGATCCTACTAGCGATGGCACTGAGTTTGGAGCTGCTGGCGCTACACTCGCTGAATTTACATTGAACGGCTACTCGGGACAAGATTCATATGACAGTGAGTCAAGCTTCTTCGAGATTCGACCTACCAGGGGCTGCCAGCTGATGTACGCTACAGTCTCCATAGTGAATGGCTATAACCTTCCAATGACCATAACGCCATCCGACTCTTCCTGCACCAAAAGTTCTTGTGGCGCAGAAACCGATATACTGACGCAATGTGATCCTTACCTTGCTTACCCCCAAGGTAATGACAAGATCTGTGAGTGTATCGGAATCGACCCAAATGGAATGCTGATGCGCATATCATAGACAGCTGCAATTCGGCCTGTGGTAACAGCTTCCAATTTCGTGAGCTACACGTTCCTTGGCATGACGAGTGCAAAGCTGACCTGGTCATCAGAGGATCTCACGAGTGGAGCTTTCATCAGCGCAGACACCGACAACTCTCCTGTATGCTGCAGGCAGGGTAGCGATGGCGTCGCCTCTGAAGACTGTCCCAACACCTATATCCGTGGGTCATCATTTGGTCCAGGAGACTGAAAAGCTGATGGGTCACCGTCTCAGCATTCTACATGACAATGAAGAGCATGTGTCAGGATGGCTACGTTTACGCCGATGAGTGAGTTCAGGAGCGAAAGAGAAATTGGGCTGATCTGGTGCCAGTGATCTATATGAAGGCGCCGTGTTCTCTTGTGCCGGCACAGATGACCTCTCTGTAAGGCCACCACCCCACGTCCCATCTCAGAGCTGATATCGTTGCAGTACACCGTGACATTCTGCCCCTCAGGAGATGGGGCCGGCCTTGACCCTCCATCTCTCTCCTCTGCCTCTTCCCAAGACTCTTCACCCGGTGACAACACGGGTAACCTCAAGAATGCATCGGGCGAGGCAAGCATCTGGGCCTCGGGTGTCACAGGGACGCCAATAAGCTCTATCGCTGGGGCTTCTGATGGGTTGAGTGCCAGCACGAGTAGTGCGACGAGCGCTAGAGCAAGTTCAGGGGTGGGGTCGGCGGCTGTGAGTTGGACTGGAGGTGTATTAAGTGATGCCGCTTCCAGTACTCTCGCCGCGGGTGGTACCTCCATTTCCGACATTGCAGCATCCAGCGCTATAGCCTCGTCTGGAGCAGCGGTTGCAACAACCTCCGCTGGTGCTGCAGCAGCCACAGCAGCCATCAGCCCAGTATCCTCTTCTGCAGCTGCCGCCGTGGACCCAGCTTTATCCTCTGCTGCTGCCGTAGACCTGGCCGCGTCCTCTGTGGCCGTGCCGGCTTACTCTTCCAAAGCCTGGGGTGGTGGCGGTGCTGGAGGCGGAGGCCACTGGGGCGGAGGATGGATTGGCGCCATTCAGGTGGCCACCTCTTCCCCTGCACCTGTTGCACCGATATCTACCACCGTGCCTGCTGAGGGAGTAACGGCAACGTACACGTCAGACGGAGACGTCTATGTGCAGGTGAACGTGGTTGAGACGCAGGCCGTTCAAGGGAGGAATTTGGATGGTATGGGTTCCTTGAAGAGAAAGAGATGGCTCGGGGAGAGGGATATTGAGTGAAATTTGTTGTTCGGTCTGCAGTGAGACCAAGACTATGTAGCACTATGTATCAGTAGCACAATATCGGGCGAGCAGGAAAGCAATTAGTCTCATCTGCAGATCCACGTTGAATTCAAGAGACTGCATCAACATCATGTCGAGACCTTTGCCTTCTTGCTCTCCCCGCCAGCTCCTTCCACATCAGCCGGCCTCTTCCCAGACTCTGTCTCCGTATCTTCCACAGGAGCTGGAACATATTTGGGTATCGTCATGATCGCCTTGAACGTTTTCCGTGATTCTATCTCGGATCAGTTTCTGGTCAAGAGATGAATGGTGCAAAACTCACGAGCTCTGAGCAGCACCATCTTGGGCGTCTTCTCCACAGCTTCTTTCGCCAGATTCGCCGGCATTCCAATCATCGTACCCAGATTAACAACATCCAGACATCCCCTCAAACTCGCTTCATTCCCACTGCTGGGACCAGAGGAGAATATGATCCCCTTTCCTCCCGTGATACGCACAACTTCACGGGCGTTGGACAGGAAGTTTTGGCGGTATCGGCGGGCAATGTCGGGGGGCGTTGATGGTGGGGGAAAGAGAGCAGCTGAATAGAGGAGCTCAAACTGCCGTAAAAGGTCAGCTTTGGAATAGAGCAGATACTTTGGAAACTCACGACGGCACCATTGCGCGAGGCTTGACGCATTTGTTTGTGGTTGAATCGGAAAGTGAATGGGCGTTCGTGGAGTGGGAGTGTGATTATTGATATCTTTGTTGACCGTCAGACAAGCTTCATGGTTCTGGTAAGGGCGCATACCTGATTGGGGCCGGGGTTGCTGAGATCCGTACAAGCGAGCTGGAATGATTTCTCTGTGGTCGGAGCAACCGAGAGTATATCATATGCTCTCAGAGCCTGGGTGTTTGCTGCCGTCTATATTCGCATCAGTATACGGGTTTTTGAGTGATGGAAGCTCGTACAAAGCAATGGGCCTTCCCATCGTCCAATCTGACATGATACCTCGCGACTTGTACTAGCGGTGTTCTCCCAGGATTTGACGAACCCGGCGCAGAGAAGTTTGATGACTGGGGGTCCAGATCAGGGAAAGGGCGTTTGTTTTGAAAGGGGGAGGGGTGAACATGGTTGGTGGCCTCGCCAATGGATATCGTAAGAGCTGTTACAGAGTATCCCACTTTGTCCCGCTTCAGCACCCCCGCCATCGTATAAGCTCTTGCACTCACAATGCCCAATCATGGCCATCCTCCTGGCAACATCGTCCCTCTCTTGCCTCTCTAGCCCTTCCCAGCAATCCAAATTTTCCTTGATAGGCGCGGGCGAGGCAGATGGTGTGGGCGCGGGTGCTTTTCCCTTTGCCTTTTTGCTCTTTTTTGTGGCGGATTGGTCGGCTTGGGCGGCGGGGATGGGAAAGGGGGAGAAGAGGTCGTAGTACATTGTTGCGCAGGTGGATTGAGTTGAAGAAGAAAAGATTGTAGACATTTGATTGTTGTCGAAGATTTCGTGCAGCTGAAATCAAGAGGTCGGCGGCCGGATTCGACTCACGACCCCCATTTAACAAGAGGGTTGGGTGATACTTCGAAGGGCGGTGGTTTTTCGAAGGGCCTTGCCAAGAGACAAATACTAGTCTAAGTGGGGTGTGATGAGGATGGAGAATGTGTATGGCTACCCCACCGTGTGGTGTTGTTTGAGTGTGCATGATTGATGCCATCCAGCGCGGCAATCGCGATGGTGACTTGCCCAACTTCACGACGGGTACCTGTGTAGCATCGCAGTTCCGAGTATGCACATACAAAGAAAATCAATCAAGATCGTTGCTAGATGTGCTCATTCGGGGCATGCAGGAATGATGGGTTGCTGAGAGAATCAACACATCGGCTGTCCAGTCATGCTCTTGCGGCCGGGAGAAAGCCGATGCCGACCGTGGTGGTCATGCACTGCAATACGCCTTCAATGACGGAGTGCGAGATACACCCACAGAGGATCAATTGCATAAGGACACGACTTCTTGTCACACATTCCCATAGCCACTAGCAAACCATTTGGTACTCGTGAGAACATTCGGCCTTCCGTCAACGTCGATCGGCTTTCGACTGTTCTTCATTCGTATAACCCTCCAAGAACTCCCTTAGCTTTGCTTCTAGCCTCCGCTCGCCCAGATCTCAGACATCCGCCATGCCCCCTGAATGCGTATACTCCGAAGCATCTTCATTTGAACATCATTCAGAGAAGCAACCGGCAAGCAAAGAAGCGCGCGCTAGAAGGGGCCATGGCATCTCGAACGATCATCGCAATGCCATATGGGTTTCTGCTTGCTGCGTGAGGCGAACAAACATCCGACATTCTACGTCTATAGGCTCCGGGTATACAGCAGCTTTGCATAGCTTGGCTAGGGTTGATCGGGTAGCCGCCGAGCGACCTGTTCCGGCATTCTTTTGGAAATTCAGAGGAGATAGCGAACGTGGTCTCTGGTACAAGTAATTTATACTTTACGTCAAAATGTTTGTGGCTGTATTATGTCATGATCCTCAGCCCAGCCATAGGTCTGCTGGACTCTGTGAGATGTATATAACCCCTTCATCCTCATACACTCACCCCTCAACTTCTTCCACTCACCAAATCAAACTCCCCACAATGCCTTCCCTCCACCCTCATCTCCGCCTCAAGCATAACCATCTCCAACAAATGCTCCTCCTCCCTCTACATCGGCGTCGCCGGCCAAGGTGGGTCGATCACCAAGACCGACGGGTCGGCGCAGGATGCGGGGTGGGAGCAGCAGCCTGGAGAGTATACGTTCAACATGCCTGATGGATGTGGGTAATTTCTTATATTGGTAGGCAAATGGCTTATTTTGATGATACAGGGAACAACGGGCGGATTTGGGCGAGGACGGGGTGTGAGAAAGATGGGGATGGTATCAACTGCGTTATTGGTGGGTGCAAGAATAACGCTATCGCCTGGTAGGCTGGTATGTCTTCTTTTATAAAGTGGAGGTTGCCGTCTACTCGTTAGTATGTTGCATGAAAGATGAAACATTGTCCAGTACGAAAGGGGATACCCAAGAAGCATTGTGTTTGTCAGTATCGAAGCAATCCAAAAGCATGATGACAGTCGTGCAATGCATGTGTTTAGAATGGTAATGACGGCCTCGCTCTAATCTTGTCGTCGGCCTTGCTCTACACCACGCGTCAGCCACGCCCAATGCACAGCAACGTTTACGCACCTTTCTCCAAGCGGCAATCCTCTTGTCCATCCCCTTCATCCTCTCCTGCCTGTCTGCGACCTTTTGCGGCTTATTCCTCTCATCGATATGCCCCTTGAACATGACCTTTCTACCGTCATACGGTGACTGCTTGGCGGCCTTTTCCAATACTTCTCCCTGCCAGTTAATCACCGTGCCGTCCTCCCACTGTATCGGTCTGGGCTCTGCCGTGGGGTTCAGCGGCGAAGGCGGGAGGATGGACGGGTCATATTGCTGCAGCAGCAACTTTTGTCTCCTCGCGGAAAATTGCGGCTTTCGCCAGTAAAACCTCTCGAGACCCGTCAGCGCCGACACATCCTGCCTCTGTCTCGCACGGTGGAGCAGGAAGGGGTTGGGGATAGAGACGGTCGCCGGGTCTTTGCCCTGGGAACGGAGGTGGGCGAGCTGGGAGGCGATGCGGCGGAAGAGGGGCTTGGGGAGGTCGGCGGCGGGGATGAAGCGGGCGTTGAGGGAGGGGCCTGCACCGGTGTGGGGGGCCGGGAGGGAGGAGTATGCTCTGCGTGCTGCCATGGTGTGGTGAGCCATTGCAAGGAAAAGAAAGAGACGAATGCCACGTGGGGGTGCCACGGGCGGAGGTAGTCGGCGTTTGCATGGTCGCTGGCATCGTCTCCGTCCATCTCTCTTCCGTCTTCCTCACCTCACCGCTCATCCAAAATGACTCTCGTCACCCGATCCGCCATCCGTCTCTCCAGGCGAGGGGGCCAGCAGCTCCGCAACGCCCGCGCCAACGCTGCCCTCTTCACCACCGCCGCCGCCCAGGCAAAGACCGTGCTCCCCGGCCTCAACGCTTCTTCTTCCAGGGTCACCCTCCCCGCCAAGGCTTGTGAGTGTGCTTTCACATACTTTTCACCCCCGCATCGACCAGCACGCGCGAGCAGCAGAGGACGGGCGCGCAGGCGCGATATCGATGCGACTTCGGGTTTTCTCGGCCGCGCCCAAACCGAAACGACCGCTAACACGTCTTTTTTTCCAGCTGGTGCTGCCCGAACCTACGCCACCCCCGCTGGTGTCCAGACCGGTCACATCAAGACCGTCATTGGTGCCGTCGTCGATGTCCACTTTGACTCTGAGAACCTCCCCCCCATTCTCAACGCCCTCGACGTCCAGTACGGTGAGGGTCAGACCGCCCCTGAAGGCGGCCGACTCGTCCTCGAGGTCGCCCAGCACTTGGGTGAGAACACCGTCCGATGCATTGCCATGGATGGTACCGACGGTCTCGTCCGAGGCCAGAACGTCGTCGACACTGGTGCCCCCATCAAGGTCCCTGTCGGCCCCGCTACTCTTGGGTATGTCTTCTAAAATCCTCTTTTTGCAATAAACTGACCACGTTGCAGTCGAATCATGAACGTTATCGGTCAGCCCATCGACCAGCGTGGCCCCATCAAGGGTGTCAAGGAGAACCCCATCCACGCCGATGCCCCCCTGTTCGTTGACCAGTCTACCCAGGCTGAAGTCCTCGAGACCGGTATCAAGGTCGTCGACCTCCTCGCCCCTTACGCCCGAGGTGGTAAGATTGGTCTTTTCGGTGGTGCCGGTGTCGGCAAGACTGTTTTGATTCAGGAGCTTATCAACAACATCGCCAAGGCCCACGGTGGTTACTCTGTCTTCACCGGTGTCGGTGAGCGAACCCGTGAGGGTAACGACTTGTACCACGAGATGAGGGAGACTGGTGTCATCAACCTCGAGGGTGACTCTAAGGTCGCTCTTGGTGAGTTTTTTTTCTTTCTTTTCTCACCCGATGACGTGGCCCTAATGTTTTCTAGTCTTCGGTCAGATGAACGAGCCCCCTGGAGCCCGTGCCCGTGTCGCTCTTACCGGTTTGACCATCGCCGAGTACTTCCGTGATGACGAAGGTCAGGATGTGTTGCTCTTCATTGACAACATTTTCCGATTCACCCAGGCCGGTTCCGAGGTGTCTGCCTTGCTCGGTCGTATCCCCTCCGCTGTCGGTTACCAGCCCACTCTTTCCACCGACATGGGTGGTATGCAGGAGCGAATGTGCGTACACTCATTAATTGACGCACCGCGCTGACTTTTTTTTTCCAGTACCACCACCAAGAAGGGTTCTATCACTTCCGTCCAGGCCGTCTACGTCCCTGCCGATGACTTGACTGACCCTGCCCCCGCCACCACCTTCGCCCACTTGGACGCCACCACTGTGTTGTCTCGAGGTATTGCCGAGCTCGGTATCTACCCCGCTGTCGACCCCCTCGACTCCAAGTCCCGAATGCTCGACCCCCGAGTCGTCGGCCAGAGGCACTACGACATTGCTACCCGAACTCAGCAGATCCTCCAGGCTTACAAGTCTCTCCAAGATATCATTGCCATTCTCGGTATGGACGAGTTGTCCGAAGAGGACAAGATGACTGTCGAGCGAGCCCGTAAGATCCAGCGATTCATGTCTCAGCCCTTCGCTGTGGCCCAGGTCTTTACCGGTATTGAGGGTCGACTTGTCCCCCTCAAGGACACCGTTAACGCTTTCGAGGAGATCCTCGAGGGTAAGCACGACCACATCCCCGAGAACGCCTTCTACAGTATGTCTCTTCTTCTTTTCTAAGGCTGTGGCTAATCATCTCTGCAGTGGTCGGTGGTATCGACGACGTCAAGGCCAAGCACGAGAAGTCCCTCAAGGAGACTGGTGCCTAAGCTTGTAGTCTAGAGTGAGGAGAGCGGAAGAGAAGCGGTCATTGGGCCTTTAAACAGGCCTGCAAAAATATGAAAAATGAATCTTTGCGTAAAATGGACATTTTCCCTTGCACAATCACGGCTTCCTGCACTGTATAGCTGAATCATGACCGGGACGGTAGTATAGCCTGGGACCTTTGCCGTCCTGAAGTATTTGGGTATTGATTCTTGCTGTCGACTGGGACCCCGTTGCATCGCCAAGTGTAGTCCGTGATGGTAGAGAGGATGGATCATGCAACAATCCATCCTCTTCCACCAAACGAACGACATCTTTACTATTGTCGCCCTCACCCTTCCGATAACCTGCATGGCCTTTCCAAGATGAGATCTAGGGCCTCTGGGGACAAGTACGTACTACAGGCCAAAGGGGCTGAAGTCGGTGCCGACGGCCGTCGGTCTGTGACTGTCAACAGCGCACTATATATGTATTCGGGGTGTGCATTCAACTTTTTTGGCATCCTTTTCCTCGTCTTTCCATTCTTTGTAGATTTAGGTACGCCCCCCTCCCCCCTTCAAGAGTTCACGCTAACACCATCACCACCAGCGGGCAGCGCAGTCCTCTCAGCAGCTATCGCCTTCCCGACATCTCCCACATCACCGTCCCAGCCCCAAAGTCGAGTATATCCAGATCCCATCGAACGAGAATCCAAAGGGTTTTGATGGGATTGATGAGCAGCCGGGGTTGGTGGAGAGATTGAGGGGGTGTGGGGCTTGTATCTGGGCGTTGGGGGTTAGTCAGACTGCAAGCTGATGAGAAGGAGTATTACAAGAGAGTTTGGCTTGGAAGGGTTAGGATTACATGTGGAGAAGACGGTTTGATGATCGACTTTCCAGGATCACGCACGACTACACGCTCAATGCTGCCAAAGCCTTCTCTGCGCTCGGGACCGAGGCAGCACCGTTCTGTTTCGTATTCATGTCCGCTGAAGGCGCCAGACAAGACGAGAAAGGTTGGAGTGCATATAGCAGAGTCAAGGGAAGACGGAGAGAGAGCTTGCGGCTATGACATCCAAGACGTTTGCGCCATTGTCAGTAAGGCCGGCGGGCATCAATTCAACCAAAGAGGAGGTACGTTTTGATGACATTTCTCCCGTGTTCAAGATTGATGTGTGACGTTAGCATTCCACGCGTATGCACTGGCTCTGGGGCCCGACCTGTGCAGCGCTCAAGGTGGTGTACCCGCCAATGGTCGTTGATGCGTCGCACTTGGGAAAAGTGTGCGTTGGGATCAGATGGACGTAGAGCGTGTGGTGTCTAAAATGTCAAGTTGAGAAAGATGATCTAGAGCAACAACTAGTAGACCAACATGAACATGTGTTGACGCGTCTTTCATGCCATCGCTTGTGGGGTCGCCCGTCGCCGGGATACCCCGGCAATAAAGCAGCTGGAGACTGGGCCTCCCGCCCTCCCGAGCTCGCGGTGAGCGATCGCAGCAAATAAATGAAAAGCCACTACGGGTGCGTTGGGGCAGGGCAGCCCAAATGAAAGGGCACTGTCGGCTGTTTCGGCTTTGGTGGTGGGGGCGGGTTACGTAAGACACACGTCGCGTTCATGCGATGGGGATTTGAGCCGAGGAGGGCACTCCCCAACATAAGTTACATAAGTTACGTACCGCCTCTCTCAGCTCTGCATCACCCAACGTATTCTATCTCCATCTCTCATCCTCCTCTCTCCTTGCCCCCGTCCCTCCAAGAGAGCCCCGCCCCCCGCGCCCTCCTCACCACACTCTCCCCGAGGGTCATAGTCCACCATGTCTTCGGCCACTCCCAACGGGGCTGCCGTGAATGGCCACACCGATAAATACGATCACTCCAACGTCGCCCAGTTCATCGGTGAGTCGTCCTCTACCCCACCTCCTGTGCGCGGTCCTAGCACTGGACCGCGGCGGGCTGCCGAGCTGAAACGGCTGGCGGTATGGAATCACACTTGGGAAGCCAGTGCTGACACGCTTGATTTGCTAGGCGCGAACAGCGTTGAGACTGCTCCTTCAGGACGAGTCACAGACTTTGTCAAGGCCCAGAAGGGTCACACTGTTATCACCAAGGTCGGTCTTAATTTCCCTACCCGCTCGTTCCGCGACCTGACAAAAGTTGCTAGGTCTTGATTGCCAACAACGGTATCGCCGCCGTCAAGGAAATCAGGTCTATCCGAAAATGGTCCTACGAGACCTTTGGCGATGAGCGCAAGATCGAGTTCACCGTCATGGCTACCCCCGAAGACTTGCGAATCAACGCCGAGTACATTCGAATGGCCGACAGATATGTCGAGGTGCCGGGTGGTTCCAACAACAACAATTATGCCAACGTCGACTTTATTGTCGATGTTGCCGAGCGAGCGGGTGTCCACGCCGTCTGGGCTGGTTGGTGAGTTACATCCCCACTCTACCGGGCGCAAAGCTGATCTCAACACAGGGGTCATGCCTCTGAAAACCCTCGTCTCCCCGAGACTCTTGCCAAATCCAAGATCATCTTTATCGGTCCTCCCGGCTCCGCTATGCGATCTCTCGGTGACAAGATCTCTTCTACAATTGTTGCTCAGCACGCCGAAGTGCCCTGTATGCCCTGGTCCGGTACCGGCATTTCCGACACCATGCTCTCCCCTCAAGGGTTCGTGACCGTCCCCGACAAGGCTTACGAGGATGCGTGTGTCCACTCTTGGGACCAGGGTCTTGAGAAGGCAGAGTCAATTGGATGGCCCGTCATGATCAAGGCTAGTGAAGGTGGTGGTGGAAAGGGTATCCGAATGGTGGATGACCCAGAAAAGTTCAAGAATGCGTTCCAGGCGGTTGCGGGAGAAGTTCCTGGTGTGTATCCTTCAAACTCGTCCTGTACTCAGCTGACGCTCTGTAGGCTCGCCCATCTTCATCATGAAGCTCGCTGGCTCTGCCCGACATCTCGAGGTCCAGCTCATTGCCGACCAGTACGGCAACGCAATCTCCCTTTTCGGTCGAGACTGTTCCGTCCAACGTCGACACCAAAAGATTATCGAAGAGGCTCCTGTCACTATTGCCAGGCCTGAGAAATTCGAAGAGATGGAAAAGGCCGCTGTCCGACTCGCCAAATTGGTCGGTTACGTCTCTGCTGGTACCGTCGAGTACCTCTACTCTCACCAGGACGACAAGTTCTACTTCCTCGAATTGAACCCCCGTCTCCAAGTCGAGCACCCCACCACTGAAATGGTCAGTGGATGCAACATTCCCGCTGTCCAGCTCCAGATTGCTATGGGTATCCCTCTCCACCGAATCCGCGACATCCGTACCCTGTACGGCATGGACCCTCACGGTATCACCGACATTGACTTTGACGGCGACAAGCCCGAGTCTGTCAACACCCAGCGCAAGCCCAAGCCCAAGGGTCACGTTATCGCCTGTCGTATCACTGGTGAAAACCCCGATGCTGGTTTCAAGCCCTCCTCTGGTGCTCTTACCGAGCTCAACTTCCGTTCCAACTCGAACGTCTGGGGTTACTTTTCCGTCTCTTCTGCGGGTGGTCTCCACGAGTATGCCGACTCTCAGTTCGGTCACATCTTTGCCTACGGTATGGAGAGAAGCGAGGCGCGAAAGTCCATGGTCGTTGCTCTCAAGGAATTGAGTATTCGAGGTGAATTCAGGACCACCGTCGAGTACCTCATCAAGTTGCTCGAGAAGCCCGAATTCGAAAACAACACCCTCACCACTCAGTGGCTCGATGGTCTTATTGCCGAGGGTATGACCTCTGAGCGCCCCGACCCTACCGTCGCTGTCGTCTGCGGTGCTGTCGTCAAGGCCTACCTCGCCTTTGAGGCCTCCATCTCCAAGTACGGGTCCGTCCTCGAGAAGGGTCAGGTCCCTCCCAAAGACTCTCTCCAGACCTTCTTCAAGAGCGAGTTCATCTACGAAAATGTCCGATACTCGTTCGCCATGGCCAAGTCTTCCGAGTACTCTTTCACGCTCTACCTCAACGGTAGCCCCATCTTTGTCGGCTGCCGAGGTTTGAGCGACGGTGGTCTTTTGATCTCTCTCGAGGGTGCTTCCCACACCGTCTACTACCGTGAAGAGGTGGGCGCTATGGTGCTTTCCGTCGACTCCAAGACTACCGTCATTGAGGACGAGCAGGACCCCACTCAGCTCCGAAGCCCTTCGCCCGGTAAACTCGTGCGATACCTCATCGACTCTGGTGACCACGTCGACGCTGGTGAGGCTTATGCCGAGATTGAGGTAATGAAAATGATCATGCCCGTGACTGCCAGCGAGAGTGGTATCGCCCAGTTCATGAAACAGCCCGGACAGACCTTGTCTTCTGGCGAGTTGCTCGGTATCTTGACCCTTGACGACCCCACCAAGGTCAAGTTTGCCAAGCCTTTCGAGGGTATTCTTCCCACTTTCGAGCTCAAGCACGGCCGATACGGCACCAAGCCCCATCAGCGCTTGCGTGAGCACTTGGAGGTTCTTTACGACCAGCTTTCCGGTTTCGACAACAGTGCTTCTGTCGGTGCTTCTCTCCGAGTGGTCGAGTCTGTCCTCAGGGATGCCGACCTCCCCTACTCGAACGTCCACGAGGTCATGTCGACTCTCTCTGGCCGTATTCCCCAGAAGCTCGAGGACGAGATCCGAAGCATCCTCGACTCTGGCCGTGCCAAGCAGCTCGAGTTCCCCAGTCTCAAGCTCCAGCGCACCATCGACAACTTTATCGAGGAGAATGTGGCGCCCAAGGAGAGGGCTCAGGTCGTCGCCGCCATTGCTCCTCTCAAGGTTTTGATCGACGCCTTCTTCTACGGACTCAAGGTCCACGAGTGGAGGACTTGGGCCAACATGCTCAACTTCTTTGCCGATGTTGAGGAGCCCTTCGCCGATTCTACCCGCACCCAGGAGAATGTGGTGCTCAAGCTCCGAGAGGACAATGAAAACATTGACCAGGTCGTCAAGCTCGTGCTCTCGCACGGCAAGATTGCGTCCAAGTCCAAGTTCCTCTTGACTTTGCTCG